TTTAAACAAACGGGTGAGTCACACTATAGATCTATAATAATTTCTTCCCGATGATAATCTCGAGAAATTAATCAACGAATACTCTGCTCAATAATTACAGTGTAAACCTTAAGAGGCAGCTAGCTCACAATAAATCTTGAGGTCTCTATTGAAGGAAATAACTAGTTAGTTGTCTTAATCTTTCGAAGATATGCCACATCTTTATGTATTCATCACAATCCTCCCAGAAGCTGTCTCAATTAGAAAAATAGGAGATCTATGGTGCCTCTAAATGTTGGTAAATCAGTATGGAAAGATGTGATACCACCAATTACAGGGTGAGGAAATCTCCCAACTACGTCGTGCAGCAAGCCTAAGAACCCCCCCCCCCTTCTTTCTATTTCAAGCCTTTTACTTCACAGGTGCTTGATTCAAGACTACACCAAGTTTTATAAATTCAAATAAAAGATGACTTAAAAATAAATTTATAAGAAATTCTGTAGTTTTTTTTAATCTAGAGTAGCCACAGATAGCCGACACATATTTCTGATAAGATATATTGGAAGAAATTCATATCACTGTTATGATTCAGAATAACATGTGAAAATTCAATACAAAATGCTCCCAAAACATTGCTCATATGTTAAGAATCAAAATAGCCTCAGGGATGTATTTATTCAATACATACTCATCTAGCTACTACATAACAGTTGTATTATGCTCAGAAACAATTTCCTTGCTTCAGGTGATAACTTAATGAATCAAATAATACATGTACACCTGTTTGACGAATCAAATTGAAACACAGTTTGAAAGATCACACATACCAAGGTCAGCCTGTTGCGTTTCTTAATAAATTTTGACCACTGAGTTAACATTGTTTGTTTGTATTACCCTAGTTTTATTTACAGGAAAGCTTTGAGGAACTACAAGTCATTGAACAAAAATTGCATAAGCAGTTTTAAAAAAAAATAGAATAAATGATTGAAGTTACCAGAACATGTAGCCTATCCCAGCTAGTCAGATTTAACAAAATTGGAATTTTTAACATTGTTATGAAAAACATAAGAGAAAACAGAACTTATATCGGAGTTCCCATAGAGACAAAATTATCAGAGCTTTATATCTAACAAATGTCCCATAGATTCCCATTGGGTTTAATCTACTGAGAGAATTGTGCAATATCTCTTCATAAAAGGCAATATTTCATACTTATTTCTAACTTATCAAGCCATACAGAGATCTGTTTTCTCCAGTTTTAAGCATCATTATATCCCTGAGGAAGATTGAAGATTCATGATATCATGCTTATCTCCTATTTTATAACTAACAAGGTCAAAATAACCTACTTTCCTCAGTTAGGGGGTCTTATATGTTTTGCAACAAATTCTATAAGTAACTGATATCATTTAGTCGTGGTAATAACAGTTAATTACAAAATATGAAAACTATTCTCAATATTTTGCATTTCCAAAAAGTGTATTTTGTTCAAATGTCTAATAGGTATAGGTAGAGTTTTAAGGCGCCGTAATGAAATTGATTGATTTGAGGTGATCCCTTAAGGTGATACCATATTCTAAGATCAATTTCAGTCCACATGTTAGACAAAAAATGTATAAAAGGTCATGAAGGGGAAGCCAAAATTTAAATCATAGAGAAATATTCTTGCCTAAAATACCACATTAATCCTAACACAACAAATACATGTATACATACAAGTATAAACATCTAGATACAATAACTAACACTTTGTCATTGAGAATTACTATTCATATGTGACCAATTATCCAAATTTTATCATGTCATGTCATAGATGCCAAGGGGTCAACAACTTGGAGAGTATCTTCAACATTTTATGAAGTCTTCAAGTTTTACCTAACCCTGTGTTTCATTTTGGTAGGCATAAAATCCTCTGAATACAACACATGATTTTACAGATTTGGTCTTAATGACCTAAAATGCAAATTTCATGGCCCTTTTATGGGAGTTTGTGAAATGATACTTGGGTATCTAAAGGTATATAATTTTAAGATTTTAATATGGGCTAATTTAATATGTGCTAATCAAAATACCTAAAAATTAAAGAGTAGAGACGAAGTCAAGTTTTTCTGAAGGGTATTCCTTATCTTCTAACATTGTATTCAAGTAAGGATATCTCTGTTTATGGTAAATATGCTTATCATTATAATAGACTAGCTTTTCACTTGTGTTTTATGAAATACACTTCATATTAGATCAAATTATTGTTGAGGTTTCATGAAATATTGAGATAAAAATATGCAATTCACATCTACTGCAATGTAATCACACTAGTAAATATTAACATACAGTAAAACTTGTCTCATATGAATGCCATTAGAACAAGCCAAAAGTGCTCAGAATGACAGGGGTTCACATTTCAAAGTTTTTAATATGGAATTATATGGTAGATTCAAATTGATAGTTCAGATGAGAGAGGTATATGGAAATGCAGAACTGTAGATGTTTCTTTTCTTCAAATGAAAAAGTGTTTGTTATAGGCGGGCTTCACTGTTCATGACGCCAATAAATCTAGAAAGAGTAAAACAACAAGATAGACTCCCACATAGTAAAGACCTACTCCCACATAAAGGTTAACGTATCAAACTGAACTAACAATTATTTGAAACACCTATAGTTTTCTCAGATTACTAAAAAACAACTCTTACAAGGACAAATTCGCTGATTGGTATCACAAAAGTGTAACCCTTTGTTACAGATTCGGAAAACCAAACACTGACAGTCTGACACCAATAAATGATTGCTGTAACAACCATTTCTTGCATGGTGCTAACATAACAAATGAAGAAATAGCATACATGTATATTTTTCTGTTTCACAAGTGAGAAGAAATGAGATGACCAACGAGTGTCTGTAACCCCATACGATTCTTTGAAAAACCGGTCATTGATTGCTTTATTAAATGGGCCAAACATTTTACTTCCACATAAGCATATGAGGAGATTTTTTACTTTTTTTATTAACCCACATTAAAATAGAAGAATAGTGAATTTTGAGGAGACATGGTGACAAGGTCATTGTTCTCTTATTTCTTCAGACAGCTCCCTTTTTCCAAATCAAAAGGTCGATAAAAAATAATTGGGAAATGTCTTCTCATTTCTTATCATGCACTCTGCAATATTGTAAGTGCATATACTTGTATGATGGGAACCTATCTGAAATTTTGTCCTATTATCTATATCCTGTAAAGACCACGGAAAACAGGCCTGGTATCTTAACCTCTTAGCATCTATAGATTTCTCCTTTTTTAGTTTTGACAATTTTCCACATTTAACTTAATCAATACATAAAATGTTGCTTAATTTGTACAAAATGAATATACATTGCTTAAGTCTGAGTAAAATATTCTGCAACTAGTTTTCTTGTCTCTCTGTTGGTGATTAAGAGGTTAAAACAGGTGTAGAGACCAAAGTGCCTTGAGTAGTGATATAAACAGAGCACTTTACTGTTGCCTTCGACACAAATGTTGACAATAAAACAACACAAACCAGATTGTGTAGTCTCTGAACAAGATGAACTGTTTTATAGATATTTTTAAAGTGGGGAGGACAATATGTTGCAACTGTACTGGAACTCTTGTTTCTCCAACTACTGTCATGTTTTACTATAACATAATATCTGCACAAGACTTCATCTGATTTTGATTATATTATTGTTTATCTATTTTGTTTGTCATCTGAGCTTATGTAGTAAAGTTGTAAATAAGTAACCCCTATAAAACATATTTGCATTGAAACATTTAGTGTCATCCCAAATTAAATCAATTGTTTTGAATTTTATCTTTAACTAAAATAATCATGTTTTAAACATCTCTGAGCAACTCAAGTCCAAATACAGTGGCTATCATATTGAAGTGACTGTTCTAAAATGAAACATGAAGACAGCTCTGATATATACAATCCTGTAGGAAGTCAAAACAAAAAATAAGCGGTATCCTCAAAATTGGATTCCCAGGTCAAGCGATTGTTGTAATCTACCTTTCAGGTGATTCTCATTCAGGTGAAAATGATTTTCTAATTTCACCTCATGTAGAATGTTTGTTTCACCTTGTATGCTCTTTGTGGTTCTAATCAAATGTGAATTGTTAAATATGAAGCAAAAAAGTTTGACCTGATTTTCTTTTAGAAGCACTACTGAATATAGTAGATGGTTTCCAGTTAAAATAACATTATAAACCAGTTGCAATCATGCATGTTATTTTTTCTTATATATGTGAAAAAATCAAATGTTCCATCCAATATCAAAAGATAGTAGCCCTCTAATATTAGTAGCCTGGACACAGAAGACAGGTCATTTGACCTTGACCAGTCAGTTTTTAACCACTTATACATGTACATGTATATTTACAGGGTTGGTCTGACTTGCCCAAAAAAACATTTCATAGAACCATGCAACTTGAATGATGATAACCTGTATAAATACAGAAAATTCACAAAACAAAATTTCACTTCTTGTGAAAGATCCCTTTCTGACCACAGTTAGTATGACTTGTTAAGGTACAGCTGGAAAGTAACATTTTGGTAAAAAAATGCTATACCTGCACATGTTATTTTCTGGTACAAAATAAAGTATGAAGGCATGTGTCAATTTCCTTGCTTTTTTCAGGAAAGTATCATTACATTGTCTTCTTTTAGAATATCTGGTAGGGGTTCAATGGAAACTCCAGGAAATTCTGATATTTCACACTTTCTATTTTTCCAAATTTTCTTTCAAAGTTTCCAGACAACATAGGAGCTACCATTGACCTGTTTCTAGATATTCTATAAGTAAACAGTGTAATGATACTTTCCTGAAAAAAGCAAGGAAATACACACACAACTTCATACTTAATTTTGTACCAGAAAATAACATGTGCAGGTATAGCAATTTTTTACCAAAATGTTACTTTCCAGCTGAACCTTAAAAGAACCACCTAGAATACCTTTAAGATTTTTACAAGAACCACCAAGCATGCAATGCCTGTTTTATATAAAAGGACCTACCTTGATTGTTAGAGACAGGGATGACTTGGTGATGGTTGGTTTATATCAAGCCAGACTCTTACACTTCCTTCGGTATGTTCGCCATTTTACCTGAAATAGAAAATAAGAAATATACTTCAATTCGCAAAGTCAAATCAATATCATTTCTTCATTCCTTGCATACTAGTGGTGTCTCAATCTTTGCATTAACATGCCATTTGTCACAGATGCCAACCACCAAATGCCAAACACCAACCGCCAACTGACTAACACTGTCCACAAAAAAAGAGACTTCATTATAACAATTTGTCACAACTTGGTGGTCACTGGTGGCGACATAAAATTAATAGAAAATGTAAAAATGTTCAAGACAGTTCTCTTTAGAAAGAAAATAAAGTAGGAAAATTAGTCACAGAATCAAGCTTCAATGGTCTTCAATTTGTACAATTCAAAATTTTCCCTAAAATAATATACATTCCCTTTGCAGACAAATAATCTGAAAATTTATCCAGAAAATATATTTTAGGATAAATAGAATTTTCTGAAATCTTGACCCTCCTAAGCTCCTTATCACATTTAGTAAAAGAAACAGTTAAAATCAATTTGATTTCATCTCTGAATTGTTTGAATTATCCAGCAAAAATGCATATTGCTTGAACAAAACGTAAGTATGAATTGGTTCAGATCTCAGATCAGATCATACTCACAGAATATAAAAGGCATTAACATGCAAAATGTCACTACCTACCATTTGTTACAGATGATGATTGCCTTCCATCGAACATTGTCCACAAAATGGTTGTGGTGGTGACATAACAATGAAACCTGAACATGACCTTCAAGGTAGAGAGGATCTTGTATGAGAGGGTTCTCCTTAAGGAGACAAAGGAAAAAGATCCTGATCGAGAGACATCTCCTTTAGGAGACAATGGAATATAGCAAATGCAACCATCTTATCGTATAATGTCAACCATTTTGCCAGGACATAGCAGTGAGAAACAAGTGCCATTTCCCAGAGATATGTCTAAAACATATGTAAGCTAATCTGGGAGGAGATATACATTAAGTGCATATAAGATGTCAAAACTGTTTGGGAAACATCTCAGATGTGATTTGGAGGTTGCCTGTCAAAAAATCTAGTTCAATTTACAAATCACTTCCATGTTCGTAAACAACTGTTTCTTAGCACATGTGACTCTTCTATGCCTCTAAATATCAGAATCTTGCTCAAATGTTTTGAGGTGGTGATCTGAAAAGGTTAGAATGTTTTGATCAACAGACTCTTGTATTAGCAAACTGGTGTTTTGCTTTGGTGGACTTCACTTTTTTCCAACCAGTAATTGTCAGATTTTTTTCTAATCCACCAATTGTTAATTGGATGAAGATAAAGGTTAATGCAATACAGGGGTTTCACGAGAATTTCTCACAACAGGCTTAATAAATGAAAACAACCGGCAAAATTAATGGAAATCATAAATTTAACATGAAAAAGTTTAAAAGTCCCTTAAAACAACAGGCGATTTTGTGAAAACAACCGGTGAAAATCGCCTGTTGTTTGCTGCTAATGAAACCCCTGCAATATTTGTTTTTGCTGGACATATCAAAGAAATCAGAGATGAAATCAAACTTTTTTGGTTCCCCTTGGAAAAAAATGAATGCCTCAACGATTGAATGGTCAATTCTGGTATATTTATCAAGCTACTGATTAAATTCAATAATTTAATTAGACCAGGGAGCAAAAAATCCCTAATGAGCCTCATACTCCAACATACTTCTTCACATCTCTGCATAAACTTGTCCAGGTAACACTGAAATACAGCAGGCCCATTCATGACACACAACCTCTCTCATGTTCTAAATGGTCACAAAACCCATAAATGTCAACATGAATTTAAAGTCACTTCTATTCTCATACAAGAATTCTTTGTGTTGGCGTTTACCAGGTCAATAGAATTGTTGCTATTGTATTGTGGCATTTGGCAATGATTATCACGAAAATTGAATTCTCCTCAAAACTATGTTAGTTACCAATTGTGTTCTTAAATCTATTAGGCCTCATATCAATCATTATACTGTGTTCTGACTTGACATTTCTATATTTCTTGATTATACATTTTCTAGATGATAACCTGACATCATAACCTGACATCATATCGTGGATTTTTTTAATTATAAACTGATTGCTTTGGATATTACAGCATTTGTAATTTGGGATGGAACTGCAATATTAAAAATATTAATATAAGGTTTCGTGTAAATGTAAGAACATTTTTTTGTTTTTGTTTCCTATATGCATATGGAACACAAGTTATAGAGTAAACACAAATTCAATTTATAAAATATGTACCATGGTAAGACTGCACACTTGGTTTGGCCAATAAAGTTAATTTTAAGTTAAAATCTTGAACATAATCCATTTGACTTACAAAGACTGTTGACTATTCTATAACTATGTGAGTTTCAAATATTCATATTTTTCACGTTGTACTTCCAAATTGCAAAATCAAGCTTATCTGGCGATATGACTCACAATGACATTTGCATTTCATTCTCTTACATTTGCATTTCCTAATGCAAATTAATCGAGATGGTAATAAGTTGTCAACTTAAAAGGTTTCACTACTTGGTCTCTGATACAATTACCCTATGAAAAACTTGAACTTCAACTCAAACTCTCTAAATTAACGATAAACCTTTAAACCCCGAGCCAATCAGAAGCTGCCATTGATCAGATACAGAGATTGCTTTTTATATCTGAATAAAATCAAATATAATCATATTTGGCACTATGATTGTTGAAAATCTCTGATTGGTTGAAAGCCAACTGTTAACAGTTAAACTGTTAAATGATCAACATTACTCAGATGATATTGCAGCTCAGGGGCTCAGAGCGATGTGACGAAAATATTATTTGAAGAAGTTTGATTCTAACTATACACGGCAGGAGGGGAAATTGACATCCTGAAGATGTGATGATATAAAGCAAGATACAGGAAATAGCTGATTGAAAGCTGATTTTTGATCTTGTAATCAGTCATACGAGACTGATAAAGAGGTTTTTGTTTGATTGAATCGATTCAATGTCATTTGAAACTGTAAAAACTATTAATACACATAATAACTCAAGCGGTCCTTGAATCGTCTCACTGAAAACATATTTTTTCCAAAATATATATACTGCTCTACTCTATCACCCTGCATAACCAAAAAGATATATGTTCAAATAAATATTCATTGGTTAACAAAATAATAGACTGTTATAAGATAGGATGATTTGCGTTCATAGATATAACATACAAATGAGAATATTATTCACAATCCACACACAGAAGTTAAACTTGGTCCCACTAGAGACAACATGAAGAATATCCCTGTCGAATATTCAGTCTTTTACAAATGCTATTCTACATTATAATATACCTCAAATGTATTCTAGATGCTCATTGGCTTATTCATGGTCACATGACATGGAATAGATGAACTAATTCCCTGGAAAATCCTAAATCCCTGCTTTCAGGGAAGATGAATTATACTAATCACCAGTTAGGTCATGTGACCAGTCAATAGTACATTTTATCTTCCCCCAAATCTGAGATTATAGGAGTTGAAAGGTAAAATGCCTTTAAATGCCAATAAGAACCTGTGAACATTTGATATTGAAATGAAAATACTTCTCATTTTGTTTTTGTTTACAGAGTAATTATCAGGTATATAATAAAACAAATAGTGACTGCCACATTTTCGGGAAATAGTGTAAAAATTTTCCTCTCGGGAATATCCTGTCCACTGACTTGTTCCCTCGGCCTGCAGCCTCGGGAACATGTCAGTGGACAGGATATTCCCTTGAGGAAAATATTTTGCACTATTTCCCTCAATGGCAGTCACTATTTGTACACTGTATATTGGCTGGTTTCACTGCATTAAAACATGCAAAGATAAACAGTAGAATGTAACCACATACATGATCAAATAAACCTCAGGTAAAAATCAATGTCAGGTGAGATATCTCTACTGAATCTTCATCAGCAACCCACATTGCCATTACCCTTACCAAGAGTTGTATGCTGTACTAGGCTCTGATTCTCAAGACCCTTGCCAAGAGCTATATGCTGTACTAGGCTCTGATTCTCAAGACCCTTGCCAAGAGTTGTATGCTTTACAAAGCTCTGACACATATAGACAAAGTTAAGTTCTTCAAAATGGTATGAAATAATGCCAGTTATACAAAACCATGAACATTTAACTCCACCCATTTTATCAGAAATACTATAGGCACCAATAATATCCCTATATTTTATTCAAGTATTAGAGTCCAAATAGATTTAATAACATGTGAATTCAATTCTTTTTTATGTATTGAATCAGCTTGACAGGTCTGTATATATTGACAATACAATTCATACTTTAATACATATATTTCTTTAGATGGATGGAATTTGTAAATAAAAGGAGGAACAATGTAACTGGCAGAAAAAGTACATAAAGTCTGTAACATACTGTTACAATCTTCAAAACAAGACATCAACATGCAAAATGTCAACACCTAACCATTTGTTACAGAGACTGACTGCCAAACACCTTGAACATTGAACACTATCTACAATAAAGTTGGAGAGTATAACAATATGTTACCACTTGTGATAGTGACATTTAATGTACAAAAAGCCATACATCAAATCTGTGGATCATCTCCTCTAGCACTTCCCCTCCAGTGGTTAGGTGTGGATGTTTTTGGAGTGATATTGGGGACTAAAGGCAAGACTACACAAAGTTACTGGTAGGATACTGGTAGGAAGACTTTCAACAAGAGTTAAGTTACTGTAACCTCAAAAGATATAGAAAAATACCAACTTACAACATGAATGAATAAAGAATATATGTCAGATATCAGTATTTTATACTAAAAAGTATTCAATCATCATCAATTTTTTCATTTATACATAACTTAACAGAATATTGCATACAAGTCTTAAAACAATAGCAATTTGTAAGAACTGCCTAATAAATCTGTGAGTCTTTTATCAGACTCATATGCAGGACTAGTCCCTCTCTACTAACCAGACCAAGCAAACTCAATCACCAAACAAAGAAAATAGGGAGAGGATCGTTGCGATAACCACGCCCCCTTTGTCTTGATCTTTCCAATGTCGCAAATGACAGATAAGAGGGGGTCTGGGAGAGGATGTAACCACACAATGACAAAACATGAGATTCCAGGAAATCATATGCTCAAATTAACAATCATAGAAGATTAACAGATTAATAATCAGACAGATTATGGATTTTCTTTCATAATGATTCAGCATTATGCAAGCTATTGAACATGTATATACATGAATATATTCTAAAGCCCACGGGCTAAATCCTTTATAAAATGCCTGAAACATAAAATGTGTTCATTTTAATTGAAGGATTAATTGATTTTCCAGGGAACACATTTCATTAAGCAATTGCTTGTAATTTAGAACAATGCTTTTGACTAATTGAAACATTTGTTCATTAACTAGCACATTAATAATTTAAACTGCGATGTAGATCTCCTCCATAAATCAAAGTCAAAATTGAAAACTATCAACCTTTTTCAAATTTTCAACCTTACTATGGAGCTGTGATAGAGGTAGAGAGTGACTGGATTAAATGACCAGCCATGTTTCAGATATTTTTTTCATTTAATTTATTTCATATATACAAGCATTTTATACATATTTTTGTGTTTTTAGAATTGAAGGGTTTAAAGGTTGTCACCTTTTTTCAGATGAAATGAAGTCATTTCTTAGGTGAAAAGACAACTCATATTTTTCGGTGACTTTATTTAAAAGTCATATTGGATCAATCAAACCTTTCAGCACAGTACTTGTGTCAATTTCAACAGGACTGCTGAGGAGTATGTTTTAAATAAGCATCATGTCAAACTGACCTCAAGTGCCATATCACAAAATAGTCAAGTTCAGAAATGAACAGGCATTAATGTCACCACTTGTCATTTGGTACAGATGCAAGAGGCTGAATGCTGAATACCAACCACTGAACACTGAACACTGACTGGCAAACACCGCCATTTGTGGTGGTGATATAAGAATTAAGTTTTCTCTAAAGTATAGGTTACTCTTATAAGGACCAGTCTTCTAAATGCTAAAAAGTCAAAATATTCTTTAGACTAACAACAAAATTGTTTCATTGAAAGTATCGGTATTGTTACCAACATGTGCCTCTTAAATGATTGATGTTTAGGAACAGACCGTTAAACAGGAACATAATATAAAATACAACACAGAAGGGAAATGAACAGTGCACATTGGCATTGTAACATTTGAGGGTAAAGCGCTTTACCAAATTTTTATATAATAGGCCCTAGTCAGGAGCCAATCTGAAAATGCATATGGGGGTTACTTTTGCGAAACTTTGGCTTGTTTATCTAAAATTTAAAAAGAGAATCAGATCTAGCGAGCAGCCTAACAAAAAATTGTTTCAATTTTAGAATATTTCTGGCTCATGTCATTCCTTTTCTTAGGCTTAACAAAAAATTGTTTCAATTTTAGAATATTTTTGGCTCATGTCATTCCTTGTCATGTCTATTTTCTAAAAATCACAAAAGTGCATACTTTATTCAAGAAAAACGAAAGATTTTTACAATAATGTATTATTTTTCGATAAGAATGGTTACCATACTTATTATTTGGGAGAATTTAAACATTTTTCACCCATTTTTGCACTTTGAATCATTAATAACTTCACCAATTTATAACATATTGTGAATCTTTTGGGAGATTTTGTATTTGATATTGTAGAAGGTCAATTATGCAAGTTGCTTGTAATTTTGTCACTCCCTATAGATCTTGTGCTGTCACTTGTTGTAAATACTAAGCTCTTCGACATTTAAAAAGTTACTCGACTTTTTTGTGATTTTGAATCACAGAAAGCATTCTGAAGTTTCAAACTGGCGCCACCAGGCCCGTAGCCAGGATTTGCCAAGGGGGGGGGGTTCAGTTTTCAAAAATTTCCAAGGGGGGGTTCACATTTGGCAACTTTGGCCCAAATATGGCTAAAATAACAAGAGAAGTGCTCAAAATGGTGAAAAACTGCATGATTTTGAAAGAATTTTTGGCCAGGGGGGGGGGGGGGTTTGCAGGGTTTGGGCTACGAGCCTGGCCACGTTTAATTTTTGGCATCCGCCTAATGTATACCACTTACCTTTTATTGATTCTTTCATAAGTTTTGTCATAAACTCAGTTTGACGAGAAGTATCTTTGTGGCTGCTCGACTTTTTTAAAAAAATGTCCATTTTCTAATCACCCAGATATATATATTCTATATTTTCTTATTTTAGTAATTCTTGGGGTCACACATGAAGATTCTAAATAACTAATATAACAGTGTCACAGCATGGGCTTTCAAGTGTCTCTTGAAAACCCATGGTCACTGTGACTTACTCGAGTCTCTAGCCAATACTTGGCTAGAGGGGATTCATCTGGAATACTGTGAACTCTATTTGAAAAAAGCTGCCGGGGTGTCATCAATTTATTGAATATTTTAAAAATCGCCAGATAAATAAATCATTAATCAAACCGGACCCAGCTCGGCTCCTTGATGAGATATGACATGATTTCATCAGGATTTCGTCTAAAATTAAAACAAAATGGCTCCAAGAAAAATGGCGATGTTCGAAAACTGGACGAAATGTCGTTACGTCTGACATTAGTAACTGGCTGTAAATTCTAAGTTAGCGATCCAGAAGATGTGAACTAATACACTGATCACTTTGTGTGTGTTTTGGAATTTTTGGTGAGGTAATAAGACCAAAACTCGCAATTCAAATTGTGATGTGGAAAAATGGCGGACATATGATTTCAAATCTTATGATTACGACATGACCAGTTGTTCATGCAGGAATATATCTGTACTGGAAGGCCACGATACAGTGGCCTTAGAAGAAGGTAAACTGTGACTGTCAAACTCAAGTCCCAAGTCATTCGGAGATTTGCAAGAAAAAATGGTAACATTTTCACAGCTTCTCATTTACATGTTTCTTGCAAATCGGACATCGGGAGCAATGACAAACGAATTGTAATATATCTAATTGACTTACCGTATAATATTTGTAATGTCTCTTTAGCTGAAATTGTAGAAATCTGCTAAAATATCCACGAATTTAAAACAACATTTTTGCCGATTCAAAATGCTTCCGGTTGTTGGAGCATAACGCATTTAGATTCCAGGCACTCCTTGTTTTGGGCTGCCATCTATAAATGAGTAAAGAATTCAAATTACTCAATAGTGTTGACCATTAAAACACCATGGCATACACCCACTCTTCCATCCCCATGGTAGTGTCTGGTCTGTAAGTTGAACACTAGCTATCCCGCTGGAGTTTGTGATGTACAGGCATAGGCACATGTATATTTTATGGATATTTTATAGTTCAACAAGGTTAAATCTAGTATCTGGGCCTTATTTCCTTCTGACATCTTCACAGTGATCTTGTATCCCGCGGCTAATGTACGGTTAAAAAACGAAATAAGGTATTGAGTTTAACTTGTTGAACTAGTATATATAAAAATCTAGAAACTAATCAAACTATCCGCCGATTGTATTTCGTGATTCTAAAATTTAATCCTCACTTCCGGGTTTAGAATTCAGCATGTTTTAAAAAGTTTGGTGAGTTTATCTTCTGCTATTAGATTGCATCGAGATGAACATGCAACACATTGTGTTAAATCTACATGGCATTAGTTATAACATTTAATCCAACTTTCTTTGAAATATCTTATCTCCACTGTTGTGAATTCCAGTCGATTGTGTTGGGCGATAATAGAGTAAATTTATTTTATTTGAGTTTTTATGATTTTATGGAATTATAAGATCAAAATTCTAATAGCGTTTATCGAGGTTTAAAGTAGGCACATGCTCTGCTGCAGTGTAATTAATAATTTCCTTCGCATATCATTATCTTCCAAGCCTCAGGAAAGAAATGATCCAATTCCAGGACTTCTACAAGTTGGGGAAAGTTATCCCGTGCCAGGACTGTAGTCCTGGAGAGAGCCCAATCTTTTGCCTGTACGATTACAACTTGGGAGAATTATCTACACCCCTTACCCTTATGATACCTACTTCAATAGATTCCTTGGTATTTTAGCATTCTTTTCGTGTAGTTTATAGTTGAATCCACAATTGTCTGGTTTTATCGGCAGAATGAAGAGATTTTCGTTTTTGATTGAGAGAGACTCCATCACTTTTCAAGATGGCGGTTGGATTTAAAAGGGGATTCCCCGTTTGACTGGCCCGGAATAAATGGAGGAATTTGATGGTTGATATAAGTTAAAAATTACACGCAAATATTGCGATCAAAAGTGAAAATCTCTTCGTTTTAATTTTTCTCGCATCAATGTGTTGTGTTTTGAAACACAGTTAACCCCTTTAAAGGAATAAGTGATTCCTTTGGCGGTTTTAAAGATATCCATTATGGGTAACCAAAATTAGCTGAAAGCAATGGATCGCATGAGTTAACATTCAAAATATTGTTTTCCACTTTATCTAAAAATATGCACCTTCATACTTTATTTTGTACCAGAAAATAACATGTGCAGATGAAGCAATTTTTTCAAAAATGTTTTCGTTCCATATTAATGTCATAATTGATACAGAAATATGATAAAATCCAATCCAATGTGATCAGACACAAAGACATACAAATTGTGAGATTGAGAGAGTGATCTTCTTTAGAAGGTAAATCAAACAAATTCTGTTGTACACTACAGTATATGGCTAAGTTAAAACTCTGACCGAGATAATACTTTTGAAATCAATTGGTTTCAAAGTTTAGTTGCCAGTCAGTCTTACTTGATCATATTTTCCTGACAAACACGTTTTCATTATCTTATTAAGTGTTAGTATAACATACAATGGCATTTTTATGCTTTCTATGATTACTAACAATTACTTTTTTCTGCATTTGCTAGCCCATTTCATATGAACATAGAGATATATCCTACTTGAGGTTCAGGATATTGAGATCATCCCCAGTCCAATATAATATAGCTGACCAAGGGCAGTAGGTCCCAAGGGTAGATATATTACATTGGCCAAGGGACTAACTATTACTTATTACATAACAGTTTATTCAATATTGTATGTACTTATGAGCCATTTTTTATTGATATTTTTCACATTTACTTGTTTGCTTGTTTGAGAGCTTATGTTTCACATTTTGTGTGTCATATCAAACCTAAAAGATGAGCACTCAAAGGACCAAAGTGTCATCTCGTATATGGGAAATATATTCATATTGTAGTTACAAACTTTTTTTTTTGTAGTTCAGATATGGTTACCATTGTTTTCAGTAAACCTGTGACCTTTTGCAATTTAGGGAGTTTCAGCCATGATGGTTTTTTTGTTTTAAAAAGTGAATAGAATTCTTCCCGGGAAGGTTGGGGAGCTCCTATTGTTTCAGCATGGGGTGTACTGAGTTTTCACACCAGCCCTTTGCTCAGATTTTCATTTTGTGTTTCAAACTTCAATTTTATTTATTGTATGATTGACAGGCACTGGAAATGGCAGATACATTAACACTCCAGAGGCTGTTCATAGGGGGTCTGTATCCGGATATAACTTCATCACAGCTCGAGGCTCGCTTCAAGATGTTCGGAGACATCAAGTCAGTCAGCATACAGAGCAAGAAAGGAGAGACTCGTAAGAAAGCCGCAGTCATATTTATTTGAGTCATTAATATCTGCATGGGATTTCCATTGAAGATTCATTGTGTTAATATCTGCGTCTACTTTCCATAGAAGGAAGAAGGCCCGTGATAAAAATATCTTCTTTAGCTTTCCATAGAACACCCATGATGTAAATATCTGTGTCAACTTTACCTGGAAGGCTCATGATATATGTAACTTTGGCGACAAATTTTCTTAATTTATTAATTCAGCGCTTGCATTAGGTTAGAAAATTTGTGAGTCCCAAGGACGCAATTTTTTTTAAAAGTGTGTTCTTTGAAAAAAAAGTGTGTCCCCTATTTCTAGCCTGTTTTGAGTAGGGCTGGCACGGAACGGAATCGGAACGGAACTCGGAACTTGGCTTCGGAATTCGGAACTTTCAGAATTTCGGACCTTATTTAAAATAGTTCCTACTTCTCCCCTGAAGTTCTCATTTTTGTTACCATAGGAACAGCAGTGTACAACTATATACAACTATTTAAGTTTATTAAATACAAACACTAACACTATCTAACTGCCAGAACAAGTGACATAAGTGTTCAAAACTAATGGCAAAATGTTAATGTCCTTGCCTTCTTGGCACCTTGGCATACAACTGTTACTGTATATTGTATATTGGCTTTCTTACAATAATTTTATTTTCTTATAGGTACTGAATATATATAAAACAATCATACTTTATCTATTTCTATCATTCATTACATATAAAACAACTTTACCAAGTGAAAATGTTTAATAATTATATATATTTATTGATTTCGTTTCATAGTATGAGTTCGCTATAGCGAGTTGGAAAACAAAAATTCAGAAAATTATCGGAATATGAGAAGGTAGGTCCGAAAGTCCGTTTCCGAAGGCAAAATCGGACGGTTCGGACAATAATTCCGTTCTGTGCCAGCCCTAGTTTTGAGGTATAACTTCTTGCCGCGGAAAACGGAAGTAAACATTCAGTACGGACTGAATAAATGCATGTTCGTTCATTCGACAATGAATACATTTTATTTCATGAATAACCTAATATTTGTTTCTGAATAGGGAAAACTGTGGTGTGTCATGGTTTCAAATCTAAAAATAAACAAAGTCGAAAAAATTCGAGAGAATCATGATTATTTGTAAATATTCAACATGTTGAGCCTTATTTACGATTCAAATAAAGGTGAGAGATCATAATTATTTGTTTCTGTTAGGTATCGTTGTAAACACATTGTAGTATTGACCTAAAAAAAATTTGCGTCCAAAAAACGGAAATATTTTCAATTTTTGCGTCTTCCAAATTATTTTTGAGTCCTTAACATGTACGGGACGCCGTTAATGCAAGCCCTGTTATTGTGACAATTCTCAATGAATGTTAGATTACTGTGACAATAACTTCAAATTTCAGTGGACATTTGGTGTAATACCTTTTATATTTTAACTTTATCTATAATTCATATTCCAGCTGACCAAAACAAGACATTTGCATACATCAATCTGAAGACAACTGACGGGAATATTAAGAAATGTAAGTACAAAATGTGGGGCTATCTTCTCTATCCCATAATTTGGTTAACCATGGTTATTATTTAATTGTATGGTGATACCAATGAATACCAATAAAAGAAGTATTTATGATAATTTATATCCAGGGTTTTCATGAGTGAGCCTAGTATGAATTGATTTGCAATTACATGTAACTTAAAGACCAAAAAGAAATTGAGGAATCACGTTGAAAATAATTCAAAAATACCATGACAACCTTTCTGAAAATCTTTTTACACTCAGTCAAAATGATCAAATTTCTTACCCAAAAACAGCAACCTGTTGAAATCACTCATTCAAATCTTTAAGCCTATTAATGCCACTTTTCCTTTGAGATCAGTACTATCCCTCCCCACATTGACATTCTGAGATGCTGCACCTCCTTGTATTTCAACAAAATGTTTCTCCAATAATTTATTGCGCATCCTAAATTGTTCCATGAAAATTAGAAAACCTTAAAATGTTGCACTAAAAATAACAAAATCCTTAAATGTGGCACTATTAAAAATAGCGAAAAAAACGAAATCCCACTCACAAAATTATCCTGGTGAGAGCACTGTTTATATTGTTTGAAACGTTCATTGAACCATTGCAATTTACTTGTAGGTATGAGCTCTTACAACAACACTAAATGGAAGGGTAATGTTATGAAGATACAGATTGCCAAGGAAAACTTTCTAGACAGGTAAGTACTGTACAAAACTCAAGTAATGCCTCTGTTAGTATTAACCATAATATTAAAAAAGGCATAAGTTAAGCTTTAACGTCATGTAAAAAAATCCCCATTCTTAGTATTGAAAATGTTCTTCTTAGGAAATGAGGATTTCTGCAAGGGTGTTTTGACTCAAAGTGGGGATACATTTGACTTTTATCCTGTATATCTACTTTGTGTGAATGTAGATATGCAGGATTAAAGTCAATTGCATCCCCATGTTAAGTCAATGGCACCATTGCTGAAATCTTCATTTTTTCAGAAGAACTCAAGTTGCTCAGGTCTCAACAAGTAGATTCATTTGGAAGAGAATCGGTAGAATCAATTTTCAATAGTAAGAGTAGGGTTTCTTAAACAGAACATTATTGCTTATTGGCACTAATAAGCACTACTTATAAATATTTTTTTGAAAAATTGTTCTGCCTGCCAAAAATATGAGTTACCATAGCAATGATCGCAACTATATGTTTGTCCAATTTGAAGAAAGTAGATGAAATTTAACATACCAATGAGTGCGATCATTTAACAATCCAATAAGTGCCATCATTTAACATTCCAATGAGTGCCATCATTTAACAATCCAATGAGCGCCATCATTTAATATTCCAATGAGTGCCATCATTTAACATTCCAATGAGTGCCAGCATTTGACATTCCAATGAGTGCCATCATTTAACAATCCAATGAGCGCCATCATTTAATATTCCAATGAGTGCCATCATTTAACATTCCAATGAGTGCCAGCATTTGACATTCCAATGAGTGCCATCATTTAACATTCCAATGAGTGCCATCATTTAACATTCCAATGAGTGCCATCATTTAACATTCCAATGAGTGCCATCATTTAACATTCCAATGAGTGCCATCATTTAACATTCCAATGAGTGCCATCATTTAACATTCCAATGAGTGCCATCACTTAACATTCCAATGAGTGCCATCATTTAACATTCCAATGAGTGCCATCATCTAACATTCCAATAAGTGCCATCATTTAACATTCCAATGAGTGCCATCATCTAACATTCCAATGAGTGCCATCATTTAACATTACAATGAGTGCCACCATTTAACAATCCAATGAGTGCCATCATTTAACATTCCAATGAGTGCCATCATTTAACAATCCAATGAGTGCCATCATCTAACATTCCAATGAGTGCCATCATTTATCATTCCAATGAGTGCCATCATTTAACATTCCAATGAGTACCAGCATTTAACATTCCAATGAGTGCCATCATTTAACATTCCAATGAGTGCCATCACTTTCTCTGAAGCCTTTCTCTGAGAACTTACTGACATGGCACACATGTATATAAAATCTTATTTCTTGTAGACTTAAACAAGAGAGAGAAGAAAACAACAAGGTGTTGAAGGAGCCTCTGGAAAAGACCCCTGATTCTGACTTCAAAATCAAAGATTTCACTGTAAAAGGTGCTAAACCTGGGACCCCTACTGATCAAGAGGTAAAATGTTCAGGTTGTTTAAAATTAATAACTTCTTAAATGAGTACTCGCATGGCAACTAATCAGCGAAAATGAAATTGTAGACCTAATATATACTGCTCAAAAAATCTAAAGGACAACTTTTTACTTTGTTTAAATAGCATGTATATAAGTTGTCCTTAACTTTTTGGGTTGCATATTAAGGATAACATTCTTATGGAATAATAAAAGACAAAAAAAATAACAATAATTTTAAGCACTTGAGTAACCTATTTATTATTTTCACATTCTATGTAATATACAGTAGAAAGCAGAAATTCAAGAAGTCAAACACACAGCCACAAAACATCCTCCATAGCGTTAGTTGTCCCGTGTAGTTGAATGGAGTGGTTTCTGCAAGTCAATAAAATTCATGGGACACGCCCGGTGATCGTGAATATGGGACGGAGGGGGGAGCAGGCAATTTCCGCTAGGAAATTCAACAAATCTGGAAGATTTATTTTTTCAAGAAAAAGTTTACTATTGAATTGCTAAATGGATAGGCGCACGGTATGGTAGAATATGTTAGGTTTTCTGGGATTTTTTCTAAAACGATACGCATCTAAGGTATGAGATCTATTAAAAAAGGCGCAAGGCCATCAACAGGCACAAATCAACGTTTTTGCTATAAATCAAGCAACAATGGTCTGGACGACCTGTAATAAATACTTGTAAGTGATGTTATCATAACTAAATTAATGCCATTGCTGAATTTATAAAATAAGTTTCCATATGTGAAATAAAAAATAATCGAAAATAATGAATTTGGGACGGAGGGGGGGAGCAATATGTATATAAGACATGATTGGAGATGTTTCGCGACTTTAAGTCCTTTTACTCCAAATGTCCCCATTTTTCAGTCTCCAGGGGTATATCATCCAGTTTCTTACTAAGTTAATGAGTTCATTTTTCAAATACAAGAATTCGTGTGAAGTTGTTTCACTTTATAGAATTATTACTCCCCCCTCCGTCCCCTCCCCCCCCTCCGTCCCATTTTAATTATTTTCGATTATTTTTTATTTTACGTATGGAAACTTATTTTATAAATTCAGCAATGACATTAATTTAGTTATGATAACATCACTTACAAGTATTTATTACAGGTCGTGTAGTCCATTGTTGCTTGATTTATAGCAAAAACGTTGATTTGTGCCTGTTGATGGCCTTGCGCCTTTTTTAATAGATCTCATACCTTAGATGCGTATCGTTTCAGAAAAAATCCCAGAAAACCTAACATATTCTACCATACCGTGCGCCTATCCATTTAGCAATTCAATAGTAAACTTTTTCTTGAAAAAATAAATCTTCCAGATTTGTTGAATTTCCTAGCAGAAATTGCCTGCTCCCCCCCTCCGTCCCATATTCACGATCACCAGGCGTGGCTGTGTGTTCAACTGATATTCAGTAAGACCTGAGAAAGTGAAATGCCTCTTGCACCTGAAAACAGTATCCCTCAACTTACAGAGGATCCTTTTGCATGAATTCAATGTTTAACTGGACTTTGAAAGGTGTTTCTCTTATCCAGGTGTTCTGCTTTAAGAGGTGTTCTGCTTCACAGGTTTTACTGTACTTTTACAATACGATACAAATACGAACAAGGAGAAAAACACATTATTCATCCATCTTCAACAAGGAACAAAAAACACAGAACAACATAATCTTTCTCAAGTAGACATATAAACAGGTCTAAGAAAATCTTAATAAAATTTGTAAATACATGTCCAGTTTTCAGTGATTGCTTTTCCTCTCATGTCTAAAGCCCCCCCCCCCCCTCTCCCCGTACTCCTGGTTATAAGTCTACTCTCTATTTTACTCACAACATTATGCTTATATGTGAAATACTCTGCTCTGTTTCAGCACTGGGTCATTGGAAAATATGGCAGAGTACTCCCTGTATTAGAACTCAAACGTAGAGACAGGAAAAAAGTATCCTTATTCAACCCTTGGGATTTCTATTTAAATATCTGTGTCATTGGTTGAAACTATGGCAATCATATCATAAACCTTGTACATTTTATATAGAATGATTGATCTTAAAATTTTTAAGTAAAACGTTCAGTACTACATGAGCCTGGCCATAGAAAAACAGGTCTTATTATGTCACCACCAAAAGTGGTGACATATTGTTATGGTCTCCGTTTTTTTGCGACGGCGTCCGGCGGTTGGAGGTTGGCGTCCGGCGGTTGGTGTCCGGCGGTTGGCGTCCGGCGTCTGTAACAATTTCTTACAACTTCCTATAACTTAACAAATACTGTTTAGACTGACTTCAATTTTTTTCTAAATCATCTACATGTTCTCAGAAGTTCAAATCTGACTTTAGATTTGACATTTGACCTTCAATGACCTTCTCAAGGTCAAAAAGGTCTTTTTTCAACTTGCTTCACATTGACTAATTTTTTTTTCAAAATCATCTACATGTTCTCAGAAATTCAAATCTGACTTTAGATTTGACTTTAGATTTGACATTTGACCTTCAAATCTGACTTTAGATTTGACATTTGACCTTCAATGACCTTCTCAAGGTCAAAAAAGGTCAAAAAGGTCTGTTTTCAACTTGCTTCAAATTGACTACATTTTTTTTTCAAAATCATCTACATGTTCTCAGAAATTCAAATCTGACTTAAGATTTGACATTTGACCTTCAATGACCTTCTCAAGGTCAAAAAAGGTCAAAAAGGTCTGTTTTCAACTTGCTTCAAATTGACTAAAATTTTTTTTCAAAATCATCTACGTGTTCTCAGAAATTCAAATCTGACTTTAGATTTGACTTAAGATTTGACATTTGACCTCCAATGACCTTCTCAAAGTCAAAAAAGGTCAAAAAGGTCTTTTTTCAACTTGCTTCAAATTGACTAAATTTTTTTTTCGAAATCATCTACATGTTCTCAGAAATTCAAATCTGACTTTAGATTTGACATTTGACCTTCAATGACCTTCTCAATGTCAAAAAAGGTCAAAAAGGTATTTTTTCATCTTGCTTCAAATTGACTAAATTTTTTTTTCAAAATCATCTACATGTTCTCAGAAATTCAAATATGACTTTAGATTTGACTTTGGATTTGACATTTGACCTTCAATGACCTTCTCAAGGTCAAAAAAGGTCAAAAAGGTCTTTTTTCAACTTGCTTCAAATTGACAAATTTTTTTTTCAAAATCATCTACATGTTCTCAGAAATTCAAATCTGCCTTTTCGATTTGACATTTGACCTTTAATGACCTTCTCAAGGTCAAAAAAGGTCAAAAAGGTCTGTTTTCAACTTGCTTCAAATTGACTAAATTTTTTTTTCAAAATCATCTACATGTTCTCAGAAATTCAAATATGACTTTAGATTTGACTTTAAATTTGACATTTGACCTTCAATGACCTTCTGAAGGTCAAAAAAGGTCAAAAAGGTCTTTTTTCAACTTGCTTCAAATTGACTAATTTTTTTTTTCAAAATCATCTACATTTTCTCAGAAATTCAAATCTGACTTTAGATTTGACCTTTGACCTTCAATGACCTTCTCAAGGTCAAAAAGGTCTTTTTTCAACTTGCTTCAAATTGACTAATTTTTTTTCAAAATCATCTACATGTTCTCAGAAGTTCAAATCTGACTTTAGATTTGACATTTGACCTTCAATGACCTTTTCAAGGTCAAAAAGATATTTTTTCAACTTGCTTCAAATTTACTTAATTTTTTTTCAAAATCATCTACATGTTCTCAGAAGTTCAAATCTGACTTTACATTTGACCTTCAATGACCTTCTCAATGTCAAAAAAAGTCAAAGAGGTATTTTTCAACTTGCTTCAAATTGAGGAATTTTTTTTTCAAAATCATCTACATGTTCTAAGAAGTTCAAATCTGACTTAAGATTTGTGTGCAACTAGTTTTAACTTGCTTCAGATTGAACAATTTCTTTTTTCAAAATCATCTACAAGATCCCAGAAGCTCAAATCTTCAAAAACATTCTTAAGGTCAAAAGGTATTTTCCAACTTGCTTTAAATTGACCAAATTGTTTTAGGTGGTGACATTTTGTCATGTTAATGCCTTGTCACAAAAATTGAAATTGTGCTACAGAGGAAAAAATGTGCCCAAGATTTAGAAGAAAATGTACTCAATTCAAATCCGACTTATTGGTTCATATATGTAAGGAAAAGAAACAAGCCATGGCTCATTTGAAAGGTCTCTTTCTGCTTTTGAAGATAAACAAAAAATCAGAATATTGAAAAAATCTGTGATAAGACCCCTTTTCCTGTGGCCAGGCTCATATATAAATAAATGTATTATAGCATGAATGTCTACCTATTCATCCTTAACTGCCCACATACTGTTGAAATTGACCCATCAAAGTTATGTCATGCTATTAAACAGTTCAAAGAAGAAGATATAGAACAGGGAGGGGTGTCAGAAATGACCTGGCAGCTAGAAGACAAAGACTCACCAATGACAAAAAAGAGGAAAGGAGAATTCCCCAAAATAAGTAAGTACACAGTTTTTCTAAATGTACTGAGTAGTGCTTAGAAGTTCATTCTAAGCCTATTATATCATATTGCCATTTCATGTTTGTGATGCTGCAGTTTTCAAAGATATGGGCTCTGTGATATTGTGGAGATTTATGGAGGCTTATATGAAACAATATGTATATACACTGTATATAAGGATTATGTACTTGGAGGTTTTAGATAGCAATGTTTATCCCAAGGTAAATATGTGTATCTCCAGAGGGATAACACATGTATTTAAAACAGACCATGCATAAAAGATATATTCCTACTAAGCCTCTATCACTTTTTTTGAAATACAAGCCTAGTTGAAGGCTGCCCATATAAGGTAGCCAACACTTATTACTCCTATTGCAATTGCTGCAACACCAAGGACAGTCCCAACACTTAGGGAAGCTGCTCCTATGTACCCTGCACCAGAGATTCCAGCCTCAGCTGCACCTGCAAGTGCACCTTCAGCTACAACAGCAGCACCAGCACTTTCAGCTGCTAATGCAGAGCCTCCCGCTAAAGCACCGCCAGTTGCAGCTGCAGTACCACCAGCTGTGCCTGCTCCAATTGTAATTGCACCAGATAAAGGAACTGCTACTCCAGAGCCTGCAGCAACTGTCATGGGTGTTACAGCACCAGCTGGGCCCCACACTAGATGGCCAAGGCCTACTCCACCAGAAAAAGCAACACCAGCTGCAGCGAAACCCACTTTGGCATTTCGCTGAAATGAAAAAATGACTCTTATTTGACCATAATAACTGAAATTGTGATGATAATTTGACAATGACATTTCTCATGTGTGTAGAGAACTGATGACTATTGCACGAGATAAAGGTGTACTAATGTATAGGTATTATAGTCATTTTTTAATCTTTCCATCGAATTTAGTCTGTAGTTCAGGAGGGATAAAGAGAAGCCATCTGGCACTTGTAAGCAGATTGGGTTCAGTTTTTAGAAACCAATGCCTTTTATGACCGCTGCTCCAGAAGAAATTTCAAATTTTGATAAAAAATGTGAAGCTTTGATAACTCAAACACCAGTGGGTGAATCTAGTTATCCAACCAAATGAAGTTACGAGAGGAATTTAGAGAAGCCATCTGTCCATTAGTCCGTCTTTTCATTTATTTGTTCATCTGTCTATCTGTATGGGTAATAACTCAAATACCGCTTGACAGATTCAGCTCACATATTACAAGCTAATACCTGCCAAAGGGGGAATTTTCAATTTGGCAGTATGAGACTCACAATCCTTGATTTTCAAACAACTGGTAGGTCTAGAATTCAAATTAACGGTCGTAGTTGGCACTGCATGTGTTTTAAATTATAGATTTTACTTTGATTGTTCATATAGAACATGAGAAGGCTTGGTATGTATCACTCATACCATTTGTTTAGATTGTGTGTGCTCCTTTGGAACTAATTATAGCATTGATAAGTATACCTATGAGGACATATTTAAAAGGATAATGATGTCTAAAAGGGATATTGTAATACCTAATGTTAAGTCAAGGGTGCATATTTTCATGTTAAGTCAATACACACTCGCTACAATTTAATATTCTCAGGAGAAAGTTAGAAATTTGTATTCCCTACATTCCTAAAATACCCAAATGTACTCAGAAAAATGTACTCCTTAGAAAATAGCCAAAATCCAACATATGACTGTCCGAAATCTGTTGTGATACTTTCCCTCCTCCTTTATACTTATGTCTTCACTATCCCACTTAACAAAATCTGGTAGAGATTCAGAGAAGCTGTCCATCCATTTGTCCATCCTTTCATTCATTTGAATGGGTCGATTACCAGTTGATGGATTTGTTTCAAATTTCATAGGGTAAAGGAGAGAAGGAATTTTTAAAATGGTCGCTCAATTCAAAATGGCTGACATTTTTTATAAAAGATGTTATCTTTGATAACCCAAAATATCTGTCGTCGGCTTTGGTTCAACTTTTAATGGCTGATGCCTGATGGACATAGGAACTCTGCTCAGAGAGTGATTTTCAAAATGGCCAATGAATGCCAAAATGGCTGCCATTTTTCTTAAAAATCTAATTTTTGATAACTTAAAGTACCACTATTTATAGAATTTGTTCAAAATTTTGTAGGCTAATGTCTTAGGGGAAAATGAGGGGAATCTTCAATATGGCCACTCATTCAAAATGGCTGCAATTTTGTTAAAAATGTAATTAATCCATTTCTGTAAGTCTTGGTCGTAAAGTGTAAAAAATAGTTTCTACCAAAGAAAGCATGAAGAGAAATAACAAACCTGTCCATCTGGCCTATAAGATCGTCCATGTGGATTATCATATTGCCTTCTTCGATTGATATTTCTTGATCTGCCTGAAACATTAAGAATTAGAGGTATTATAGTGTATGATGTAGCAGCTGCTCAAAATTACTAGGGAGGTCAAAATTACTAGCGAGGTCCAAAGGATGAAAACTACTCTAAGAAAAACTCTGAATAAATGCCTTGTTTCCCATTTCCCCTTCAAAACCAATGGGATGACCTGACCCCATCATAGGTACACTTATGTTTGTATGAAAATAGCATGCTGTTACCTTATCCATATATTGTTGGGTCTCTACGAAACGATGACGCCAATATGATACGACAAACTTCAGAGTTAGAGTAACATAGGCTTCTTTATTATTATATATAGTCAAACTACACTATCTATGTACAATTTATATACTACTGAGCTACTGTACTGACTGTAAAAGACCCAATCGTAACTCCGGATCGTAACTCTGCTGAGTACAATGTTTTTCTTGACGCGGGCAGTTTCACCTGGATCTGTCCTGGATGTGCCCTACCTAATTTTTCCAACAGCTTCTTCAATGACTCCACTCTTTCTCATTCCTCGGTAACAAACTCCTTCAGCGCTCTCTCTGATCTTGACAATTCGTCATCATCATCTGATTCTACCGAATCAGAACCACCGAGGCCGACTGCACGAAAGAGGCGAAACCAGGTTCGCCTCATGTCTATCAACTTCCGCAGTCTAATTAGTCATGAGAAGCAACTACACCTTCAACAACTAATTGAAACTCACAAGCCAGATGTCATCATAGGCTGTGAGACTCACCTGGACAACACCATCGACAGCAAATGGATATTCGGTCAAGACTACCTTAGCCCACCTCCATACAGGAAAGACCGAAAGAAAGGTGCTGGCGGTGTCCTTATCGCAGTCAAAAGTGACTTCATATCAGTCGAATATGAAGCGACAGCTGATTGCGAAATCATATGGTCCAAAGCATCTCTATCAAATGGGGACATACTGTTTGGATCCTTCTATCGTCAACCAAACAACGATACTGGTGCTTTGGACTCGCTCCAAACATCCCTCGATAAACTTTATGCTAATGGTAATACACATATGAAAAACATCTTCCTATGTGGTGACTTCAACTTACCAGACATCGATTGGGAGAATGGAACTATAAGGCCTAATTCTCAATATTCTAATGATCTTAATGAGAAGATGATTACAATAACTGATGATCATGGCCTAACCCAACTAGTCAAGGAACCAACTAGACAAAATAACATCCTTGACTTAGTATTCACTACATGCCCAAACCTCGCAGAAAGAATCTCGGTGGTTCCGGGCATGAGTGATCACGAGGCAGTCCTATGTGATATAAACCTAAAAATGAAAATTCAGAAAAAGAAGCCTCGTAAGGTCCACATATACAAGCGGGCAGAATGGACTGGACTTAAAGAGACTCTACGATCTTAGTTCAGCGAATTCAAAGAGAACTCTGAAAGTAGATCAGTTGAAGACAACTGGTCCTCCTTCAAATCTACATTAATATCGTCAATCAATGAGCATATTCCAAGTAAAACTCTAAGTGGGAAATTCAAAGTACCCTGGATTACCACCAGGATACTGAGAATGATCCGACAGAAACAAAGACGATATAATGTTGCCAAACGTTCAAATGAACCTCATCATTGGCATAAATACAAATCACTACGGAAATTAATCCATAGTGAAATTCGTAAAGAACATCAGCGCTACATCAACGATCTGCTTGACATTGATGAAAGCGAAATCATAAATGAGAATGTTCAGCACAAAGGCATTACCAAACGCTTCTGGAGCTACATAGAGTCTAAACGCAAAGATGCATCAGGTATCAGCGTGCTGCGTAATAAAGATGGCGACGAAATAACAGACGCCGCCCAGAAAGCAAACATCCTCAATGACCAATACAATTCTGTATTCACAGATGAGGATGCCACTCTATCGACAATGGTACCTAGTCAAATTCCTGAAATGCCAAATATCAAAATTTCGACAAAAGGAATTCACAAACTGCTAACTGGCCTAAATCCATCAAAAGCCACTGGACCCGATCTTATTCCGACTAGGGTCCTGAAGGAATGCAGTGACAGCATATCACCATTCCTTCAAATAATTTTTCAACAGTCTATCGATGAAGGCTTAGTGCCTATGGACTGGAAACATGCCAATGTTACTGCTATCTACAAAAAGGGACGAAGAGATGAGGCTGTGAATTACAGGCCTGTATCTCTGACGTCAGTTCCATGTAAAATAATGGAACATATTATATTCCATCATGTTATGGCCCACTTTGACCTCTATGAAATTCTAGTAAAATTCCAACATGGATTCAGGTCAAAGCACTCATGTGAAACACAACTTGTCAATACAATAGAGAATATAGCTCGGGCCCTCGACAACAATAAACAAACAGACATGTTGGTATTAGACTTTTCCAAAGCGTTTGACACGGTGGCTCACGAACGCCTCTTGCTCAAACTCGACTATTATGGAATTCGCAATAATAACTTGAACTGGTTCAGATCCTGGCTTGTGGGAAGATCACAACAGGTAGTGCTCGATGGTGAATCAAGTTCAAAAACTCCAGTAAAATCAGGAGTTCCTCAAGGAACAGTTCTTGGACCACTCTGTTTCCTTGTTTATATCAATGATATGGGCAATAACCTATCATCCTCAGCCAGCCTTAAGCTTTTTGCCGACGACAGCCTTTTATTCATGACAGTCGAAAGCAAGCAAGATGCATTAACACTACAGGAGAATCTTGATAAACTGGTCTCCTGGGCATCAAAATGGCAAATGAAATTCCATCCATCAAAATGCTATTTGCTAAATATTCACAAAGGTAAATCCCCTATCATGCACAATTACACCATGCTAGGGGAAAACCTTAAGTCGGTAACACACATCCCATACCTAGGAATTGACATCACAAATAACTTACGCTGGACTACACATATTCAAACTATTGTATCCAAAGCCAATAAGGTGCTTGGATTTCTCAGGCGCAACCTCCATCAATGCCCTGAAAAAGTGAAGGCTCAGGCGTATAAGTCACTAGTCCGGCCTAATTTAGAGTATGCCAGCTCGGCATGGGATCCATACCGACAAAAAGATATTGATATGTTGGAACAGGTACAGAGAAGAGCAGCCAGGTTTGTAACCAAATGTCACTCAAGGGAACCAGGCTGCGTCACCAAAGCTCTTCAAGACCTACAGTGGGAGCCCCTGAAGGAGCGTCGAGAGGCTGCTAGAGTTTTCCTTTTCTACAAAGGAAAGCAGAACCTAGCAGCCATCGACGTGCCTCCATACTTCCGCCAACAGATCAATACCAACACTAGGTTGTATCATCCTTCTAAGTTCATACAACCATCAACTAGAACGGATGCATACAAATTTAGCTATTTCCCTAGGACAATAGCTAAATGGAACACTCTACCTGGTGACATCTTAGACTGTGACAGTCTAAGTAGTTTTAAATCATCATACTATGCCTATGTCAATAACTGCAATTAAATAGGTGTGTTTTTAATATAGATCTATGTTTTAATGTAAAGGGTCCCCAGTGCACAGCAACAAGCCTGCACTACTGGTAAAGAGGGGTGATGTCAACGCGGTAGCCTGACAGTCTCCCCAGGTAAAATGAGATGTAAACCATAGATCTATTTTTAAATGTTAAGGTTTTAAATTATATTCTATTCAAATTCTATCACTGTTAAATTATATATCTGCTTTATATGGGCTTATTAGCCTTTTGCAGATTATTGACATAGACATAGACAACTCCAGGGTGAGGTTTCGAAGCCTCTTATATAGTACTAATATTGGCATGTTGCCAAACCACGATTGGCAACCTGCCAATGACCAATTTGGCAAAGTGCCAATGAAACTTAATGATCAAATTATTCTAAGTTCTTACTGAAATGTCACTGAAAATGGTTAAGTCCAACTGTATGAATGATTAAAATTGTGTAAGTCATGAACCACTGGTGTTGAAAAATGACAAAGTCCAGCCCCTTTGGTTGGATGTAAAATGTTTAAGTCTTGAGATACAGGCTCGTGAAAATAACAGAGTTCAGCTAGTCTGGTTATGAGAAATGACTAAGTGTTGCCTATATGATGAGTGAAAAGAACAGAGTTGTGGCTTTTGGCTTCACTGATTTTGTTAAGTCTTGATGGACAGCTATGCTGCCATCTTTAGGTAAGAATTGAAACCTAGCATGACTTAGAAAAACCCAACAATATATTTAAATATATGGGCATGTTTGAGGAAAATAAAGCAGATTTGTAAAATGTTATATTTTCAACTGCAGAGGGGTATAGCTCTACGTTCTAGCTGACAAAGGGAAAATTAAAACATCTAAATTTAGTTCTTGTAAAATCCTTTCTATAATGTTATATAAGAAAAGGTCATTTGACAAAACTAGGTGTTATTGCTATTGAAGTGACTCAAAATTAGATTTATTTAGAAGTAAGTAAAAAATTTTCATTAACTGAAGTTCCAGAGAATTATAACATCTCCGAGAGATGAGTATTACTGCTTAATATTACTAAACGCACTTGGAGACAGTCAAAATCTTGGACAAAGGTTCAGTTTTGTATGAAATTGGTGTTTTGTGAAAAAAGCAAAAGACGATAGTGTAATGACACACACTATATATTTAACTCTTTTTATGTAAAATTTATTAGAATTTACATCATCTGAGATTTTTCAGACACCCTCACAAAATGACAATTTGGCTAGTGAGCTGCCATTATGAAAAACGGCCAGTTTTACATGTGCTACAGGGTATCCGGAAAGTAAAGATACAAATGCTCTAATTTCATTAGATTTACCTGTTGTCAAATGAAATTGCTACAGATTGTAGAATGGCATTGTAACAATTTATCCTGCAACTGACATTACAAATTGTTTCAAAATAAAAAAGTTATGGTTGTTATGGTAACAGGAGTCGCGGGTATGTGCAGCAGTGTCACAATTATGTTTTATAATTCTTTTCTCCTGTTCATATCATCTTGACACTCCGTCGTCTGTTGCTATTATGCATCAAATTATGTACCACAACAGCAAAAGGATTAGTACTGTAAAATTAATTAATCATTTGACATTACTTCTGTTATCCAGTATTATGTATTTTCCACCTTTATCTAAACATTCTTGGTGCATTTTGACCGGAAATTCAAGACCTGACAAAACCTTTACTGCCAGTCTCTAAGATTGCTGATAACATTGGCTCCCAGCCGAGTCTCATTTTTATGTTGAACTTCTCACAAATTGCTTTAACATATTCATTAATGTAGAAGTCCAGCGGGACATTATCAGGGAAATATGGGCCATTGTACAAAAATGTTGATGTCAAGACATTCAATTGTAAGATTTGTTTTCTTTGCTTTGTGCATTGGAGCATTGACTGTGGAGGTGCACTATTGACTTTCCTATTAATCCAGGGACCCTTTTTCTAACCACTTATATACTCTTTTTCTTTGATTATACTTGTGACATTACATAGTTCTGATGTGTATCAATGATATCGTTATATTAAAAATAATCCTATGGCAACAAGAATGCAATATTGAACAAAACAAAAAACTGAAGAAATACAATAATAAACACTATTTAAAATGGTTATATTTTAGCAATTGATCACAATTTATCTATATCCTAGAACTGCTCCGCATACCCCTCACCACCGTAACCATGACAACCGTTACTTTAACACATTTAGACTATATGTTATAAAAGTTGGTAGATGTATTGTAATATAGTTCCTCTATAATCTGTAGCGATTTCATTACAAGAAACTAAATCTCTTAAAATTAGAGTATTTGTATCTTTACTTTCCAGACACCCTGTATTTCAAGTTTTTTATCAGCTCACATGGTGAGCTTTTGCAATCACTCACTTGTCCGTCTGTCTGTTCGTCAACAATAGTGACATGTTTGAAAACCTCTCTCAGGATTCTTTTTTAAATTATTTTTGTTCAATATCTATACAGAAAACCTCTTTGTGACTCCTGGTTCAAAAGCTCACCTATTTTCAAAATGGCTGCCATTTTTGTCTCATTAAATCCACTTTTAGACCATTTTCTTAAAAACCTCTGTCGATAGGATTCCTGTTTAAAGTTATTTTTGTTCAACATCAATGAAGAAAACCCCCCTTTGACTCCTGGTTCAAAAGCTCGCCTTTTAAAATGGTCACCATTCACTTTTAGACCATTTGGTAGCTTTATAAATAATTTCAGGTGTCCTACATTGTAAAAAGCCATGTCACTATAAAGAGTAGTTTTATGAAATAATTTTGTTTCAAAAAATCGGCATTTCAGCCATTTTAGTTAACATTGATTTGTCCATCTGTCTCTCAGTCAGTCCACAATAGTGGCACATTTGAAAACCTCTGTTGATGGGATTCTTGTTTTACAGTCTGATTCAAAATTCTATTTAGAACTTTCAAATAAGCAATAAAATCACCATATTGCAACAGCATATGAAAAAACAGAAACAAATGTACAAGACCAAACTTTTGTACCCATGGTACTATTTACTTTGCTATAACTGGAAAAGTAATAGAGCCACTTTGTTGAAATTTAATTAAGAAATATAGACCGAACAGCAGGGGTAATATTGTCGAATACACCCCGCAGGGCTAGGCACAAACGTACACCCCTTAGAGCTAAGCACAAAAGCTTTTGAACCCTTTTGTGCCTAGCCCTAAGGGGTGTATTCGACGACATTATCCCGGCTCTGAGGTCTATATTACGATTCGAACATGAAAACTCACCAAAATGTTTAGAATATTCCTTATGGTCCACCATTACTACGACCCGTCGTTATGACGTCACACATTATACGTATTACCAGGGGTATTCTTCACAGATATACCCGGGTGAAATGTTGACTTTTTTACAGTTTATAGAAGGCGTGAATACAGTCATGTTCGAATATGTGATTATAATAAGAAGCATATTGTTAATGTATGACATTGTAACTGGCTGTAAATTCAAAATAACAATTGAAATGATTTGAACTAATATATTTAAAATTATTTCTTGTGTGTTTTGAAATTTTTATGTAATAATACATGTAATAATACAACATACAGAAATAAGACCAAATCTCGCGATTCAAATTCTGAAGTGAAAAACTGTTGTCTGATTAATTTTCAATTTTGTGTAATCACAATACGACATATATACGTCAGAATAAAACACAGGGATTTCCTGACCCTCATAATAAGATAATATTTTATGTGTAAAATTCTCAGAGAAATAATATACATAAATGTTTTGTCTTTTACTCACTGTCATAATGGGTGTAATGGGATGAGGGAATGCTATTCCCTATACTATCATCCTCTTCTGTAGAATTATTATCTAGCTGTTGCTGCATACGTCTACTTCCTCCTACATGTCGCTGGTACGCCATTTCCTCCGTCCAATTGGTCGGAACACTTTGGAATCTATGTCTCCTGTTCTAACGTTGTACTAGTAGTATTATTTATGCTGAATAATGATACAAATTCAGCATTTCTCAGAAATAACATGTCTGAGTCATATACGGGGAAGTCCCTTATCATAAGTTTATTCTAATGATTCATTTTTGTTTTCAATAGATATTTAAAGGCCCACGATACTTAATTTAGAAGAAAAAAAAAGAAAAAAAGAACATTGAAACATATTACTCACACACTCGCTCAAATATGAAATAAAGTTTGATTTGCTTTAATATTTAACCAAGAAAAAAATAACTCGCATAGAAAAAAGCATTTGAAGATCAGAGATCATTAGACATGCATGCACATCTAAACAAAGTGCACGTTTTTAATTACTTAATTATTTTAAAAGATAGTGACACTTCTATAGTACCCCACACACAATTTTGTCGCCTACTTTGATGTATTGTAGAAAAATATCCAAAAAGGGTTTGCTTATGGAATTTGGCACACTTTAACTTGAAACATTTTGTAACACTCAGATTTTTTTATTTGGAAATTTAAGTAATATTGACGAAAAACAAGCAATTTTAAAATATTCATGTTTTAACAAAATTCGACGAAAATTTCCAGTTTTGCAGTTTCAAAATGAGTTTTAATCATTTTGATTACATTTTGATTACAAACTTATTGCATTACATATGTTTAATATTGTTACTATGTGTTGGAGATGTTTTAACTCCTAAATAGGAATATTGTAAGTGTGGTTTTATTATTTTTTAAGAGTGAAGGCCCTTATTAATACTCTCAATACATGGGTAGGTGCATGTATCATATGATTTGGTGGCTTTAAGTCTAAAAAGGTTTATCAGAGCACTTAAAGACATCCCTGCGTGGATTTCAATCGCATCCTACCACTACAGCATTTCCTACTTTCTCACTCGATTAAAAAATCTTTTCCAATAGCTCGGATCTCATAAGATCTCAAGAAAATGCGTGTATTTTGTTTAAGTCATTTAAGGCATTATTAACAGTGAGCTTGCACTCGTTGGCCTATGATAGGGAGGCCATATTCGTCCAATGACTCACTGGTGGCCACCGATCGCTTACCTTTTGTTGGACAACATGAAATGATCCACATGGGTTTAACATGTGACCTTTCAGGGGTAACATCATAACATTGTAACATTATAACAGTCACTCCTGCTTGGTTCAGGTTTGCTTTTACCTGTGGATTATAATGGTGTTAAATAGGATAGGATTGACCAGAATATTCAAATTAATTTTGTAATTCAATTTGTTACAAATTGTTTCAAAATTTTGCTTAATTTAGGTCAAATCAGTAAATACGTAGCAATTTAGAAACCGATGTCAAATTGTGGTGAAGTCATATTACCCCAAACAAAAAATTTGAGTGTCACAAATTGTTTCAATTTAATGTATGCCAAATTTCATGAGAAAATTCTCATTGGATTTTTTTCTACAATACATTAAAGTAGGCGACAAAATTGTGTGTGGGGTACTAACAATAAATGTATCATGTAATACAAACAGCTTTGCCATTTTTCAATGGCATTGATAAAAACGTGATATATAAAGATTGACAGATTGAAAATATTTTTTGATTAATTATTGTTAGCTTTGATGACGCAAAGTGGGCCTTTAAAGGAATATTCCACCTTGCTGCAAACATTATACAAATATTGAATTCTGTGGAGTTGAATATCTGTATATATTTCTAAAGGTTGTATTCACCACAGCCTTACCTGTGACTTTTGTCACTCCTTTAAATAAAACATATTGAACAAAGCTCTGAAGAATTGCATTGTGGGATCCACAGCAAGTATTGTCATTTGGAATACTGGTTGTTGGAGATTGTCTGGAATAAGTGTTTCCTATTACCAAAATATCTACGGACCAATCAAATAAAATACAGATATCTATTGACCATGAGTATAATGGGAAGGCATTCCCTCCAGTGGAAGGGGTTATATAACTAGACAAAGCCTAAAGACTGTGACCACAAAGAACGCAAAAAATGTTCCCTCACAGATTAATCCAAGTGATGACATTCAACATAACTTTAAAATATGAAACATAAAATTGGGATAAAGTGAAAAATAAATAGTTTAATAGTAATATTATATGATAAGTTACTAGTACAAAATATTAAAAGTAAAAATCACCAAAAAAAATAGCTCTCTATAATATCTATTTACAAACTTTAAAGGCAGAATCAGATATACAGGGCTTCAAATGCCTATTTTCCAGAGTCCTGTGTCTTCTAACAAGAAGTTGCATCATTATGAATTAATTTATTCCTCCACATATAGTGATTTCAATAGACTGTAAATCTAGTAAATCTTGTAAAACTTGTAAATCTAGTAAAATATTGTAAAATCTTGTAAAAACTTGATTATTCAATCTCTAAGGTATTAAGTCAAAATGTAGAAAAAGCACTGAAATGACTTTATATGAGTGAAATTTGCTTTTATAGGTATAAAGTTCTCTTAAATTTTGAAGTGATTTTACCTGTTAATTCTGTCACTAGTCCGCCATTTTTGTGGAAGTTACACTGAAACACAAACTCCATGGAACAAAACGAAATCACTACAAGAAAAACATGGCACATATTGTGTGTATACATGTACGTGGTAAAGTTAAAACCAATCAGATTCTTTGATCATATTGCGCAAATGAATTATTTGCTTCTGAGCACTTATAATTATGTAAAACCTAACCACAATAAATACCCTTTGCATTCGTTCGACTTCACTTCTTAAAAGAGAGCTCCGTCTTCACTCTTTCAAACTAAAATAAACCTGTGAACTCACCGCGCCAATCAATGCTCGTCGGCCAAATTTGACCGACGTTCTATATATGGTCATTCCTTCTGACGTCATCGTTAAGCCCGGAATTGACCAATGACAATTCAGAATTTATTTTGGCGCTTGTTTCTTCAAGCTCGCTGATTGATGGAACAAAAGTCAGCGCGTAGGTCAGAAGTGATTTATTACCCGAACTGTCACCGGCACCTGTCGTGGGGGTGGGGCTACTAAACTGTAGTATGGTTTCTACTAGGCAGAGTGAGACTCTGCACGCAGGGTACACAATAAACAAACCAAATTCAATTTCATTTTTGCAAAATTTCAGCTCAGAATCATGACAAATGCATTATGCATACGCTGGTCTGAAGCCTTGGATACACTCATTTAGGTAAATATGATTTGCGGTGTATACTTTTCTGCAGTTTGGGGGAGTTTGGGATATTGAACGTTCAATTCAAGATAATATGCCAACTATACGACTTATCAATTAATTTGTATCAGCATTGTATTTTCAAAATGGTTGCCATTTATTAGCTGAAAAAATGCAAACAAATTCTTAATCTTTGGATATTCTGGATAAATATTTAGGTAGGGATTTTGGACTCTATATCTATCCCAGTACCCATGGTGCTGTTTTGTTATTTGTAGGGGTGGGACGGGTCGAAATGGCACGATTCGGGTCTGGGTCGGGTCGGGCCAGAAAAATCCGATTCGAGTTCCGACTCGGGTCGGGTTATATACATTATATTTCCTTAAAGAGTACATGACTGATTTTTGGTGAATTATAACTACTTGTTAATAGTATTTACTATTTATAGAGAATAAAACATGTTTTAACTTGCAAATCTCTGCGTTGTATTTATTTTTCCAAACGGATATGATCATGCATGAAGGTCATGGTGATGGGACATGTTTCTTTTTGCTGAACAGGCATATATCTACGAATGACCGGCGCGTTTGCAACAACACACCCAACACTTACGAATATCAATAAATCAGGGATTTATCTCATAGTTTTCAAACTAGAAACACTCTAAAGTATTTGAGTTGAAAAGAATTCGGATATAATCTGATAAAAAGCACAAATTTCAACAACTTTTATTTAAGATCTAAAAACAAATACCGAACACAAAAGCCTGTGGTCGTTCGTATATTAGACATTTAACGAACATGTAGAACTTTCGTAACAGAACAAAAAAGTCGGAGTTTGTTCCCATTATTATCGTTTTACCTGTCATATATTTGTATTCGGGGGGATAATAACAATTTGTTTACTCATAAAACATAGAAAATTTCTCACAGGGAATGACAACATACATTAATAATAAAGATAAAATAACGAACGTCATTTTATTTTCGTTCGTAAATTAATCACCACAAAGAAAAAAAACAAGTCTAACGAAGTTTATAATTTCTATTTTATTCCAATCATTACATACAAACAAGTAATGTTATTACATTAATAATACTCTGGACATTTCTAATAACTAATATAAACACATAGATGGGCTAGATCATGAAAGAAAGCCTTGAAATCCACAGTTTAGATACCAAAAATTGCCTGGAATTATAACCCGGGGAAGTTATCATCATTTTCAACCCGAACGAGTCGACTCCTCAACTAGAGGATTCGATTCGAGTCAACCTGAAGGCCTCAACCTGTGGGGAATCGACTCATCGGGTCATCGTCCCACCCCTAGTTATTGAGAGGGGACATAATAATGATTTAGCAGTTTCAGGTCAAAAGAAAACATACTGATTATCACAAAGACAACGTTAATATAATACCATTTAATTTTTACGCCTTTTGGCTGTGATTTAGTGAAAAAAAGAAATAAAGTTTCACTAATCGGATCTTAGCACAAGTAGGTATGTCCAATACCAATGTTGTTCTACTTGACACAGTTTTTACCCTATATTGTTTTGTATTAGAATTATGATGAATTGCTTTGCGTTGGTAATGTTAATGCAATGACGCTGAGGGCCTGTTTGTCTATCTAGTGAGTGTCTAGTGAGTGGGAGGAATTATGCCCCTCTCCACATATCCCACTGGTCTGTGTTACTGCTCATTTCATGCATACAATTTATCTAACATTGGGAGAGTTTCTTCAGTTAAAGAATGACCATATTAAATATCCAACACTTGCTACTCCTATAACAGCAACTGCTGCAACACCCAAGGTAGCCAGGACAGTACCTCCAACTGGAGCTGACGGAGCAGTGGCTGCCATTGCAAATGGAGCATAAAATGCAGCATTACTTGCAGCTGCAGCACTACTTGCAGCTGCAGCACCATGACCAATGGCTACTCCACCAGAAAAACTAGTACCAGCGACAGCAAGGCCCAACTTAACATTTCTCTGAAACAGCATGAAACATTGCATTAGTCTTAACCCATTAATTGATCAAATCAGTGATCTCCCCAGCATTAAAGTAGTGGGGGCAGCACCCACCTGAGATTTTGAAAACATGCTAGCACCCACCAGTCTGAAAATATGTTTGCACCCACTTGAAAATGAGAAAAATCAAGAAAAATAGGCATTTTTGACCAATTTTGGTCAGAATTGTGAAAATGACAATCCTGCACCCACTTGAGAAAAAATCCTAGAGAGAATGCTGAATAACATTATAAGATCAAAAATAGCTTATTTTCTTCTTTATCCTAGACACTGTAATGTTGTGGATTCATCACAACATCCAACTCTTCACATGACTTATGTAGAAATCAATTACTACTAAGATTAACATTATAGAAATAATCAAGTTAATTAACATACCCGTTCATCTTTATTGTTAGGTCTGCTGTTGATGATGATTGGTCTGTCTGAAATTAAATAAGAATGTTGAATTTTTTTGAATTTTTGCTTGAGCTTTTAACCATATAAGGCTATTTTCTAAAACAATCATAGAACTTAAACAATTATATTAACTTTTCGAGCACTGGGGATTCAATCCCAATGAAACCTTTTCCCAACTAATACGTACACTGATGTGAACTACATTGTATAAAAAATATATATATTTACCAGTTATCACACATGATCCTAGCTCAAATTGATCATCAATCTCATGACCTGTTCAGGCCCAGGTTCAACATGATGTTTATAATACACATAGAGTTCTCAAAATAATCTAAAAAAAATTTCAATTTACTTACTGTTGTGGTAGCTATAATGCGAGGAAATGGTGTTCCCAATACACCCAGGGTCCTCTACTGGAGAATGATGTAATTGTTGTTGCACATGTCCTTGTACATGACGCTGGTGAGCCATTCTAACTCCGACAAGTTGTTTGAACACTCTTGGATGACTGTCTTGTGCCTTAATAGTTGTATTATTTAGATCAATATACCAAATATGTTGAAGCTTTAAAAATGTATGAGGTTTAATAAAAAGACTGTATATACTGTAATAAGATATTTGAATGGAAATACCAACATTTCAGAAAATCAATAAAGCATTACATTGAAATCTGCAGAAAATGCTGCATCATCGTACTTCCCAGAAATGAAGTTTTAACATGTCATTTCAGGAAGTTCTCATTATTTATGATTTTCTGTCAGTTTATTTTCATAGTTATGTCTCTCGCTTATAATGTATTAATGATATTTGTTTTTTTATCCTGACTAGAAAAAACTTATTATTAATACCATATTTAAAATATGAGGTTTTGATAGATTAAATATTGCTTGATAGATTTTTCTACTGACAACCCAATCTATTGTCATTTTGGAGATGATATCATATCATGATGTTATCCAGAGGGAACATATGACAGAATTTGAAAAATATGAATGTCAAATTAGTAAATTAGTTAGTCTTATCTTATTTATATTTTCTGCAGACAAAACAACATTATTATAGACCTCTGGGTACATTAAATTAATCTGTATAACATTTAGCTATATGTGCTTTTATATATTTTATATATGTATATTTCTTTCTCTTCTATCACTTTTCTTCTAACTTTCTATCTTAAAAAACAGTTTTATATCTTGTCATCTTGATAAATACAATTATGTAATATAATCATATGGAACTATATACACCCGCATGGGTGTCAGTTGCCTGTACATTGAAAATCGATATAATTGACAAATAGATAACTATGCAAACTGTAAATGTATCTCTGTGTTTCCCTGTATAGTTTTGATGCGATCGCTCCCCCCAATAACCAATAGAAAATAGAACCGTTAGATAGAAGAAAAGAGCTTTAAAGTGCTTTTTATTTTTGAAGCTTGTAGCTCAATTTTGAAGGAAGTTTCATCAATTTTTTGAGAATTCTAACAAATCTTAAAAAACATTATTTTTGCCTTCCTTTTGTCACAATCGCACCCCCCCCCCCCCCCTCCTGACTGAAAACCAGAAAAAAAATTGGTGGTCACACCCCCCTGACTGAAAGCTGGCTATAAATCACACTATAAAATAAATCTCTGGGAATAGCTATGAGTTTGCTCTTGCCATACATTGTAAACCCTCTTAAAGTATGTCTTTCAGGGAAGCAATTTTATGAAATCATGTGTAATGTGTATAATATACTGAGAAAAACAAAGCAAAGCCACCTACTAATCGCCTCAAAGTTGAAAAGAGAACAAGTGTTGCAGGCCCGTACCCGTGGAGGGGGGGGTCGAGGAGTTCAAGCAAACCCCCTTTCCCTGGTCAAAAATTCTTTCAAAATCATGCAGTTTTTCATCATGCAGTTGACTCACAGAAATTAAGATTGGCCCAAATCAGCCAAATTAAATGGTAAAAATCAGAAAAGTTACCAAATTGAATAGTATCACTATAATCAGTATCAAAGGATCACTATGGTAACACCTTAAGTTCATGTGGCTGAGGTTAGGGTGTCACCCGAACCTAAACTTGATCAACCTCATTTAATTCTCAGAATCCAGGGTTCACATGTTTACTCTTCAGTATTTACTCTTCACAATGGGGTGAGAAATTGTTATTAATGCCTTGTTTGCTTTCAGTTTTTTATCATGTGTTATTAAATGCATGTTTTTGTTGAATTTGAAATTAGTTTCGTTTTATTTCAAATTTTTATTTTTAGTTTCCTTTTATTTTGAATACTTTATTAATCACATTTTGAAAAAAATACTCAAAGGTAAAATATAAAAACCTAGGGGTGATATCACACAAAAATTACTTTGCAAAGCAGTGTACTCATATATGCATGTGGTATATATTCAAACCCAGCTTTTCAATTCAAGGTGGAGATATAATCAAATAAAATATGATTTCATAAGCAAAATATCATCTTTTCGCATTGCAATTTATTTCGGTCTCATAAACATGTACCAAGTAGGAGTATATTGTTTTATATGTACAATATATGAATATACAAGTTATTCAATGTAAAATATCTCCCCATATTATCTTTATGATATTGGGCATACAGGGTGTAGTGTTCTAAATGTTTTGGCTCACATGGTGGGCCTGTTGAATCATGCCCCGAATCATGCACTTGTTGATCTGTTCATCTGTCCACAATTTTCAGAAAATTGAAAACTGCCATTCGTCTGAACTAATGTCCATATCCATTTTATAGTGGTTCAGGGTCCTACTGTTTGCCTCATTTTGGAAAATTTGGCTTGTACCACTATTAGGCCCATCAAATCGTGTCATTTTATAACAGGAGGAAGATGAAGATGTCAGAGCATTGAAACAGTGACATCAGAGTGGAATATCTGTTCTGTATATCTTAGAATTCACATAGGCCAGTCAGATCACCAGAAATCCCACCATCATTGCATAATATTATGTACATGTTTGCTTGTAGAAAAACAGAAGAAAAGAAAAAATCAAGTTGTGGTTGATGCCCAGAAGACTCCTGAGTCGAACAATTTGTCCAGCACTCCATCAGAAAAAATAACAACTAAAGTAACTGCAACATCATCTGGTCTGAACAGTTTGACAAATCTGAAAAATATAAAAACAAAACAACTAGTTGAGACTGAAATCGTGCCTCGGCTTAGTGAATTTGAGATTGTTTCACTTCAAGAGGATTTAGATAAAACTGCTAAGAAAAATGTAGTTGAGCAGGTAGGGAAACAAAAGAAAGGAAGAAATTCTGAGAGGGATTCAACGGGATCAGCAGATACAGATCAGGTCATATTAAAAATGAAGAAAAAGACGAGAAAAAGGTCAGATAGCACAAGTAGTTTGACAATACCAGTAGGAGGGCCTCAACCAGCAAAGAAAAAGGTTAAAACGCAAAATGAAAAAAATACAATCAAATCATCGGAGAAACAAAGTCAACAGACTAATTTAAATATTTTAAAGTGGAACACAGTTGATGAATTCAAGAGTGGCATAGTGGATGATGTACCTCATCAGAGAAGAACTTGGCAACCAAGGACTTATAACAGCGACAGTGAGGATGATTTTGAAAAGATTATCAAAGGAAAAATTAAGATTGAGGACATTGAAAATAAAATGAGAAAGACTGTTCGGGAGGATGATAGCACTAATGATAATGAATCTTCAAAATTGAAATCTGAAAATGAAATTGAATATCACTCCAGCTCAGAATCAGAGCAAGATAATACAGAACGCAACAATGAATCTAATCTTAAAATAGGAAATAAATCAAGAGCTCATAAAAAATCAACAAATGAAATTGTTAAACCAGCTGATCAAGAAAACCTCACTAAGTCATCTGATGAAGACACTCCTCTAAGTGAGGAATCTATAGGTGAAAATGCTTCATCTGCTAGTGGCTCAGATGAGGCAAATGTCAATGACAATTCAGGAAATCTTAAAACAGAAAGTGCAATGGAGGAAAGTGAACCTCCCAATGAAGATGAAATAAGTGTTGATTCAAATGTTGAAGATGAATCAAGTGTTGATTCAAACAGTTCAGGCAATGAATCAGATGAGGAGTTCGAAGAGTCGGATGATGAATCTAATGACTCTGCAAGTGAATTAGTTTCTGAATCAGAAAATGACTCTGGTGAATCTGAAGAAGAATCAAGTGAATCTGATAATGAAAATTCACAACCCATAAAAACTGAAACACCTCAAATGAAAACAAAAAAAGTTCATGAAAATCTTGCGTCAAATAAGGTTATTACTCAGTTGGAAGAAGAAGACAGTGGGTCTGATTTTGAAATGTTTGAAACTGCAGCTATGACAACCAGTAAAAAGAAAATGTCCACTGAAAAAATGAAAGAATTTGTTAGAAATAGGAAAGAATGTGAAAAATTAGAGTCCTCATCTGATGATTCAGATTCTGAGGTGGAGATGAAAAACGAAATTAAACCTGAAGTAGCGACCGAAGGAATGAGAAAAGAATCCAAAATAGAAACTAAACCTAAAATAGAAACCGAATTAATGAAAATAGAGAGCAAATCTGAAGCTAACATTAAGACTGTTGACGGTAGTAAAACCAAGGTGCCCAAAATCACAACCAATCAGACTGCTGAGGAGAAGCATGCATTAGCCAATCAGAAGAGACTTGATGCTCTGAAGCAGAAACATAAGGAGATGAAAGAACAGCAATCTGCCATGAAAATTGCTTTGACTTCACTTGTAAGTTTTAATTACATCAATGCCGAGGGGCTGAATGGTAAATAATTGTAGATCAAATACATGTATCTCTATTTTGGGAAGAGGTCCTAGTCCTACTTTTATTTTGTATTCACAAATCTTTGCATCATAATGAAGTATTGTGGCTAAACTTTAAAGCCTAATACTTTCTTGGTAGTGCTGTCCCTAGGTCTGATTTCGTTACTCGGCTCGGAAAAAAGGTTTGTGGGTATCATTTTGTTCCAGACACTCTCTAGAATAAATTCATCTTGGGTGGAGTAAAAATGTGTGGTAAACGAATTTGCTATGGGCAGTTAAAGAGGCGCCATCTATTCATTTTCAAACAGGGGGTAGAGGTATAAAATAATTTTTTAACACATTTTAATAGTAAAATGACATTGAAATACTAATAAAATCTTATCAAAAACATTATTTACAATCAGTATGAATTTTCTTGTGTGGATTAGGGTGAAAATAAGGGCATATCTTGAAATTCACTAAAGGGGCGCCACCTATTTTGGTACTTCTACCACGTGTAATAACTTATTTGAGATTCGTTAAGGTACGAAATGTACTGAAAAAATTCATTCTGAAGGCCCTATATATGTTCATACCACATACTTAAAATTAGATCAATAGCTTATGTACCGGCGAAGAAAAAAATTATTGAAATTTAAAATTGTGGTATCATGCAGGATAGGGGTGACCATATGTCACCTTAATAACTTCCAAAATATTGAGCATATGTATCTCAAATGTGCTCAAAATGGTGTATGTACTCTTGCTTTGTCATAATATTAGTAATAAGAAGTAGAAAAATGATTGTACATTTTAGAAATTATTAATTCTCATTTTGGCTTCTGACGTCCCAGGGGTGACCATATCTCACCTTTATAACTTCCAAAATATGGAGCATATGTATCTCAAATGTGGTCAAAATGGTGTATGTACTCTTGCTTTGTCATAATATTAGTAATAAGAAGTAAGAAAATGATTGTACATTTAAAAAAATATTAATTCTCATTTTGGCTTCTGATGTCCCAGGGGTGACCATATGTCACCTTAATAACTTCCAAAATATTGAGCATATGTATCTCAAATGTGCTCAAAATGGTGTATGTACTCTTGCTTTTTTGTCATAATATTAGTAATAAGAAGTAGAAAAATGATTGTACATTTTAGAAATTATTAATTCTCATTTTGGCTTCTGAAGTCCCAGGGGTGACCATATCTCACCTTAATAACTTCCAAAATATGGAGCATATGTATCTCAAATGTACTCAAAATGATTTATGTACTCTTGCTTTGTCATAATATTATACTAATAAGATGTAGGAATATGATTATACATTTAAAAATTTAAACTTTAGCTTCTTACGTTCCTGGGTAATCATATCGCAACATATAATGATAATAATAACTTCTAAGATATGTAACATATACGCCTCAAATATTCTCAGAAAAGTCTTGTCTTTCATATTATTAATGAAATGTAGAAAAATGATTGCATTTTTTTTTAAATTTTAATTTTAGCCTCTGGTGTCCCACCTTGATAACTCTCACGATATGCAACTTATGCATCTCAAATGTGTGCTCAAAATGGTATAAATATAGTCTTGTTTTGTCATATTTATTTAGAATCATAAAATCAACAGTTCAGAATCAATGGATTTTGACTGTCTCCTCTACAGCTACATATAATTCAGGGCAAATAATATCTGCTTTCAAATATTTGCATCTGCTCCCCTAAAACCCCTTAGAGGTACAATGGATGAGATTATTCCCTTGCATAACTTGGACCAAACATCTTTTGTAATCCATACAGGAATCCTTTTAGCCTATCAATAGTGGGAGTACTTTACTCCATTTATGAATAATGACAAATGTTGATAAGGTGTTAATATGTTATCCTGTGGCCTGCAATATATGCACCTTGGATCATACACTGAATTAGGGGATTTTGAGTACGTAAAATACGGGAAAAGGAGCTCTTTGTAATGATAAATCTTTCTAGCCATATTCTCTAGTTTTCATGTTTGTCATACAACATACATTGATTGTATTGAAATATTAATTTATGATTGTGACGTCCCGCACTTCTTGGGTCCCAGAGAAGAGCTTAGCTTTTGGAACACTTGCATTACTCTTGGCATGATAGGCCATACAGTGAATACAATTGTTGAGATGGGGCAAGAACAATATAGCACATTCGACAAAAGGCAACTTGAAAACCTAACAGTACCATTTGATAGAACCATATCCAGGAGCAAAGTTCTTCAGTTTATTAGGCCTCCAAAACCTCCATTCATAACAGATTATGGAAAACTATAGTTCCTCCATTAAATTAAAGAACAGGTCCATTTAAGAGACTATTGGTCAACTTAGACTTTTTCCAAAAAACTCATTCTTCCATTTACTTTCAAAACCGATTGCAAGTTGTAGATAAACCTTTTTTCTTGAGGGGTGCAATTTCAAAAAGTGGCATTAGTTTTCAGTTTTTTTGAAAAATTGGCAGTAAGAACCCCTATCACAAGGCTGTCTGAATATGGGTACACACTATGTTTACCATCAAAATAATATCAAAACTTATCATTACATAGAATTTATTATATGGAACATATGGCATGCAGGCATTCGGAGTACAACATTTAAAAAATCTAGCTATGTATGAAGTTTACCAATGCAAATCTGGAAAACATTGTCATTTTTTGTTCACTTTGTTATCAAGTTTTAGCATGGTGCTCATTTCCTTTCGATGAAGATTTAACCATCAGCCCATTCTCCCACAAAAAAGATATTGAAACTGTATAATGCAGAGACTGTAAAGTAGTTTCTCTGCAAATATAATTTTTGTGGGAGTTTGGGCTCACCACTAAAACTTAACTTTTGTGATGAAAATAAGGCTGACTGGTTTATGTTTTCAATATGGCTGCTAACCTGGGTATACATGTACACTACATAACTGCATGTACAGATTAGGCCATTCAAAATTAATTATATGTTGGCATCGAAGGGCCTTATATTAAAAACTACAAAGTGGAAAGGCAAGTAACACCTCTTGATTCAGATGACCTTGTTAAAGGAATATTCCTTGCCAAACCATCTCTCTCCTCATATGATAGCTATAACCATATATATGCTTGCCATGTTTAGCAAAACACGCAAAAATGTTTTGATATGGTCAAATTTGATCACTTAGAAATGTGATGCTCAATTCCAGTAAGCTGCCATCTTTTAAAATTTCACACAGGAAGTGATGTCATCGACTCTCAACTTTGCATATAGCATTAGGTGAAGAGCTATTAAGAATTACAAAACCAGCTAATATTCTTTTTCAACTTTGTATCTTATTTAATCCATCTGAAAATCTCTTCTTTTATTCTAAGTTGACAAGCCCTGAAAATATTTTTGCACAGAAACTAATGATCACTTGTCTAGAAGTGATTTTGTGCTACTTTCCTATACTGTTACAGGCAAGGTTATAGAAGTTGAGAGTTGATGACATCACTTCCTGCAAGAAATCTTAAAAGATGGCAGCTCACTGGAAATAAGCACTAGATTTTTAAATGATCAATATTGACCATATTAAAACATTTTCCCATGTTTTGCTAAATATGGAAACTATATATATGATTATAGCTACCATATCAAGAGAGAAAGGGTCTGGCAAGGAATATTCCTTTAATGAAGACAATATTAAAGGTTTTATATATTATTTAAAGTGAAAATGCAATAACACATTGTGGCAAAGCAAGTAACACCTCTTGATTCAGATGACCTTGTTAATGAAGACAATGCTAGAGCTTATATACATGTAGTTTTTAATCAATCTTGGAACTCATTTCAATACAATATATTTCATGATCTCAATTCCCTCTGTCATTTATATGCATTACAAGTACAGAGTACATGGAAACATTTTGTTTTTTCTGAAAACATAGAATTTAGTGACATTAATTAGATAATTATTTTGAATGGCCTAAGTGTTTTTCTCAATAGGGAATAAGTAGAAATTATTTTAGGCAATCTTTTGAGTGTCATGCCATGGGTATTTGAAATAATAATTACATCCCAACTCTTAAAACATGCTTATATTAGGATACTGTTAGAGTCTCAAAAGACAACAAGAACATTCATTTTTGAAACAGGAAAATTTATCCCCCCAAAAATGTCCATATTGGGATTTATTCTCAAGATTTTCATGTAATTGCCGGTGAATATTTTTATTTCCATTCACATGGCTTATTGGGGCCCCTTATTATCAGTCAAAATCAAAATTAAGCCAATTGCTTTCATTTCTTGTATTAGAAAATGGCAAAATTGTGACAAAAATAGCATCTTTCAAAGTTGACCTTTAAACTACCCTAATGTCAAGGTCAAATGTCTAAATTCTCAGAAATCACATTTTAAGTAATAAGTCATACTTCCTCTTCAATTCCATGTCAATATATACTTATTTTGAAGGGGGGCTAAAAGAGGGGTCTACCGCCACCTGTCCTTTTGAATGACCATGCCAAAAATTAGATCATTAACATGCTAAAACCCAACAGTGAAAATATGCAGAACATGAACATAAATGATTGTGCAAATTAAGTAATATTTCTTCCCCACATATAAAACATAGAAATGGAACAAGGGAGAAGGTATATCATACTAATTCTCTTGTAAATTTCCTAAGATGTGCCAAGAACAAGAGTGATCTGTTTTCCTTCCAGACATCAAAACTTTAGGTAAAACTTTTGGTAAAAGAGGCTAGGGTACTCACACTACTGATAGGCTACCAGTATACAAAAGATGTTGCATCCAAGGCATGCAAAAGACTTATTGTCCATTGTTCCTGTAATATAAGGAGTGTTTGGGGAGAAGATGCAAATATTTGAAAGTAGATCTTATTGTCTCTGGGCTATATGTAGCTGCATCCTTCAGGGGAGACAGTCAAATCCATAAATTCTGAACTTCTGATTTTATGAATCTCAATAAATATGACAAAACAAGACTATATTTATACCATTTTGGGCACACATATGAGATGCATATGTTGCATACTGTGAGAGTTATATCAAGGTGAGATATAGTTGCCCCTGGGATATCAGATTCGGAAGCTAAAATGAAAATTTCAATTCAAAAAAGGTGTAATAATTTTTTCTACATCTAATGAATAATTTTATGACAAAGCAAGACCATATGCCCCATTTTTGGTATATTTGAGTTGTATATGTTACATAATTTTAGAAGTTATTGAGGGACCTCAGAAGCTAAAATTAAAATTAAAATTTTTTAAATGTATAATCATATTCCTACATCTTATTTAAGTATAATATTATGACAAAGCAAGAGTACATACACCATTTTGAGTACATTTGAGATACATATGGTCCATATTTTGGAAGTTATTAAGGTGAGATATGGTCACCCCTGGGACGTCAGAAGCCAAAATGAGAATTAATAATTTCTAAAATGTACAATCATTTTTCTACTTCTTATTACTAATATTATGACAAAGCAAGAGTACATACACCATTTTGAGCACATTTGAGATACATATGCTCAATATTTTGGAAGTTATTAAGGTGACATATGGTCACCCCTGGGACGTCAGACGCCAAAATGAGAATTAATATTTTTTTAAATGTACAATCATTTTCTTACTTCTTATTACTAATATTATGACAAAGCAAGAGTACATACACCATTTTGACCACATTTGAGATACATATGCTCCATATTTTGGAAGTTATAAAGGTGAGATATGGTCACCCCTGGGACGTCAGAAGCCAAAATGAGAATTAATAATTTCTAAAATGTATAATCATTTTTCTACTTCTTATTAGTAATATTATGACAAAGCAAGAGTACATACAACATTTTGAGCACATTTGAGATACATATGCTCCATATTTTGGAAGTTAATAATGTGAGATATGGTCACCCCTATCCTGCATGATACCACAATTTTAAATTTCAATAATTTTTTTCTCGGCCGGTACATAAGCTATTGATCTAATTTTAAGTATGTGGTATGAACATATATAGGGCCTTCAGAATGAATTTTTTCAGTACATTTCGTACCTTAACGAATCTAAAATAAGTTATTACACGTGGTAGAAGTACCAAAATAGGTGGCGCCCCTGTAGTGAATTTCAAGATATGCCCTTATTTTCACCCTAATCCACACAAGAAAATTCATACTGATTGTAAATAATGTTTTTGATAAGATTTTATTAGTATTTCAATGTCATTTTACTATTAAAATGTGTTAAAAAATTATTTTATACCCCTACACCCTGTTTGAAAATGAATAGATGGCGCCTCTTTAACTGCCCATAGCAAATTCGTTTACCACACATTTTTACTCCACCCAAGATGAATTTATTCTAGAGAGTGTCTGGAACAAAATGATACCCACAAACCTTTTTTCCGAGCCGAGTAACGAAATCAGACCTAGGGACAGCACTATGGATCCTACCAGTCATGTTGATTCACATATTTATACTTCATTGTGTATAACAACAAAACATACAAACAGACAAATGATCATAACAAGCTATTTTATTCTCCAGGACAAGCAGACCAGTAAAGCGCAGCACACGAAGTTTGACTCCGATGACGATGATGATGATGATGTCACTGTTCAAGCAACGGCTGTGAAAGAAGCTGATTCTGGAAAATCACTGGATGATCCAAATGTGGTGAAACCTAAGGTGCATATTAATCAATTTATATTTTATTATTTAGAGTAAGGAAGTAATAATATATTCCAAATTCCAAAACTCATGAGAAATGATCGAGATATTGGTTAATAGAATCTTTTGGACTGTTTATTTTGAATTCATAGTTACTGTACGCCCGGTATTATTCGTGTGCGATTAACTTTCGCGCTTTTCGCGATGGTGTTAAAATCGCGAAAAATTATCGTCGCGAAATTGCCAATTAAATCCCCGGGAATTTGTTTTTACCCGGGGCTCTGATGCATTTCGTCAACTTCTGATCCCTCCATTCCTACATCTGTAAGAAGAACTACAAAATGCATTTCGTTTTGTGTAAACGTTTCGTCTAGTGTTATTGGGCGATAATTGGATGATTTCCACCAACATGTCTATTTTACGTTGGCTAGTTAGGCCAACTACTACCAATGGGCCTAGGCTTAATAATGACATCGACGATATTATAGAAACTGAAGTTCAAATTGCTAAAAATAACATGAAGTCCAAGCGTGGAACATATAAAGTGTACAACGACGCAGAAAGGGCAAACATAGCCCGGCACGCACTTCTGAATTTGTGAAATTCGCGAATTTTGCGAAAACACGGTTTCGCGGCTATTAAAGCTCGCGAATAATACCGGGCGTACAGTAGTTATAATTTCAGAAAATAATGACATTTGCGACGTCTTCATTATTGGAAAATATTGAGTTTCAATCCTAGGAGCCAATCCTCCTTGATATGTGATATATTATATTAAGAAATACTTAGTCTCCATCAGTCTAGAATTTAAACTTACTATAGCTCTTCCTTTTTCTACAAAAATTAATTGAAGACCTTGAACTGTTTTTGTTGTGAATCTTCATTATTACAACTTTTATCAATAGCAAAATTGAAACTATCATTCCAATTTATGAATCACCTATCCATTCGTCCTTCCATTCATCTGTTCATTTATCAATAGTTTTGGACAAAAGAACTAAAGCTCATATCCATTTTATGTGACTTCAAAAAATTCATGCCGGTAACTTACACCATTGGTGGCTCCTACTTGTGACTCGTTTTGGAGGAAATAGATTTTTTCGTCACATGTGCCCACTGAATAGTACCATTTTTAATTGAATTGTTCACTAAGAAATCCTCTAATTGTAGAGTAAGTTATCCAAGGAGAAAAAGTCCTTATTTGATAGTGACAGCGAATCAGACTCAAGTGATAAAGAGGATGCTGAGATGTTTAAGATTCGTCCTGAATATGAAGGGGAGGCAGGGAAGAAGCTGATCAAGTTACAGTCGAGATTTGGAAATGACAGTCGTTTCAAATTGGATGAAAGATTCATTGAGAGCGATGAGGACGGAGATGAAGGCAAACTACAAGGTGATAAGAATATTCTTTGTCATAAAATTGTTAATGAAATGTTTTTCTCTTGTCCCATTTTGCTCATACCTTGTATAAGTGCCAATGAGTCAATTTTATATTCATTTAGAGTAGAGTGACAAAAAATGCAATTCTAATTATGGAATATTTCTTTCATTTATGATGATATTAACTGACATGACAATCATTATTTGGATTGTTTTCATAAAAATTATCAATACTATTTCTTATCTACATTACGGAATCATTTTGGAGTGATTTGGCTTGTTGAGCCTGTCAGTGGAAAACCTAATTTCTCTAAATTCCAAAGTTGTAGCTGTAGCTATGTAAGTACTGGAGTACACCATAGTTTTCCACATTGAACACTCATATACACATGAAAATTCATGAAGATATCCTGATTATTACATTTTTGTCATCATCCTTGAGTCCAACTCATCAGTCATGTGTTTATATTCCAGATGTCGCCATGGAGACACATGATGACAACATTGATGGTAAGAGTGAGAAAGAGAGGGCACTAGAAATACTCAGTAGTGTTGTCGGCCATGTGAAAGTGGACAGAAATACCAAGTCTTCTCTAAGGTAATGCTTTGTGCACTATTTCTACAATTTTTATGGGAAAATCTGACATGGATAATTAGAAATTGTACGCAGTTGTCGTAAGCGACCCAAAAATTACTTCTCTCCTTGCATATATTTGAAAAAATTAATTTTATCTTTGGAGATGTTAGATTTAGATTTAAGATAAATCGTTAGGATGAAGCATTAGTAAATAAACCAACATGCACCTTCAACTCAGTAAAATCCATGAATTTTCCTGTTTTGAGTCTAAAATAGAATGGACATCACAGAACATGGGCCATTCAATAAATATTTAAGTCAACTTGATTCCAGTCTTTAAAGGTTTCATAATCTCCAAGTTCTCAATTGGGTGCTTGATTTTCAACTTGGTGTAATGAAGTTATTTTTATATTATCAGTTGGGCTCAGCATAAAGGGAGAGAATCATTCAAAACATGACTGAAACTCTAATTATCTCACTGAACTAAGTTCAGTAGTGATATAGAGAAGTCAGTTCATCTCATGCTGGTGCCTTCGAGACATAAGACCTCTGCTCATGGTGAAATTTTCAAGATGGCTGCTGAATTTTAGAATGGCCACCACTTTTCATGAAAAAAATATAATCTTTGATAACTTCAATACACACTATAGAATTCAGTCAAGAAATGCTACTCAGGAAGGCATAGTCAATATGACCCCTAATTTCAAAATAGGGCCCATTTTTATATGTTTATATAGTCTATTATAACTCGAATACCAGTTGATGATTTGGTTCAAATTTTATATGCTGATAACTGAATGGACTCAGTACACTGCTGGAAAAGATATTTTAAAATGGCTGCTCAATTCATAATGGCCACCATGAAAAAATGTAATTTTTGATAACTTGAATTACCAGCTATTGAGAATTTTATTCTAATATTTTTGTTTCTATCATATCTACAAATTACAAATGATAATCGCTTTGTTTCATTTCACTAAACTAATATTTTTTCAGTGTCTGTTTCAAGTAGGTCATTTTGACCTGTACATGTATATATTTATCAAAAAACATTATTAGTCTATCTAAGTGATTATAAATTTGATTTGAACATTTTACAAAACCTCAATTCTGTTTCTGAGAACAATCCAAGATGAAAAATCATCCACATCATTCAAACTAAAAATAACTTTAACAAGTCACACAGTTCAAGATTTTGATTGACAGCTCTATATTTGGACATGAAATTGATGGCCTGTGTTAAAACTCCAAGGTCAAGTTGATCTGGTCACTCTCTAACACAATATAAAAACTGACTTTTCATTGAAATTGATCAATTCTATCTTTGTTTTTCTCATTCAAAACATGTTTTTGGAAAAATTGACCTTCCAAACCATTCTAGCCTATTAAATATCAGTTAAAACAAGAGGTTTTATTCATGATTATTTTTGCTGAAAATAGGTTTTTGCTGTGTTTTGTACTGCTGTTTTGTCAAAGAATCTAATAGAAAGCACAATTCAACAGTCTTCACAAATTTCATTCAAATTTTTGTTTGATGGAATAATCAGTTATAGTTAGTTTAAATATTTATTATAGTGTCACAGGCTATACATGGTTAAGACATTATACATTTACAAGAAATAAAGGCAATAGCCCCCAGCCGTCTCCGGCTTATGAGACACTTTTTATATCAAAGTATTTACAGTATTTGTTGAAATTATTTTGTGCGATTCAATTCATAGATTCGATATAATTAAAGAATGAGTCCATGGGGTTGTTAGTTTTATATCAAAGTAATTAGTGTATCTTTGCGTATCGTGTTGATGTTATTTTGTGCCATCCAGTTCATTTGTTGTCCAGTTTCAATATTGATTCAAAAATGATTCGAATGTTTGTAGTTATAATCATGTTGCGCAAATAAGTCCATGTGTTTCTTTTCTTAACAAAAATAATCCTTTGATTTTTCTTGGTTCAATAGCCTTCTTATGGCCTTATTAGCCTATAACTTTTTATGAGGTACATGAAATGTGCAGTTGAATATCCAAGATCAACCCGATGTAAACAAGGGTATTACTGTAGTACAGTGACCCAGGGAAAATACACATGACAGTTTCTTAGCATTGTGTATAATTCCTCCATAGCCCTAATATTTGGGGTGGGTGGGTGGTAGTCATTTTGGAGGACAGGTTATTTTCCTGAGAGAGCGCACTAAATATTCCTGCTGTAGTTGTTCCCTAGATTTCCTGATGTCAATATAAACATTGTGGTATTTTGCAGAGTGTCTGAGCTGATGTTTCGATTTCAGTATACATATTTTATCTCTCTGTGATGTCAAGGCTACAAACACGATACCTGGTCAGTCATGTTGAGATGGTAGTCTTTTGACAGCTTCAGGGGTAGTTCCAATTTTGTCATCAATCGATAGTTCATCAAAAAGGTCATTCACAGTTTGAGTTATATATCTGATGTGGATGGCATTGATTCAATGTTTATGAAATAAAATGCACTTTTGAACTCTAAATGACATAACATCATCGCCTAAGGCTCTCTTTCTACTCATTTTGATATTTTAGGTTGACACCTCATTTTCCAGACTCCATCATTCAACACCTTTTATGATCATAATTTTAAAAAAAGGTTTTACATGAAATCCTCTCCAATACCCTGCATTGCTTTTTGATCATAGGACAAAAAAGATAGTTACACTATATTCTACCATTTCCTTGTTATTTCTAAAATAATGTAAAATTCAAAACTATAAGTGATTTGTTATCTGTTTTTTACAACTTCATGTAGTTTGGAATTATTAATTAGTGTATACATTATCTGAATCATGCAGAAATAAGCATGTATACATGCATTGCATAAAAGCTTATACATTGCACAAAAATGTAAAATAAGCACAGAAACTATAATGTGAAGGATACATGCTCCTGGCCTAATGTGGTAATTCAAACTACATTTCTTCAATAATAATGCTCATTTATTGAGTTTTCTATTTGCAGTAGTTTCTCAGCACCAAGATTTGACCCTACCAAAGAAGAGCATCAGAAGTTTGAGATAAAGAGAGATGTTACAACCTCAAAGTTTGTATTTTACTTTAGTACTACTTTTACACTTTACTCTTTTGAAGTTAGTGTTCCATTTTATTCTAATTTACTTGCATCACTCTGTACATTGTATTTGTAATGATTTATGTCATGTCTGATCAGGCCTAACCCCGAAGTTCCAACATCAGTAGCTCAAATAAAGGAGCATGAATCAAATTTTTATAATCATTTATTTCATAATTCAAATAATAAACTTTGACAAGGTTAAAACAACGTTATTGTCAGACTAAAATGAATCATTGAGTCATATAAGTAGTCATTGTTCGATCCAAACATTTACAGACATTTCAAATATAAGGAATATAAATATCTGAAAAAACGCTGGTCATTAGCATATAAATCATCTGATATAATATGTGTCTTCATAGATCTAAAGCAGCTAGGGCCAAGGACAAAGCAGCTCTAGAAGCAGCCACTGAACCAGAAGAAGAAGAAACCCTTCCTGAGGTATCCACTGAAAAGTACTTTGAGGTGCAAGACAATTTGAAGGAATCCATCCAGCAGGGACAAAACACACCATTCAGTTTCCTTTCAGCATTTTCGTCTGGAGGGGATGCGGGTGATAAAGATGATGAAGGAAATGTTACGGCGGCGAGTGATTCCCTTATGAAGGATTCATCCAGTACAGGTATGTCTGTTTTAAGAAGCATATAAAGCACATGTACCCATTGTAAGTAAAAAGTGAAAAGTAACAAAAGAACAAGATCAAATACAAGTAGATAGAGAACAATCAAATGTTATAAAACTAAATGGAAACAAGACATTATTGACAAAGGTTAAATGTTTGTCGTGAAAAAGACAGTGATCCAAATACATGTAAGTATATCAATATAAGTCAGTAGCAATATTAGGGAAACAAATAAGCTGAAATTTATGACTTGGAACTGATTAAGGTAGGCCAATGTCATCTGCATTTTCATACGCATACATTAACATACATGTACATTATCGCAAAGAAAAAAAATCCCCATGAAAATCAAAGAATGTCTCCATTACTTTGTGAAACCTAGTAATAAATATCATTATCCCAAACCTAATATCCTAAATTATATTGTAGCAGAAGTTGAATCAAGACAGAGTGGTACAACAGCATCCACTATGTTACCATGGCAATCTAACCCATTCTCCTATGATAGCAGCAGTGATGAAGATGAAGATGATGCAACATCTGCAAATAAAGTGTAAATATTATCTATTTTTATGGTAGATCCACATTAAGGACATTTAAATGCTATTCAATATATAGAGGTTATTTAATGGGAGGGAATATGGATTTTATTCCTTGAGAAAATATGATATTGGCCTCAGAAAATATCATATTGACACTCGGGCTATCGCCCTCGGTCAATATGATATTTTCCTTGGCCAATATCATATTTTCCCTCGGAATAAAATCCATATTCCATCACGACCATCAATAACCTATTTATTTCATAATATTTTTTTTTCAATTTTAATGAAGTCATCAACATCCTCTGTTGCATACCTAGACATATTTGTCACAGTAATAGACCTTTGTCACAGTAATAGACGTAAACTAGATGATAATAATTTCAATAATTTCAATTTTCCAAACGATTTTTTTACTTCCTGTAGAGATGTGCTAGACGAAAAGCGTAAAACTCAAGAGAAATTACCGGGAATATTTCTGATACGGGATCTGATACGGGATTTTTGCTGATACAGGATCCAATACGGGATTTTGGCTGATACGGGATCTGATACGGGATTTTTCAAATAACACTTTTATTCCCTGTTATTTTCCCAGGGAAAACATGTTATTATGGAATAATCATCATTATATTCATGATTTATCAATATAATGAAATTAGTGAATCAGACTAACATATTACATATGTACACTTTTTCTGATTCCATCACCATTCAAGTACACTCTTCCACACATTTTATATCCACAACTCAGTCAAATCTGACTCTTAGTACCATTACCATTGCAAAAATGATTAGGAATCGAGACTAACATATTCCATATGTACACTTTTTCTGATTCCATCACCATTCGAGTACACTCTTCCACACATTTTATATCCACAACTCAGGCAAATCTGAGTCTTAGTACCATTACCATTGCAAAAATGATTAGGAATCAAGACTAACATATTACATATGTACACTTTTTCTGATTCCATCACCATTCAAGTACACTCTCCCACACATTTTATATCCACAACTCAGTCAAATCTGACTCTTAGTACCATTACCATTGCAAAAATGATTAGGAATCAAGACTAACATATTACATATGTACACTTTTTCTGATTCCATCACCATTCAAGTACACTCTCCCACACGTTTTATATCCACAACTCAGTCAAATCTGACTCTTAGTACCATTACCATTGCAAAAATGATTAGGAATCAGACTAACATATTACATATGTACACTTTTTCTGATTCCATCACCATTCAAGTACACTCTCCCACACATTTTATATCCACAACTCAGTCAAATCTGACTCTTAGTACCATTACCATTGCAAAAATGATTAGGAATCAAGACTAACATATTACATATGTACACTTTTTCTGATTCCATCACCATTCAAGTACACTCTCCCACACATTTTATATCCACAACTCAGTCAAATCTGAGTCTTAGTACCATTACCATTGCAAAAATGATTAGGAATCAAGACTAACATATTACATATGTACACTTTTTCTGATTCCATCACCATTCAAGTACACTCTCCCACACATTTTATATCCACAACTCAGTCAAATCTGACTCTTAGTACCATTACCATTGCAAAAATGATTAGGAATCAAGACTAACATATTACATATGTACACTTTTTCTGATTCCATCACCATTCAAGTACACTCTCCCACACATTTTATATCCACAACTCAGTCAAATCTGACTCTTAGTACCATTACCATTGCAAAAATGATTAGGAATCAAGACTAACATATTACATATGTACACTTTTTCTGATTCCATCACCATTCAAGTACACTCTCCCACACATTTTATATCCACAACTCAGTCAAATCTGACTCTTAGTACCATTACCATTGCAAAAATGATTAGGAATCAAGACTAACATATTACATATGTACACTTTTTCTGATTCCATCACCATTCAAGTACACTCTCCCACACATTTTATATCCACAACTCAGTCAAATCTGACTCTTAGTACCATTACCATTGCAAAAATGATTAGGAATCAAGACTAACATATTACATATGTACACTTTTTCTGATTCCATCACCATTCAAGTACACTCTCCCACACATTTTATATCCACAACTCAGTCAAATCTGACTCTTAGTACCATTACCATTGCAAAAATGATTAGGAATCAAGACTAACATATTACATATGTACACTTTTTCTGATTCCATCACCATTCAAGTACACTCTCCCACACATTTTATATCCACAACTCAGTCAAATCTGACTCTTAGTACCATTACCATTGCAAAAATGATTAGGAATCAAGACTAACATATTACATATGTACACTTTTTCTGATTCCATCACCATTCAAGTACACTCTCCCACACATTTTATATCCACAATTCAGTCACATCTGAAAGTACTGTGTGAAACCATCCTTGGTGGTACATGCAATTCAGTGGTCTAGAAATATCTATTTACCCTAAGGGTGCAAATCAGGAATATGATAGGGGATAGAGACTAACATATTATTACATATGTACACCTTTTCATATCCTATCAGCATTCAAATAAACTCATCCACATATTTTGTATCCACCTTTTCTGCATATAAAAACTTTTAAAACAAATGTCTGATGGATTCATAAGATTTGTCCAGATGCTCCCAAAATTCTTATATTTTGATTTTAAAGTATTCACTGAAAGTTTACTTAATTATCATGCGAAAATCTTGTCAAAATGGTTAGGCAATCTTCCCTTCTCAGTTCCAGGGCTTTAAGCCAATCACGAAATTGCTTTATGCATCTTTGGAGCTGGTAGATAGCGCTCTATTGTTTTATACCACCACCAAGAAGTGGTAACATATCATTAAGCCACCATTTTTGTGACTGGTCTGTTTAGCATCTGCGACTAAGTGTTGTACTTTTATATTTATCAAGTGGTGACATATTTTGATGTTAAGTGCCTTGTATTTTCAGAGGTGACGAGCAGGAAACCAAGACAGAATCCAAAACAACAACAATGACAACCACTTTCTTTTATTTTGAAAATGACGAGCGACTCCAAGGTAATTTTTGCATTGCTATGTTAAAGATCACCATCAATTTGCTCTATTGTTGTCAATCAAATCTAAATTGTCCAAATATTAGAAAAATTAAGAAAAGGGAAAATTTAGATATCTCAACAACCCCATGGTCCTGGTTGTATAAGAATAGTGTTTCCTTTTAAATGTTTCCAAATAAAGAATATCTCAATATTTTCAGATTGCCACTCCTACTTTCATCCTGTTGAAGACAAGGATGCATTAAAGGAGAACTGGTTGGAGAAACGCCCAGACAGAGTAGAGGTGAGTTAGCAAACTTAAGGTGGCTAGTGGGGTCAGACAGAGTAGAAGTTACCTAGCAAGCTTAAGGTGGCTAGTGTGCCCTGACATCTTGGACTACTTTTTAGTGAGATTAAGGTGGCTAAATGCCTTTTATGTTTATTTGTCTTCTCGGGGCATCAGTATGCAAACCCATTATGTAAAGGTTCGAGTTAAAAGATTAAAATATCAGAAATAAGTTTATCTTATGATTTTAGAAGCATTTTAATACTGCATATTTTATGTTTTTATTTCAGGATATTGATTTGAAATGTTTGTTAATTGTGTGAACTTATTCCAGGCATACAGGACCCGCCACAAGAGGGCAGTAAGACAGGTGAGAGTGACGCGGGGTCGAGAGAATCAACGAGGACGTGGTAGAGGACGAGGGAGAGGAACACCATCCAGGAGGAGCTTCTAGAAACGAGGTCTAGAGCATTAGCATTTACGTGGCAGCACTTCTTTAAGACAATTGGCTAATCCAAATGAGTTGGACATCAAGATATTTTTCTAAATTCTTCGAAAATCATTTTTTATTGATAAAGAAGTACTATAAATAAACTACTGACAATTCAGATTGTGAATTTTGAATAATGAATGGACAGCATTTCAATTTATCCTAATGTGATGCATAAAGAATTGTATTGAATTGGAATAGAATTGAATATTAATGGATGTAACAAATAAGATCACCTAAACAGACTTACAGGTTAAGTTACGTGTGATCCAGCTGTATAAATATAAAAAATAAAATACTAATAAATAGTAGAATCTAAATTAGCTTTTTTGATTTTAATCGTCACTATCAATAGATAATTTCAGTTACAAATTGACTTTTATAAATCAGCTACAGGATGATGATTGGTGGGGACTCAAAGACTAACAGCAACTATTCATTTATAAATTCTTATCTTAGATTTTTATTTGTCTACCAAATAGTGGACACCTGTTTGACTTCATTTACAGATTTTACATAATACTGAATTATGCATTTACATTGATATAGTATGTCAGTGGCAATCCAATAGAGCATCTTCAAACTTTAACTGGAATTTCTCTCAATAAGGCCCTGGTAGATTTATTTATTGATTTGAATATAGATTCTTATCTTCTTAATTTTATGTACTTTGTAGGCTATAGGAAAATATAGCACACATGATAGGTCATTTTTGTGAAAATGCAGTACTGGACAGTGAACATACTAAAGGGACCTTGTTCTGAGAAAATCCAGTGTCTCTTTAAAGTACTATATTCTCTCTAATAAGTGCACAGTGCGGTTTCCAAATTAAAATATTTCTAGCTGTTATCACTAAGGTTGACATCCTCTTCAGCTCCTGTATTTCTTTCTCTGCATTAAATATAATCATCAATCAATAGCTTGTGTAAATAATCCAAACTAATGCATTAAACTTCATATTTTCTTGAGACCATTTTCAACATAAAAGTCACATGTGCGCTCATTTAAACTGCGCTCATTAGAGAGAATACGGTAACTCTTAATGCGTCCTTGCCTCAGACACATGATCCTTATGCATGAACAAAGATGAAAAGTATGTGTACGAAATATTTCATACTACTCTGTTTGAATTAAATATTTACGAAACTTTGAGTGTTTTTACTTCCATCTTTGTTTATGCAGCAGACTCATTTAAAATATAGTTTGATATTTACATTTACTGCACTTTAAGTAATATAGACCTCCGACGAAAAGAAAATACTTTCATTAGAGATCAATGGAATATTTATACCTTTTGAGAATAATATTACGTTATTCATTTGGTCAAGTAACCTCAGGGGTACCTGCTTTTTTAATTTCAACTTTCTCAATCTTGAATTTTTAAATTATTTGACACCAAATATTTTTTGGTAATTTGGTAATAGTATTTTTCCTGTTCATTTAGGCTATAATTTTATCTATTTTTTCATCAAAGCCTGCTTCGATTATACAAAACCAAATATTTCTGCATAGCGCTACGTTCAATCATTGAACATTTCTTAAAAATAAATCTTTTTGAAATAAATATGTATGACCTATTCTATATACAGCTTTATATAACATACAAACACATTTACAAATAATTTGCACTTAGGATATAATTGTTAACCTCCCAGTTAAGCGACTGATATTGTCAACCTCAAATCAAGTTATCAACTTCAATTTAGCTGATGAAAAGCATTAATCATGTTCTCGTTGACAATTTCAGTTCACTATTTGTACAGTTGACCTTCTTAGAGGTGAACAATTTCAGCTTTGGCTTATTGAAACTGACAATGTCAATTGCACATGTACAATTCTAGATGCAGCAGCAACACGCAACAATGATTTAAACATAAATATGAAGACTGATTGGACAAATCATCACAAATTTCACACTTGAGTACACATTAATTTGGAAGCGAACATGAATATTATCTGCATAATTTAAATTACAAAATAAAATCCCAGCTCCAAAAAAATTATTTTAATGAAATATAGCCACAAATAAACAGCTATCAATACAGATTTCAAAGAAACACTTCAATTTGTCTTTTAACAAGTAATATAATGCCAAATTTATGCCTTTTTATAATTCTCAGTTTGAGGTGTTCAGAAGTACAAACGAAATTGAGTGTTTGAAAATGAATTTACAGAATTTTGTGTACTCAATATTTTTATAATTGACAACAATAATCCTGGTGAGTACCCTGCATATTGCAATGTCCACCTACAACTACTAACCAACTACATCTAATAATTATCTTTTCGAACTAAAGTCATTCAAAATATACAGTATTATAGAACTAAATTGTGAGAATGTAAATAAAATTGAATATATATTTGTTTTGATGTCTACATGTTCATTTGGGATTTTGTTCAAAATATACAGAGAAAAATTCTACAATCTACCTTCAAAATGAATAAATTTTATTTTCTGAAATTGATTCTTGCTTGACCCTTGTGACTAATTATTATAATCGTAAACATGTTTATGCAAATACAATGTAAAGTTCCGACATGGGTAGAACTGCTCATTTCACCTTTTATTCCAAACTTGATGTTCATGCCACATTGTCTATTTTCTCCCAAGAATATAAATTACTAGTATATTACTTTCATTGACCCATTATCATGTTTGTTCTACATGGGGTCAACTTATTCAATACACATTTCCAATATATCCTGGCCACTTTTGGTGGACCACAGAAACAAGGATATACTGGTATTGGCTATCGTAATTTGGAGCAGCCATGTTTGTAAAAGAAAATAAAGAGGTTTTTGAAAATGAGCAATAGGTTAATCCTAGTTCTGTTCTGAAAAGAATGACATCATGGCCAACAGGTGGCAAAATTTACCGAATTTGTCTATTTTTACATAACTGCATTTTCCACAAATGATGCATAAATATGGAACATCACTTTCTCCTTCTGTATGTATATTGGCACTAATAATTAGAATCCATCATCGACTCACACTCAATCGTGACATTCTATAAGAGGATAAGTCCGAGGCTTGCAAGAGCAAGATGAACAGAATCATGATGTATAAAAATAATTATACAGTAATCAATGGAAGGCTCATAACTATATACTGCACACACTGTGCTGTGAACGGACAGTATAAAAGCTCTTAAGTACACACAGTATGTGTTGACACCATATTCCCAACTCTTTGAGTAACTGTCTTACAACTTCTCCCTCCTGAAAATATAAAAAAAATGCATGTAAGTACTTAATGAAAGCAATTGTTGAACAGGAAAACCTGCATCGCTCTTTGTACACCTACTGTATGTTATGTCCAGTCTCCAGTGTCCACTTAGTATTTAAAGGACTAGATAATAGCCTTGATTCTCATTCTCAACCAGAACAACGGCAACGCCAAAGCGTAGCGAATCCCATCGAACATTTTTCAAAAGGGGCACCTTCTTCCAAAAGTGTCATTAGACAGTGTGCCATGCTTATAGTATTCACATACCAAATATGAACAAAATCGCTCCACTACTTTTCGAGTTATAGTAAAATACGTTAAAATGGCGGCCATTTTGAAAAATGGCCGCCTTCTACCAAAAGTGTCATTAGACAGTGTGCCATGCTTATACGTATTCACGTACCAAATATGAACAAAATCGCTCCACTACTTTTCGAGTTATAGTAAAATAAGTTAAAATGGCAGCCATTTTTCAAAATGTCCACCATTTTTCAAAATGGCCGCCTTTTACCAAAAGTATCATTAGACAGTGTGCCATGCTTACAGTATTCACATACCGAATATGAACAAAATCGCTCTACTACTTTTCGAGTTATAGTAAAATAAGTTAACATGGCGGCCATTTTGAAAAATGACCGCCCTCTACCAAAAGTGTCATTAGACAGTGTGCCATGCTTATACGTATTCACATACCAAATATGAACAAAATCGCTCCACTACTTTTCAAGATTTAGTAAAATAAGTTAAAATGGCGGCCATTTTTCAAAATGTCCGCAATTTTTCAAAATGGCCGCCTTCTACCAAAAGTGTCATTAGACAGTGTGCCATGCTTATAGTATTCACATACCAAATATGAACAAAATCGCTCCACTACTTTTCGAGTTACAGCAAAAATCGTAAAATAACGAGAAAACGCCGCCATTTTTCAAGATGGCTGCCATGTGCTTTTTTAATATCTACATTTTTAGCTTTATTAATGTCCTATATAATTTTTTTTACATTTAAAACATATTGCTATTACAGTTTTACATATTGCACCTAAATTACTGTAAAATCGGCACTAAAATGGCCGCCATTTTTAAATGAGCGGCCATTTTGAAAACCGGCTTTCGAGCAGAACTTCTACCCCCATAGGGTATATGTATACAAAATATGAATAAAATCTGGCCAACGGTATTTGAGTTATTGCCCGGACGGACGTACGTACGGACGGACGGACGGAGGCGTTCCCTATATCCCTCCGAACTTCGTTCGATGGGATAATAACTATATCTTTAATTCATAATGCACCTGTGCACTTGGGATGCGTCGCACACTTGTAGAGGTGTATTCTACATAAGGTAATGCGTATCTGAACTTTAAAAAGTGTTCTACTAAAGGAGGGGCTCTATTATATAGGTTTTACTGTACTTCATCTGTGTCCGTACAATCATTGGGGTAGCCAGTTTCTATCACAAACAGCAATGCCATCAAAATCACTTCACGGATTATTTAATGAGAGACACAATACATACCTGAATGGCTTGATTGACTTTGCCTATGTACAGTTTGAGCTCTGGCATGTGCTTGGTGGGCTTGCTGGTGGTGGTTATTATGCACCTCTTGGTGGAAGTTATGGTGATGGTGATCTCCAAACATATCGTCCATACTGGCGAACAAATCATCACCACCAAAATCATAATGGAATCCATTTCCACCTCCGAAATGATCATCATCATCCCCAAACCCACCAAAGTCATCATCATCGAAGAGATTATCAAAATTAAAGAAACTATCGAAGTCATCGAAGTGCCCTCGGCCATTATGAGCAGTGTTATGATGTTCAAAGTGTGAGTCAAATCCTTTGAAGAAATCATCAAAGTTGAAATCAAATCCTTGTCCACCATATCCTTGGCCTCCATTTTCAAATGCACTTTCTCCAAATTGATCATACTGTCTCCTTTTGTCTTTGTCTGATAGAACCTCATAGGCTGGAAATAGAGATGTAGATTTATGGACAATGTATTTTGTTTTAAACTTTTTTTCACTTTCAGAATATATGGTAACAGGTTTACCATTAAAAAGGGGAATTAAGATGGGGATGCTTTTTCTACAACAAATAACAAATGATTAAAAATCAACTGGATTCAACCCAAAATATGACAAAGAATTTATAATCAGATTTGAATTCTACATATTCACATTGATTCAGTCAACATTTTTAAATAATCATACCAAAAATCATGCTTTAATACCTTTTGCTATTTCTATAAATGTTTCCTCTGCTGCCTTTGGATCATCTTTATTTTTATCTGGGTGATATTTAACAGCTAACTTTCTAAATGCTTTTTTAATTTCTTTTTCACTTGCAGTTCTTTTTACACCTAGCAGTTCATAATAGTCTTTGGATTTCTTTCCTAATGTTGAGTCTAGGATGACTGCTATACCATAGAATGTCCCTAGTATTACATATGTATCACACTTCATGGTGAAACCTGAAAAATACATGAAACACAGAAAATCAGCATGGCTCTCAATTGATGATTTGCGATCACCGGATGGATTCTATGTTGTAGTGACGTCACAATTAGGCCATTCAGCATTAGATGTTTGATTTTGAGAGATTATCTTCTATATTTCGTGCTTTATTGATTTATTTTTCACAAACGTGTTTGATTTGACTAGATCAACATTCATTCTAAGCACACGCCAAGTCTTAGATTCTACTGACATGATTTAGATAGCGGTTAAACGCCCCCCGATTTTGATAAAAACGGGGGGCGCTTATAGGCATCGATGTTTAGTATGAATTTCACCGAAACTTCACACATATAAAGATAAACTCATGATCTAGTCAAATCGGCATACCTGGTAAATATCCGACCCATGGTTTTCATAAAAGAAACGACAATATTTTTAGCTCAAAACTGCCACGTGTCCGCCATTTCGTGATGCCATCATGTCTAATATCTTTTCTATATGACGTCACACCAATAAGACGAAATACGTGACAACAGTATCCATAAACAAAATTCCTGAATTCTGATCACAAAAGGTCAATTGAAGGGGGGTGTTAGACATTATTTCTCTCCATGTTAGATCATGGTTTTGGGATGTATAGGGTCTATTTTTCTCATGACAGGTTAACACTTAGTTTGCTGCTTTTCTTGCTGAAATATGTGACGACTGTTAGGCTATTACATCGTTGCTGTGCACTGGGGACCCTAATATGCTTGTTAAAATGTTATTAATTACGAGGAACCCTTCTAATAATTCCTGAATTGAAAACTCCAGAGAATAACCCGAACAATTCAAAAAATGAACCGTTCACTTTTTGCAAAAGTGGGTTTGGATAGCGGCAAACCCAGGTTATGAGGGCACAGCCTGTGCCAACAATTGCTTCTGTCCTGGCTTTTAAAAACCAAAAGTCCTTCAATACAGTCTACAACATATTTGTTCAACTAAATATGTATCATATTCCTGTTATGGTATACAGGCTGTAGGGCTACATACATTTACAACTAGATAACGGCAACTCCGCGGAGTAGCAAATCCCAACGAACAAAATATCAATTAGCGAATTCCAATCAAGTATACTCATTACTTTGGTTAAAATTGAAAAAATTAGATTTTAGAATTGCGAATTCCTGCAAAGCAGCCATTTTGAATTTTCTGAGGTACAAATCTGAAAAATAACACCATTAATGTGATCTCAGGCCTTGCGCTTAACTTTTTTTATCAGGTAGTTGTTTCACTACTTAGTGAATTTTCCAGGTAGCTATTTCAGAGAAGCAGGTAGTGATAATTTTGATCAGAGATTTCTAAATACTTTTATGACTTAGCAACGCAATAATATAAGATATTACATTGTAAATAAATGTATACTTACCAAGATATTACTATATGTTTTAAGGCAATTTACATACATATTTCATTGATAGTAGGAATGAAGTCGACTATGATTGGTCTGCTTTTGCGTAATTGTAAAAGTTGTGATTCAGCTCGAACAAGAATTAACAAAGATCAGCTGATCGGCAAATCAATCGAAAATCTGTATATTTTCACATGGAGAGTTGTAAGTTGAGGTACTAGTGAAGTTAGCTAGTTGGAGGAAATGACAAGTAGTGTTTTTGGGAAAACAGGTAGCAAATCACTACCTTAGCAATGCTAATTTCGAGGCCTGGATCTACTCCAAAATTCCTTCAATTTGAGTATAATATAGCCATACTTTGAAGGGATCGAAAAATTATTGCGAAATCGTACATTAGACGGCCATTTTGAATTTTACGAGGCTTGAATCAGAAAAAAGATACAATATTTGCAATCTGCTCTTAATTGCCTTTCATTTGAGTATAATAAAGCTATACTTCAGAAAGATCTAAAAATTAGCGAAAATTTCTGTTTTCCTGACCCCCCATACACGGCCCCTGGGGGTCAGGATGAAAAACACGGAATATATGTGAAATAGATAAGTGTTGTGAATATACTACCAAAATTTCAAACAATAATATTAATTACTTTGGTTTAGAATGAAAAATTTATGATTTTTGCGAAAAAGTGCCGTCATTTTTAAAGCGGCGGCCATCTTGAAAACAATTTTTTTGCGTAAAACTATTCACCAATATACATCTTTCCATCAAATATGAAGAAAATCCGTCTACTAGTATTTGAGTTATCTTCCGGACGGACGGACAGACGGACGGACAGACGGACGGACAGACGGACGGACGGACAGACGGACGGACTGACTGATGGATGGCTTCACTATATCCCTACCGAACTTCGTTCGTTGGGATAATTACTGTTGCCATAGGACAAGAAGGCAATGTCGTCCATGTAGGCAATTGTCGGACAAATGGCTGCATCCCGGGGGCTGCATACACTGAGTGTCCATCAGTTACCTACATAGACGATATTGCCTCCCTGTACTCTAGTCTAAATGAGCAACAACTCTGTAGCAACCTCGAAATAAAATGTGATGGGGAGTAAGTGACCCCTCTCTGCCTCTCTTATATTCCCTATATCAGAACATAGAGAATATTAGAGAGGTGTGTGACTGACCTACTCCCCGTGTAAACTAGAGTCCATTTCACTGCTTCAGTTCGTCAGTAGAACGGCAAAAATAAGAAATTGGGCGACCATTGTGCAATAATATATGGAAAAGTATATTCATAATGTACATGAATGACATTTGTATATCTTGGATTGCTTCTAGTTTGGCTTATAAAGTGTGTGGCCTCTTATATTTGGATGTTTCTCTGCCATGTTATTTTCAATAAGATTAACATGGCCGAAATTCTTCAAATTACAAGACGGCACAGGCTTATTGCACAAAAAACTAAAAAATCTGAAATATACAAATGTCATTCATGTACATTATGAATATACTTTTCCATATATTATTGCACAATAGTCTCCCAATTTCTTATTTTTGCCGTTCTACTGACGAAATGAAGCATTGAAATGGAGACCCTATCTGTTGCAAGACTAACGCCTGGCATAACCGTCACCATGTTATTCGGTGTTTTTTAAGTAGCGCAAGGATCCTGCCATGACCGTGGTAATGTTATCGTGAAAGCCTGGTATAACCGCGACAATGCTGTATTATATTAAAATGCCTGCCATGACCGTGGTAGTGTAATCGTGTAAGCCTGGCGCGACCGCAACCTTTCCCAGCCTTTCAGTAGGTTCGCTTTAGGTGATATATTTAACTAGGATTTCTAGGTTCGCTTTAGGTAGTTCCCCATATAAAAACTCCATTGGTAGGTTCGCTTTAGGCGATGTTCAAATATGCTAATTAGGTCTAGGTTTACTTTAGGTGATCACCTAAAGCGAACCTATAACTACCTATAACTACCTAAACTACCTAAAGCGAACCTAGGTAGGTTCGCTTTAGGTAATTATAGGTTCGCTCTAGGTAATTATAGGTTCACTTTAGGTGGTCACCTAAAGCGAACCTGAATCTAATTAGCATATTTGAACATCGCCTAAAGTGAACCTAAAACTACCTAAAGCGAACCTACGTAGGTTCGCATTAGGTAAATACTTCCAAGGGCTGGGTTGGCTTTAGACCACCCAGCAGCTGGATGACTTGATTTATTGATTTGAACTGTTTATATATTTCTCACACATTTTGATGCATATATTCTCACGCAAGTACATTTATTTACAATGATGGTCCTAAGCTGGCCTATGGAGGTAGCCGGGTGTCTGGACCCTACAAACTTGTGAACTGTATAGGCTATATGTCAACTGTTTATTTATTTCTCACACATTTTGATGCTTAGTTTCTCACTCAGGTACATTTATTTAAAATTCCTCCTATTTTATAATTGCATGCTTTTATAACACTTAACTTCTTGAATACCAGCCTCTAAAAAGGGTTTGAAACCAGAGTATTGTTTATTTTTTGCCAGTTTTTTTGATATTTACATCTAAAAACACAACAGTTGATGTTTGATTTCATAAGAATAGTAAACATAGACCCATTTTAAAACATCATTTGTGAAGATTGGATAAAAATTGCCAAAGTTAGAGCAGTTTTAGTGAAAAATTCTGTGACAGATATATCTGTCATTCTGGGTATTCAAGAGGTAAAAATAATATATTGATTGATCATTTGTACACTTACTTACATGTACTTTGTAAATGAGCACTGATGTGATGGTCATTTCAGCATATTTCCCCATTTTCCTGGCTATTTCCAAATTTCCTGTCTAACTGATTTTAGTTTGAATATTATACCCACAATGCATTGATACTTCCTGCTATCAGCGCCCCTAGTGGCTGTGACAGAACTTCTGTTTTGTAGGTTTGCTTTAGGTAGCTTTGGGTTCGAACCTAAAACTACCTACAAGTTTGAAGTGTTTTAGGTAGAATTAAGATTTTTAGGTTCGCTTTAGGTAACTCTTGAAGAATGACTATGTTTTTAGGTTCGCTTTAGGTTCGAACCTAAAACTACCTACAACTTTTCGATTTTTTTAAGTGTTTTAGGTAGTTTTAGGTAACTCTAGATAATTTCTAAGATTATTTGGTTCGGTTTAGGTAAATCCTGAAAAAGTATAACATTTTTAGGTTCGCCTCAGGTTCGAACCTAAAACTACCTACAAGTTTCTGATTTTTTTAAAGTGCTTTAGGTAGTTTTAGGTTCGAACCTAAAGCGAACCTACATGAAGTAGGTTCGTTTAGGTAGCCATCAAATTGTGGGATTCACTTTTAGGTTCGCTTTAGGTTCGAACCTACATCACCTACTGAAAGGCTGGGATGACATTAATGACCTTCATGTTTCGCCCATTGCTGTTGGTATTTTTTATGGATAAATCTTATTAATTGATCATTCTTATTAATTGATCATTATAGAAAGTATATGCTTTCGAATCGAAGCTCCTTGAATGAGAGTAGAGATATAGTTTGTTCACAAATTATTTATGAGTAAAAATTAGGTTTTCGTTGTGAAATTAATACACATTTTTAGTAGTCTTTATTTACATATTTAAGGTAGTTAAACACGAAGAAAAATTGTCATTACAGTGTTCTCAAGCTACTTTAAATACAACCACGGTCATGAGAGGCCTTGGAACTATTGTCACGGTCATACGAGGCTTTAACATTACCACGGTCATGACAGGCCTTGCAATATAATATAGCATTGTCACGGTTATGACAGGCCTTGCAAGCATTGTAACGGTCATATCAGGCTTTAACATTACCACGGTCATGACAGGCCTTATAAGCATTGTCACGGTCATATTAGGCTTTAACATTACCATGGTCATGACAGGATCCTTGCGCTAGTGTTGTCGCGATGTGCCTTAATCGTACATCGATGCATCGGCAATTTTCAGTAGTAAACATCGATGCACATCGCGATGTACATCGAGAAAAAGTTCGAGAAAAGTGCACTGAAATACCGAACGCTAATGCACTAAAATACCGAACAGAACAAATTAATAAAAGTACGCTGGTACATCCGGGAACTTCTAGTAACGGTGAAATGAAAGTAAAGTAAATTTTTTAGATTAATGGTTCATTTCGACTAGCTAAAACAGTTTTAAAGCGAAAGAATATCAGAAAACATTGGGAAATGAAATAAGACATGAAAAAAGGTAAGCAATTTGCGTCAAAATAAGATAAGAAAGAGCGATTTTTAGCAAATTAATTGTTTTCAAAAACATCGATGTTTTGTTTCAGACATCGATGCATCGCCAGAACCAGCTTTGGCGATGTATATCGCGATGTATCGATTAATCGCGACAACACTACCTTGCGCTACTTAAAAAACACCGAATAACATGGTGACGGTTACACCAGGCGTTAGTCTTGCAATAGATAGCATGTGGTGAAATGGACTCTACATGAGTTATAGATACCGTCGTATGTGTAAAAGTATCAGTACCTCAAAGATAATATATATTTATTGAGTCTAGCATACTACGAAAATACGATATGACTGGCATTTGTGGCCTGAGTGAGGTCAAAACTTGAAAAAACTGTCAAGCTGTCAAAACATTGATCAAATACAACTTCTAATTTGAGAAGAAAACTGTTTCAAAACTTAGCTCAGATACTACTTGTATGTTGTAATTACCTTCTTTATTGTCGAAAAAGTGATCTAACCTCCAAGAGCTCTGTAGTTAATGAAATACTAATGACAAAATGAAATATCAGAAGTTTTTTAAATCCGGAAGTAAATTTAGTCGGAAGTACACGAACGGTGTTCTGATTGGTCAGACCTGATTTTGCGCCATCTTTATGAAAATAAATTGTAAACATAAAATGGCTGAAGACTTGCTTCCATTGCTTGGTGTAAATATGGGAAATGAGGGCGAATCAGGTAATAGCATTTCTCAGATATACTTCTTAGGCACAGTTTGAATACTAAAGTTTTATTTGGACAACAGTTTTAATGTTTTCGAAGTTCCATAAGCTCTACAAGGGAATGTATAATTTGTTGAATTTTAGAAATTGGACCATGCATCACACTCACAGTCTGAATAGGAAAATTGAATATTAGATGCTCATGACATCTAAATGACCCTAGAGCTAGCCGTCATTACCTTTAACGAAGACCTTTTACAGGCAACGTCCATTATCACCTTGAGTTTTGACTGCATAATTACACATGCACAAAGGGTTTTAGCAAAGCCAACAGTTATGAATAAGAATGTGTAAAACTCTGTAAAATTAACCATGTCTCGATAACGACCCTGGGCACGCTTGTCCAGGCAGCTATAGTTAACATGTCAGATACTAGACCTGATAGGGAGTTTGCTAAATACAATGCCCCATGCTGGAATCAAACCCAGGGCCTTACATGTAATTCCGCTCCAAAGTCTGATGCCTCTATCGCTCGAGGGGTTTACGGAAAAGAAGACCCCACCGACCACCGACCAGTCGGTGTTTTCCACTGGTAGCCTCAAAACAGGGTTTGAAGAAAATGTGTAAAAGACCGACCATATCATGTAAAAGACCGAACATATTTGTAGCCTTAGAATATTAATAATTTGATTTTGAATGTCAATCGTTGGACTAGGCAACGTTTTTTACCGATTTTGTACCTTGCAACGAATGGCAAGCAAACAAATTGGTCATGACCGTCTCCTCTCGATTAATTGTCCTGCCTTAGGTCCTAACCTATCATTAACCAACCTATCGTTTCTACGGGAATCTATCCTAATTTTTACTGAAATTTAACAATTTCGAAACAAAAATGATTTGTTATCGTCATAGCCTACTGAATACTGAACACGATATAATGTTACGTACATGCGTTCTCTTATCGGGATTAAAAGTGACACCATTAGAATCAGAACACCATTAGAAAGCTTTTTTTGTCATATCAAATGTAGTTTTTACCAGTTGACGTTTAACAACTGAGAAATCAAACATAACGTTACGACGTCAACATCGACGATGTTTGTGTGTTTTTGTTATTGCGTTTCATATGAATGAAGAATGAACTTAATGCAATGTTACGTGCGTTTTTTTCCAAAGTGACTAACCAGGATGAAATTGGTCTTCTAACAACTGAAACATCACTTAAAAAGATGACATTACACACCACGACGATGTAACGTTTTCATCGTGATTTGAAATGATAATTATACGTTTTTAAATCACGACCTAGTAAAGGTACTATAGTCATTGAATTCCCAGTTTAGGTTTTACTTCAAATTTTGCATTTTTACATCTTTATGTAAAAGACCGTCAGCCGACCACCGACCACATGTACCCAACTGTGGAGAGTGACTGATCGGTGGTCGGTGGTCGGCGGTCGGTGTTTTACGTAAACCCTCGCTCGAGGCAAAGGGCCTAGCCCTTATGGCTAAGGGGTAGAGCATCTGACTCTGAGGTGGAATTAGTAACAATTGATGTTGTCCTTCAGAGATATGGTTTATGACCCCCAAAAGCAAGTCGCTGTTCAAGCCTAGTTATAGTGGCTAGCCCTTATGACTAAGGGGTAGAGCATCAGATTTTGAAGCTGAAGAGGCTTGGTTCGATTCCACACGGGTCATCGAAGTTAGCATACTCCCTTTCATGTCCAGTATCTGGCTTGTTGCACTACAGTTCCTCGGAGGAGTGCCCATGGGTCATTACATCTCCTTCTCTGACCTCAATAAGCTATAAAAAAGTTTGCCTCCAATAACTTTATGAAGATATATACATGTTAAGATATACGTTTGTTGATCTTTTTGCAGAGGATGATTCAAGTGATTCTAATGCATATGACGTAAATCCAGATGACATCGATATGCAAATTGTAAATTACGACAATCCAGTAGATAATATACACCAGAATCCAGGTGCCGAGCAGAATCCAGATGTACAAAACAATCCAGATGCGTCAGGAGATAACAAAGCAAAGAAGGAGAAGAAATCCAAAAAGAAAAAGAAAACCAAAAAACGTGACATGACTTTTGACAGATCGCTACCTGTGGAGCATTCAGTAAGAGAAACTTTTTTTGTTTTATTTTATTTATTTATATACTTATTTTTTATTATCCTTCATCAATACATTATGTATGTGTAGATTGTTTTATTTCCAATTTAATCATTTTAAGATTACCTTTTCTTGATCTGTTCAATGGAGTAGAGAAAATAGTGCATTTTACAATGTTAAGTGTTGTATATTTGATGATTTAGAAATCTAATCTTTTGTTTCTGAAAAGATGGAAAATTCAAATATTTGAAAATTATAAGATGAATACATTTTTTTCAAAAGTCACATTTTTTCCAAAAATGTATTTCAAGTCATGAAAAACTATTTGAATGATTAGACTATATTTTCAAACATTGCATGGGGACTTTAATATAAATCCAATCAAATATAATTCTAGTACCTTGGTGCTGACATGGAGGATATTAGGGGACGTACAGTTCTAGATGATGACTCCTACACATCCCTCCCCATCCTTTGTCTCCCTGGTGTTGTGCTCATTCCCGGGCAAACAGTCCCTCTACACATATTTCAACCAGCCACTGTGTCCATGATAAATAGAGTTATCTCACAGGATAAGACATTTGGCATGATAAATGTAAGGTAAGAATATACAGTAAAACCTGTATATCTTAAGACTTTTAACTTGAACACCTCTCAATGTGAACACTTTTTGGTTCTATTTTTAATCTGCCTTTGATTAGCATTGTTCAAACGTGAGCATCTGTCAATCCAAGATTTCAAACACATTTGGCTGGTTTCAATGATTTTCCAATTTGACAGTTTATACTGTAGTGAACTTTGAAAGTTTGAATACTTTTTTTAAGGCTACTAGAATACTATAGTTTTTGCAGATGTCGAATTTTAAAATCTTTTCGTATTAGACATTATAGAGTATTGACAGATATTCTAGGATATGCTTTTTGGCTCACACAGTGAGCCTATGGGATTGACCAGGCGTCCGTCCGTTGGTCCGTCCGTCCGTTGGTACGTCCGTCCGTCAACATTGGCCGCACAAAGAAAAACTGCTATTCGGATTGAGTCTTAACCACATTCATTTTATGCATATCCATAATGCCTATTTGACCTATCATCGCCATTTCCCAAGTTTGCCCGGTTTCCGAGAAATTGCTGATTTTGACGTCAAAAAGTCAAATTTTCTGTAAATACTAGACATTTTGTTGAAGAAGAATAACTTGTAGTAGTTGCGTTATATGCAACTTATGTCCTCTGAAGATTTCAAAGCTCTTGGAATTACAGTTTTTGGTGTTTACTCTATAAAATTTGACAAAAAGTAGGACTTTTTTGTTCATTTTCAGGAAACTTTCTCATGTATAAAGTCAATGGCTGGTTTTGTGATTGACAAGTTTCTCAAAGTTTGCCTTATACTTGATCATTTCTTGCAATAAATTACGTCATCACTAGATTTAAGCATTCCCTACATATTGCTCAATATATGTCAGCATCAAATTTTTACAGTTTTTGAGATATTTGACGTCAAAAAACAGTAAAAATAAGTTATTTTTCAACTTGCTTCAATTTGACCAATTTTTTTTTGAAAATCATCTACAAGTTGCCAGGAGTTCAAATCTGACATTAGTTTTAGGATTTGACCTTTACTTGACCTTCAGTGACCTTCGAAAGGTCAAAAAAGTTGATTTTTCAAATTGATTTTTGGATGTAAATTTTGGTCAGCTTAATCACAAAAGACTTTACTGAGCTCTGACTAAGTAAACCTTTCAAGGTCAAAGGTCATCAAACTAGGTCACACAACTGTGCTATTTAAGTTTCTCAAAGTTCGAGACTACAAATCCAAATCAATATTTTGGTTTGAAAGTCAGGATATATATTCCTCTGTAAGAAGAACAGAAATGAATAGGGATGAAGAATTGCATCTAGGTTGGTTTATATCTTTGCACCATACCATGGTTCTTAATGATTGGTTTATTTGGTTGGTGTTGTAGATACGACCAAGATTTCACAGCTGTGTTAGCAGATGTAGGAACAACAGCTGAAATATTCTCAGCCAAAGAAGAAACAGATGAGCTTTCTGGAATCACAACTGTGCGTGTGAAAGCTATGGGACGACAGAGATTTAAAGTCAAAGAAACTAGACGACAACTTGATGGGTAATTTGCCATTCCAATCCTATGAAAAACTACCATACTTTTTTAAATATTTTGAATCAAGCCATTTTTCATATAATTTTGTTACCTCTCAAATTGATTCTATCACATCATTGTTCTATTCTTAGTTTACACTCCCCTCCACAAGTTTGGCAACTGGAAGTCCCAATTTGGATCACATAGCAAAGCCTTGGAAGAAAGCTTCCAGTTGCCAAACATATGGAGGGGAGTGTCATCTGTTCTTTATAAGGGCTCTAAAATAAATTCAGCGTGTGCTGTTTTTTAGCATTCTCATAGCTCAAGTGTATATCTTGTCTGAGGCTGAAGTATGTGACCCCCTAGGGGGAGCTATACCCCCCTCCCACAGGAAGTTCTGCTCTTCTAAAACCATCATTAAGCCACAGGATCAAGTTGCAGTAGACGCCCATGGACAATATTTCCAGTATTCAACAAAAACTAAAAAGCCACAAGTAGGTTAACGACCTTGTTTTTTAATGTTTATTATTTTAAGAATCCACCTTCCATTGTTTTGAACATTTCATTTTAGAGCACTTAGTTTGATTACAACATTTAATAATTTTAAGGGCACCTGTATTTGTTGTATTTTGAATTTTAAAGGCACCTTGTTTGTTTCAAAGATGAAAAACACAATCAGTGTAAACACAATTTAGTGTAATGTCTCTTAAATGAAACATAAAATAAGAGGTTAGATTTTTTGATCATGCCCAAGAAAATTTTATATCTTGAATAATGTTCATTTTTCAGATAAACAGATTCTCTAGTGCCCATTTAACATGGTGGCCACCTTGGGTGTATAAGCAGTTTGATGTGGTAGGTAATTCAATTAACAATTTTAAGCTATATACCATTTAAACTTCATACATTTAGTTTTCAGAAAGATTTCCAGTGGGATAGTCTTATAGTTTAAACCTTATTTAGATATGTATTAAGGCATGGAACTGTCAAATGAAACACCTCTGTAAGTAGAACACCTTCATAAGTGGAACACTTCAGAGTCCTATGTCTCTCTAGCTCAGTGTTAGATCAACCTGTAGAACACTTCCCATAAGGAACAGTTTTAATGGTACTAAAGGTGTTCTACTAATACAGGTTTTAGTGTACCTAATATTATATTTCTGTGTAACGGTCTTTTTTTAATTTAATTTTAACAATTTCAGTCAGGTATAATGGAAAAATTAAAAGATGAACTCCGGAGTTGGAACGAGACTATTCGAGAAGAAAATATGCCATGTGACCCTACAGATTTCTCTTTTTGGGTTGCGGGGAATGCTCCTTTGGACGATGGCATGAAGTTGCAACTTTTGACAATAGATAGCACCATACAGAGGTTGAGGTGTGAGCTTAGCATCATGCAGAGGGTAAGAAAAATGTATACAGGCCATTTAATTTGGTACATGGCTGTTCCATAGTTTCAAGAATTAGAGAACAGTAATTAATTCGATTTTTTCTGATTGTATGTTTACTTAAATATCTCAGAACTAGTAATGCCTTTCTGTATAGATAAAGACCTTTGATAATAGTAATGCTTTTCTGTATAAACCCCTTTAATATTATTTATACCTTTCTGTATAAAACCCTTCAGTTCTAGTAATGTCTCAAGATAAAGCCATTCCGAACTATTAATACTTTCTTTATAAAGCCCTTCAATACTATTAACACCTTTCTGTATAAAGCCCTCCAATATTATCTATACCTTTCTGTATAAAGCCCTTCAGTTCTAGTAATGTCTTTCAGGATAAAACCCTTTCATACTAAATTGTAATGCCTTACTGTATAATATTGGTGATTGCTTTGTTGCTCATACAAAACTCTGAAGTAAATTATTTTCCAGTGTACAATATTGTGCTGTAAAGACTGTGGACGCCAAATAACCAACAAGAAAGAAGTGTTCAGTATGACGTTGCAAGGCCCTATGGCAGCCTATGTCAACCCTGGGGGTCACGTACATGAGACACTCACCGTGTATAAGGCACAGAACCTAAGCATGGTGGGTGGCCCTTCTACAGAACACAGCTGGTTTCCAGGGTAGGTTTTGATGATTCTCATTGTCTCCTCCAATGATATTCTGTTGAGCTTTAAAATTTCTTTCTCTATTTTTTTTCTCATCAATATAATTTTTGACAATCATAACTAAATTCTTCCATTGTTCAATGTTTTAACACATTGATGTTTCAATATCTGCATTTCTTCACTGTTAAAGTGGCTTATACAAAGCATGAAATAATGAATAACCTTTTATTAAAACTAAATGATAGCTATTAACAAAAAATATTTTCCTTCTTCAAAAACAATATGAAATTCCTATTTGCTCTTAGAGGTACTTTTTAAGTCAAACATTGATGCTCTCTTCTATAGTATGAAATAAGATGCTAATTTCAAAACTTGTTTTGTAATTTATATAGCCCAGTTTCACACATCGCTTATGAAATACACTTATTTTTCAGGTATGCCTGGACTATAGTGCAATGTGCCCACTGTCATACACACATGGGATGGAAGTTCACTGCCACAAAGAAAAAACTAAAGCCTGATAAGTTCTGGGGAATTACAAGATCTGCTTTGTTACCTGGACTTGAAAATGACGATACAAGTGATTCACCCTGGGTACCATTAATGTGACCTTCCCCAATGTCCCCCCTGGTGCCATTAGATTTCTCTCTCTCCCCCCCCCAAGTGTAAATGGAATAAACCTCTGTCTAGGCCGTCTTAAAAAGAGGATGGAAAAGAGTAATTTAGTACAGGATTTAAAGACATAGCTTATGTTTGACCGAAGGAAAAATGCCATTTTAGTCACCATTAATCCCAACGTAGTTGTTTGGATACTGCAACGTGTTTGAATGGGACCCCATCACTGTGAACCATTGAGTTTTGCTTGGATGCAGTCACTTTACTTTTCGGATGGTTTTTTAAAGGCATAATTAAATAGCCTGTAAAAGTATAAAGTTACATTGTACCCTGTATATCTCCTGCTTTGTAATGAATTATCAACTCACTAGTCTACTTCACAACAATAGTGATAATATAAAGGCATGTATCCATTGCCATTAATAAAGTATGAAGTTAAAGTCTCAGTTTTATTGAGATTTTAGGAAATCTACATTCTTAAGCATTAAGGACTAAAGTGTTAACATTTGATGACATCTAGTTGAATGCCCATGATGACCTATTTGAATTCTGTTTTATATTTGAGATAAGGAATTTAAATCGTGGAAGTTTAAAATGCAATAAGTGAAATACAATTTTGCTTTAGGTAATGTGTAATAATGCTTATTGCAAATTTATTGCTTGTTTACATTTCTTACTGTGTCTTACAGTTAAACCTGTGTAAAAGTTAGCATTGCTTGAAAAAAATTCACATCAAGAGGTGCTCATATTATATGATATAATTATTTATTTATTAATGCTCTGCTTGCCTGGAGCAATTTTGTTATTTTTGTAGAAATAAATTTAAAGCTTCAACTGAAAATACTTGATTTTTGTTTAAATTACTTTTAATGCTTAATAATCACATATATCCTCAGTACATCCTTAGTTAAATCTCCATTAGGAATGAGAATATTAAACCTCGGAAAATAACTTTGTTGACCTAGTCTTAAACTTTTGTAAACTAAAATTACAATTTCTTGGGAATGAAGAAAGATCGACCTTTGCAACTATAGAGTTTAAAAGGAGAATTCCATAGCCATTTTTAAGTAATCACCAAAAGTGTTGACATATTAATTGTAGTCTCAAACTTTTTGTGGATGGTGTTTGGCATACAGTGGTTGGTGTCTGTTACAAATGGCAGGTGGTAACATTTTGCATTATGCCTTGCAAATTGCAATAGTTGTACATAATTCCCCCAAAAAACTTCAGATTCGACATTTCAGAGTTTATTAACTCTGCTGCTAGAATGCTCTAGACTAAAATAGAATATAAAATGCAACATAAATGTTTCTATATTCTAGTACATTCATATATTTATTCATATACAGTAGTTATCATTTATTTATATATAGTAGTAATCTTTTTATTTATTTTTTAAATATATTATACATAAATATATCAATATACATTTACACAACAAGGACGGAAGAAATATATAAATATAATACATCTTTAAATACTTCTAAAATGTAAATTGTAGATTCATCTACATAACCCTTTTGTAATACAAATGTAGTAAATGTATACTAAATAATACAAATGCTTGAAATGTGTCCAATTTGGTAGCTCATAAATTCCTGGGTTCTTTTAATATAGTCTTGATTTTATTTCAAATTACGTCTGGCTTTGTTTTAAAACCAATGTTCACTAAAAAATGTAATTGGCAATCTTTTCTCTAATTGTTGACTGATTTCTAACTCCATGCAAAGCATTGATAGTCTTTGAATTTTCAATTGGTTACAGCAAATCCATAGCTACTTTAATGCCATAGAGAGCACTGCAAGATCTATAAGTGATTAGTAAAATTTGAACATCATTCACATATGTATTTCTTTGATCTTAGTGCTCTCTATGGGATTGAAGCAGCTATGTATTTGCTGTAACCAATTAAAAACTTAAAGACCACCAATGATTTGCACGGAGTTAGAAATCAGTCAATCCTTAGCGAGAAGGTTGTGCTTTATATTTGTTAGTTTGTGGCAAAAGTAGCACGAGTCAATTTTGTAGAAATATCACTTACATATTTTGTACATAAATATTAATATCATATATCATTTCTTGAGATACCATTACCATCAACGATTTAAATGACAGTGTGTACATTCATACAGCTATACATACAGCTACACTTAAAACCTATTACCAGTAATACCTACAAAGAGGTATTTGACAAACTCAATAACAATGTCCCAAAACCTTAATCCTTCATATATTTTATATTCTTTGCCTGGAAACTTTTGAATCATGATTGTTTAAAGAAAATAGCTTGAATACAGTAGGATTTGAAATGTATATCAAATTAAAGCTTGTTGAAAGTGAAAAAGGTGGAAAATAATTATCACTATTAATATAATAATATCCTTCCCTGTTATCCCTATACGCCATGGGCCATGCAAGATAAGTAGGGAAAATCAGGGGGCAATATAAATATCCTCCTTCGAGGTACTGTGTACATGTTGACTAAATAACAATAATAACAATGCATTTTGTGCATTACATTTTCTGGACGGCATGCAAAATAAACTCTCTTAATACTATGTACATTCTAAAATCATACATAAAATATGAAGATATAGAGAAAATTCCAATTGATGTATTCATGATTTCAGTTTTTTTAATTGTCATCTTTGGCCATATATCCCTTTCCCATATGAGCTTATTAAACAAAGATTGATGTTCCATGATTCTCATACAGTGATAAAACTTGAAAAAAACATTCATAGTATTAATGCTCATACAGAATACAATCATTATATACAAGTGTATTCCACAAAATCTGAAAAATTTATATTACACTAGCCTTGCCCAAGTCAGTATTTTTTTACTTATCCTGATCTTGAATTATTACCAATAGAAATCAAGATAAGTAAACAAGGCCGACTTGGGCAAGGCTAATATTACATTTACATGGTAATATATAATATACTTTTACTTTTGAGATTCAGCCCATTTTCTGTAATTATGGACTTGTTGGTCTGGTTGATCCAGCCCCAATGGGACTTAGATTCTTTGGTTCTCCAAGACTCCCAGGTCAGGTTAGGTAATGATAGTTCACTGCCCATACAGGGGTTCTAATCAGACCTCATGAGTTTGCTCCATATAGTTAAAGCACTGGGCTATATGTATTCCTGAACTAGGTGGTGTTATGTTCCACTCAGCACAAATCCTACAATGCTTATTGTATGTTGAGGTCTGGTCAGTACCCATACCCATAGGCCTCTACTTTCTCCAATAAATGAACCAGAACCCATTCAGCACTTGGGCCAGAGAAATCTGTTAAATGAGGTTGATCTGAGTATCAACCCCCAACCCACCACGCATTTTCAGTTCAGATTTTATGACCCTCCCTTCAAGTTAACAAGCTAACTCAAGTTTCCTGTTGTCTGCCTAGGGACAAGTGTACTTGTCCAAAACATGTTTTATTGAAAAATACCTGACCACAGGTTCAAATTCAGTGAAAAAATCCAAACTGCTAAGAGTCCAACAGAGGTTATAATGTTCTAAATAATCATTTCATTTAACAAATCATAACGCAATATGACTCTAGCAATGGGTCACAATAAAAATACATTCTCTATTGGATTCATTTATCATTTAAGAAACCTTTTTTATTATGCACGATTCAAGGGTAATGGAACACCTAACGAGCATCTTTCTAAAAGAATATGACCTTGATATCCACCCCATCAAAAATTACCACAACCTGTACTTTTGCCAAAAATAATCATTCAAAAATTTATTACATTTTTGCAATGATTATTAATTTGTTTTTGATTCATAATTAGTTCCCCTTTTTCTAATATGGATCCCCCATCACAAATTACCATGACAGCCTGTACTTTTGCCAAAAATAATCATTAATCAAAAATTTATTACATTTTTGCAATGATTATTAATTTGTTTTTGATTCATAATTAGTTCCCCTTTTTCTAATATGGATCCCCAACCAAATATACAACAGAATATTTCTTCATTCTGTTTCATTTTCAGCTTCCTGTCTTAGCTCTTCAAGAGCAGCAATGAAAAATCGTATTACACCAGGGATCATACCTTCCCTCATTTCCACATCATTTGCAGTTCTACGTATCGTCTGTTTTGTAGAATCAAATGAAAACTCATGCTCCCGGAGCATATTTTGATGAGTCAATGTTGAGATCATTCGGAATAATATGTGATGTTCGAGGTCATCGTCGATAGGTTGGAGACGTGCAATTAACTTCAAAAGATAACTGGTAGTAGTTTTACTCCCCTGGAAGAAAGTCACAAAAGAATTGTTATTTTTTATTGAAATAAATTGCCATGATTAATAAAATAAAAGACAAAGAGCAGAGTTATGATTGAATGGAAAATAAAATGCAGTATGAAGTTAGGATTAGCCGCTTAATCTGTTTTAAATATATAAAATCTGAGAAAGTTCTGTGGAGTGTTTACATTACTAAATACATTGCCATAATCATATTCAACTTTTGTGAGTACATATCGTTCACTGTGTTATATGTCTACCTTTTCTAGTCTTCTGAGTCCTTTCATTGGTTCCTCCATGTGGTTTAATAATATGTTCAAGTCCTGGATTCGCAAGACAGGCTCCTGAATAAACATAATCATAAATCATTTTGTGATTGGTCAAAAGCAGGTCACATGACTTGAAAGACCAGTTGGTATATCATTTGAAAGCTGCCCAAAAAATAATTGAATATTTGCTTAGGCAAGACGACTTTAATTGTTGCATTTATAGATTATGGCCATTTATCTGACCAGATGACAACTTATACAAAAAAAAGTGTTTATAATGTCTACGTATATTAGTGCACAAAAACAAGAAACACAGTGCTTCTTGGATGGTGTGTTAGGTCTACCTTCCAGTGATATTCCAGTGATATTACTGTATGCAGGCCCGTCAGATGGGGGGGTGCGATGGGTGCGACCGCACCCCCCTTTGACACCCCCAAAAAATTTTTAAAAATATTTTTTGAATTTTTATTTTTTTTGTAATTTTTTTTTCATCATCTCATACACTTTTAAAGTGCCCAGAAAGCATCAAATAGCATCTTAAAATTGTAAAATTTTCTAGAGGGAGTGGGCCTCCCCTCACACCCCCCTCAATACAATGGAAAAGTTCTGAATTTATTTTATGTATTGTCTCAGACACTTTTAAAGTGCCCAAATGTCCAGACATCATCACATAGCTTCTTCATATAGTCAATGTTTCTGGGGGACTAACACTTGCTCCCCTTCGGGATCCCTACCCCACCCCACCTCCCCCTCTGGCACCCTCGCCCCCCTGGACACTCCTCCATAAAAATTGAGAGCACAGAGCAGAGAGTACTAAATAGTGTTTTAAAATTGTAAAATTTTCTAGGGGGAGTGGGCCACCCCTCACACCCAAAACAAAACAATTGAAAAGTTCTGAATTTATTTTATGTATCATCTCAGACACATGTAAAGTGCCCAGACATCATCAAATAGCTCCTTGATATAGTCAATGATTCTGGGAGACTAACACTTACTCGTCCTCTTGCATTACCACCCCACCTCCCCCTCTGGCACCCTCTCCCCCTTTGACATCCCCCAAAATATTGTTTGATTTTTTCAAATTTTTTATTGAGTCATACACTTCGAAAGTGCCCAGAAAGCACCAAATAGCATCTTAAAATTGAAAAATTTCCAGGGAAGTAGGCCACCCTTCACATCCCCCACAAAACAATTGACATAAATTCTGAATTTATTTCATGCATTGTCTCAGACACTTTTAAAGTGCCCAGATTTCATCAAATAGCACCTTGATATGGTCAATGTTTCTGGGGGCAGATATGGGGGAAAAACACTTGCTCCCCCTCTGGCACCCTATTCCCACCTCCCCCTCTGGCATCCCCCTTTGACACCCCCAATAATTGAAAAAATGTAATAGTTTTTCAATTTTTTTTCGATTGACTCATACACTTTAAAAGTGCCCAGAAGCTCCAAATATCATCTTAAAATTGTAAAATTTTCTAGAAGAGTTGGCCACCCCTCATATCCCCCACGAAACAATTGAGAAAATTTTGGATTTCATGTATTGTCTCAGACATTTTTAAAGTGCCCAGACATCATCAAATGGCACCTTGATATGGTATTGTTTCTTGGGGACAAACCTTTGCTCCCCCTCTGGCACTCCATCCCACTTCACCCTCTCATTCACATTTTTTTATTGACTCATTCACTTTAAAAGTGCCCAGAAAGCACCAAATGGCATCTCAAAAGTGTAAAATTTTCTAGGGGGAGTGGGCCACTCCTCACAAGTTTGGAAGTTGCATTTGTTAATTTTAAACACTTTAAAAGTGCCTAGATGAAATCATAAAAACATAAAACTTTCTGGCAGCCCACCCCAAAAACTAAAGCATTCATTTACTCAAACACATTAAAAGTGCTCAGAATTAACCAGACAGCATCTTGAATTAGTAAAATTTTCCTTGGTACCCCTCTAAGAAGAAAGTAATTGAAAAAATCTGAATTTCTTATAAATAGATTCTATTTCTTCAATTAAAACACCTTGAAAGGGTCCAGAAATCACTGAATGTGATCTTGAACTGTTAAAAGTTCTCGGGCATTTATGCCCTTCTAGTACACCCTCTCCCTATTCCAGTGTTTCTCCAAATTGCTTGTGACAATATATAGTCTAAAAACAATACGAAAACAATAAAATACTACAAAATATAGGAAGTAACCGACCCCCCCCCCCCCCTTTGACTTACGCAATTTGATATACGCGGCAAAAAATTGACAATTTTATTTTCTCTTTAGTTAAAACCGCACCCCCCTTGGAGAAAAGTGTCTTACGGGCCTGGTATGTAATGTAACTATCTACTTTCAAGTGATATTCCAGTGATATTACTATATTGTATAACACACAAAAATACTATATGTAAAACCTGTAAAACAGAAGAGATTCTATACCTTGAGATGGTCCAGCCAGTCCCACATGAGGCAGCACAGAACACTTGGATTCTTCTCAAGCTGCAATTCTTTATATGTTCGTGTGACACAATTCAATTTTTCCTGAAATTACAAATAACTTTAATCAGAACAATACATAAACAAGGTCGGGACAATACTGTATCTAAAAATCAAAAATGGCCCCATTGAAATTTGAATATGAAACATGCTCAAAAACTTATCAATTCTTCATTTTCATGCCGATCTCTCTTAAATATTTCAAATTAATCCATTTAGCAGATTGGAGCTGCGCAGATAAGAAACAGCCACCTACCTGCCAATTTGACGACAATACATGTATCATACCTTTTTAAGGTATAATGAAAATATAAATCATGAAATGTTTTAAGCTCACCTTATACAATTTTACTTTCTCTAGGACCTCTGGAGTGTATTCGGTTTCTCCTAGAGCTGCAGCCACTGAAGCTACAGAGGCATCTCCACCAGGGAGCAGCACTGTCTGTGACCTTGACTTATGCAATGGAGGTCCTGATATCCCACTAACGATACTTGCATTGTCCAAATCATCAATATTTGAGTTCATTTTTAATTGGTCGCCATTTTCTAAGTCCTCGTAACTTTTATTTTTTCGTTCAGATTGCACATGCGTAAAATCACCCCCTGACTTGGACGGACGGGGTAACAGGCATGTCTTGGCAGGAGTCGCATTGAGAAATGCCCCTGGGGCTGATTCTTTGATAATGTCGAAGTTGTCTTGACTAGGTATACTCGCAATATGTCCTTTATGTGCTAATTCTAATAAACCCTCACACAGGAAGTAAATGATCTGAAAATAATAATTAAGAATATAAGATTTTTAAATGTATTACTTTTGTGCATACAGTATATCAACACTATTCTGCCAGAGTCTAACAATCAAATTGACATATAAATAAACAGTTTATTTCAAAGTTCAGCTCTACAATAATTTAATGAATTTTAGTATGTCACACTATACGAGGTGATCAGAGAAAGACCATGTAGATATGGTAACGGACAAGAAAAGGTGACAAAAGGCAAAAGGTGACCCCCTCCCTTCATGTAGGGTGTATGTTAAAATATGTGAGTTTGGAAAATTTCTACTGTCATAGTACCATAGTCCCTATGTTCCAAAATATGCATAATAAGTTCAGCACCACTGTACATGTACATGTATGTGCATGTTACCTTTGGTAAGTGTTTCAATCTCCTGGCTTCAAAGCCATGCAGCATGTGTCTTTGTCTCACTAGAAACTGGGAGAGCGAGAATTCATAGGTCTGAGGGACACTGGAAAAGAAGGGCAATAGGTTGGTATGTGATCAACATCACTGAGGCATTCATTTGTGTTTATATAACTACATGTACTTAAATGATATGATGATATTAAAGTTGTTTTAACTTGGTATAATTAAATATATTCTTTTAGTATTAAAATATGGAAAATGTTTATATAGATTCTACTAATTTAATAGCCACATTTTGAAGAAATGAGAAAAGCACATCAACAGCATTCAACAAAAGATGATAATACTATTCCCTAGCCTTACTACATAATTTTAATGAAAGTCTAGTTATAATAGTAAAACCTGTATCATCAGGATCGGCCAAAAGTTTTTGGTTAATGGCAGATTCATTCATATTTCAAGGAAGTGTATGCCAGATTAAAAAAAATAAAACCAAAAAAGCATTAATAGCCTATTGATAAATGTTCAGATTAGAGAGGTGTTTTGATATGCAGGTTTTACCATAGAGAACTTAGTGTATACAACAATTATAATTAATCAAGTGCAACAAAACAGGATAGACTTCATATAGATAGACGATAAACTATAAAAGAGCAAACTAAAATTGAAAATTAAGACAAGCCTGGGTGAAGCTTTATGGGTGACACCCCGACTGAAGCTGTTAGTGCAGTGTCACATGGTTTCCTATAACACCTTCTCTATATAAGAAATATTTTAAAATACAGTACATACAAAATTAGAAAATCATCTAAATGTATATTACACAAAAATACAGGCATTATAACATAGCAGTGGTCCTTTGACAAAACCATTTGATTCCAATTTGGTTAATTAGGAGGTACTAAAAGTGCAATCATAAACAGGATTTCTTTTAATAGCAGGCAATTCTCTTCAGCTGTTTTTACCAAAAGCTCTGCTTTTTGGAATTGATGTACTTTTCCAATAATTTTGTATCTTGTTTTCATTCTTTTCCTGTTGTCAGAAATCTGATTGAAATCCCTAATAAAGTACCATCTTGTTAATTCTGGGCTCAATCTACTCCTTGGAATCAAATGTGTGAACCCCTAAGATGAGAAGATATTAGAGGCACACAGACTGTATCACTCTCACTAAAGGAGGCCATAAGCTACCACATGTAACCATAAACATATAGTGAATCTTTCCAATCACCATTCGCTACAATGTTGTAAAGGGTACATGGGTAGAAACATCCTTCACATCAAGGGTCAATTACCCAGAATCCTCTTCCATGTTTATCACCTCCCCCCTCTCATCTTCTGTAATACCACCACATGTTTTGACAAACACTAGAAACCCTTGAGCGGATTCTTTGTCTGTCGCCTGCTTCTGGCGATACACTCCTATGTGACGGGTTGACCTGGATAAGTTGAAGTTATAGTCTTATTGCAATACTGCAAATGCCATATTTTCTCTGACGAAATGTAAAGTATTTACCACTGGGTAATTTGAGAAGGGTATAAGTTCAAAATCTGAACAGCATTTTGAGGTGAAATGTCCAAATATTAACAGTTCAGAAAAAACAGGTATAGCATTTGGGGTATCTGGTAACTGGTTAGTGACTGTTTTGAAAAATGCTGATTTTCTACACTCAGGTAGCTTGTGTACTTCTAATTTTGAACAGATAAATGATCATATTCATGGGGAGGGGATAGGACCAAAACAATATAAATAAAACAAATCCTTGGATGACAACTGTTAACATTGGACACAAACCCTTAAACGGCAAATATTTGGTCCGCGAGAACTTGGACATTTATGGTGCAAGGTTAGCAGCGCTGGATCAGATTGGTGCATTCTTTAATTAACCTACCCAAAGTAGGACAATTGACATACTAAACCCTAAAAACTACAGGGTGTCCATAAAGTCTCTACACTTTACATAGACTTTGTATTATAATTGTAAAGAGACTTTATGGATACCCTGTACTATTTTGAATCATTTTTGGAATAATGTTATGAATTTATCAATTTGCTTTAATAGTGCTCTTTCATTCCTTATTCAGTTTATGATGTGTACTTGCTCGTATTATCAGTGATTGATTTTAGAATAATACATTCTATTTATTTTTTGATGTCTTAGCATTGTCTTTAAGATTAATTCCTCCACCTACAAGGTGTGCCAGAAGTACTGAAATCTAACTTCTAAAACACCTTATATTTCTACCCAACACAAAACTATAACTAAGATTTAAGAAAGGAGCACGTAGGTTATCACAAAACAATTTCAGAAGGTTACATCTTGAATTATGACTATTTTCTGACAATGAAAATATGTTTATCTTTTAGATCAATTCATTATCTCGAAGAAAGTTATATACAGTAATAATAAAGTCAAACAAACTCAGAGATATTTAACTAGCAATCAACCCATCAACCTACTTTTTCAAAGATGTTGACCCCATTTTCACCAAAAATGCAATCATTTTTTACAATGTTTAATGCATTACCTTTCTTTATTTTGACGTATCAAATAGTTCTTGAAAGAAAAACTTAATTGCTTTAAGATAAGTGTTCCCCATTTTATTTCTCCATTGGAAAATCTCATGCTATCAATTGGTTTCAGTTCGTTTTGGTCATCCAAATTGAATTTCTTTAAAGTCCCTGGAGCAATCAACTTTTCCTTTAGGAAATCGAACATGTCTCAAAGCACATTCTAATTATGCATTCAACAATAAAATTATAAAAGGTTGCATTTTTGGTGAAAATTAGCTCAATATTTTTGAAAAAGTATGTTGATTGGTCCATTGCCCCTTTAATATCACTTAGGTCTGATAAACTAAACTAGAAAAACAGCAACTCCACGGAGTAGCAAATCCCACCGAACAAAACATATTATGCTTATTATAGCTAGTGTAAATGTTAAAATGTTTGTGCACTTTGTGATAGAAGCATGAAATTTGGCACAAAGTTAGTTTATACTATTGTGAACTAGGCATCATCATATAAAATTTGAACCAAATCTGTTCACTGGTATATGAGTTATCAAAGATTACGTTTTTTACGAAAATTGGCCGCCATCTTGAAAATTATTTCTTGAACAGAGCTACTGTGTCCCTAGGCATAATCATATAAAATTTGAACCAAATCTGTTCACTGGTATTTGAGTTATCAAAGATTACATTTTTACGAAAAATTGCCGCCATTTTGAAATTAAGCGGCCATCTTGAAATATTTTTGTCGAACATAGCTACTGTGTCCCTAAGCATCATCATATAAAATTTGAACCAAATCCGTTCACTGGTATTTGAGTTATCAAAGATTACATATTTTTACGAAAAATGGCCGCCATTTTGAAATTAAGTGGCCATCTTGAAAATCTCATTTTGTGCGAAACTCCTTTGTCCCTAGGCATCAGCATATAAAATTTGAACTAAATCCGTTCACTGGTATATGAGTTATCAAAGATTACGTTTTTACGAAAATTGGCAGCCATCTTGAAATTCAGCAGCCATCTTGAAAATCATTTGTTGAACAGAGCTACTGTGTCCCTAGGCATAATCATATAAAATTTCAACCAAATCTGTTCACTAGTATTTGAGTTATCAAAGATTACGTTTTTTACGAAAAATTGCCGCCATTTTGAAATTAAGCGGCCATCTTGAAAATTTGTTGTCGAACATAGCAACTGTGTCCCTAAGCATCATCATATGAAATTTGAACCAAATCCGTTCACTGGTATTTGAGTTATCAAAGATTACATATTTTTACGAAAATTGGCCGCCATTTTGAAATTAAGCGGCCATCTTGAAAATCTCTTTTTGTGCGAAACTCCTTTGTCCTTAGGCATCAGCATATAAAATTTGAACCAAATCCGTCAACTTGTATTTGAGTTATTAAAGATTACATTTTTTACGAAAAATGGCGGCCATTTTTAATTCAGTGGCCATATTGAAAATTCCTTCTCGAGCAGAGGTCCTACACCCATAAGGCATAAGCCTATTAAATTTGAGTCAAATCCGTGAAACGGTATTTGAGTTATCGCCTGGACAAACAGACGGACGGACGGACGGACAGCAGACGAACGGACGGACGGACGGCTTTCCTATATCCCCCTCGAACTTCGTTCGGTGGGATAATTATCACTATATATACTTTTCTTGAAGATATAGAATGGATCTAAAAGATACACCCATGTTCATGATCAGAAAATATTCATAATTCAAGTTAGAATCGTTTGCGATAACCTACATGCTCCTTTTGTGAAAAAAAATTGTGTAGGGTACTAGATTTTCTAGGAATATTATCTTAGATTAGCTTAATTTATCTTGTGATATGCGCATTATATTAACCACCTAAGCTATGGAAACTGAATATGACATGCAACTTACTTAGGCCTGCACAAATGGAGGGTACAAAAACAATTTGATTTTACAATAGCATCGAATATTACACTATACAAGGTACAATTTACAACATATAAAGTTTGTATAGTCAGTATGTCATAAGATGAAAATAATAAAAGTATTTTTTATTTTCAGATAAAAATAAATTCTGGTAGGGTACATATCAGAAGATTTTTTTGATCGCATGTACATATTGTAACTGATAAATTAACAATAAATTAGTATATCCTTTGAGGAATATGCAAATACATGGTGTCAATCTGGTGCCTTTGTAAAATTAAGAGGGTGGGCAATATTTTTTTAACACCCTGTAATTTACATATTTCTCAAAGGATTTACTTTCAATGGTTTTAAATAACACAATATTTCAAAATGAAGATTTAGAACAAAATGACTGATGAAAACTTACATGTTAGAGTAGACTATTCTGAGGGGTTTAAGGTAGAGGGCAAATTCTTCAATGCAAGTGATCTGACCACTAGTTTGGATGGCACCAGGTCTGAAATAGATATCAAAAAATAAATATAACTTCACATAGACTGGTTATTGCAAGCTTCAAACAGAACATAATCTACATGTATACATGTGTATAAAATTCATATTTATTCATAAATTGTAGCTTTCTAAATTCATAAAGGATATCAATTACATGAGTTATTTTGGATTTTTTTCATATGATTTTGTGGATTAATGCTGTTGGTGTGTCTATTGTTTGTTGGAGTTGTTTTTGTTTTTAAAATTGTTTTTTGTTGACTTTTCTGGCTTTTACCACTTTTCCACTAAATAAATACTTGTTCCACATCATCGGGTAATTAAAAATTGTAATTTCATACCGTTTTGAGCGAATGTAATGAACAGCCTCCCCTGGGTCCATTCTATTGGCAAATACCAAGTAACATCCAATCAACACACCTGTTCGGCCTAAAATCACAGAAACAAAAATAGTAACATCCAATCAACACCACACCTATAAATGAAATCAAACAATTCAATCAACATATGTACATATTACTTGGAATGATAGAATTGCTGGAGTGTTGGACCTGCATTTGATAAGGATGATAGCTTTCTCTATGGAAACATAGGATTTACCAGATAAGCATAACACATACATGTAGGCTATGTATGAATAAAATACAAATCCACGTGTCTCATGTTTAAAAAATTCTGATGAAATGGATAAATAAAGAATGGAGGTGGTGTGTGTTGAAATAATGTCTATGTCACTTGTATTAGGCCTGAGATGTTAAACAAGTCTGCAGTCCCTCTGTAGGATTCATACCCATCTATATGTACTTTTTCTACTCACCTAGGCCTGCATGGCAATGTATTGCCACCTTTCCTTCAGAAAGAGCAAACTGCATAACTTTAACCATGTCCAGTATGTTGGATATAGATCCTACACCATAGTCCTGCCTGGAATACAAGTATATGCCATGGGAAATAGAGTTAATCAATGTGCTGGAGAATTGCAGTATTCAACTCATGGTTATTCAACATGCTCGTGAAGCAATAGGGTAAGCATACCCCAGGAACATGTCAGAATAATCACAATTTGACAGTCAATACTATTACCGCCATTGGACAGTTAACATAGATACAAAGCAATAGGGTAAATTGGGTTTGGGAGTACCATCATTTTAGTATTACTGCCCTTGGTTGGTCAATGTCATATAATTCATTCAATGAAATTAGTTATCTGTTGAGGTATGACCATCATAACTTCCCATTGTTAATTAGGACACATCTTAATATTTAGAATATGTTTAGTAATAACAAGTGTATATTAAGTTAGTAGAAAATGTAAAACTTACCAACCAAAATTGTAAAAGAAAACTGAAATGCAAAAATGAACAATAAATTATAAACAACCTTATTCAATAAGCATAAATAAAACAATTATCTAAACAATAGAGGAACTCCAGTTCATATTTTGCTTCTTAATTAGACAAAAAAGGAATTATTAAGCACAAGGAGGATTGGCTCCCAGTATTTTTGTGATCTCCAGAACAAACATTTACTCGGGGGATAAACATTATAGTAATATTATTACCAAATTGGTCTATGCCAGTCAAAAGGAGATTGCAAAAGCATGATGGGGGTCAATTCTTGTATTATAATCAAAAATTCAAGTCAGAAAGAATTTATATTTTATATCAATTTATAACCTATCTAACTTGATTTCCTTACATAATAATTAGCTATAAATGCAACTTGTAACGCAGACTTGCAATACGCTCAAATTCATTAAACAAACAACATTTTAATACAGTAAAACCTGTATATCTTAACACCTCTCCAATTCGAACTGCCTGAATGTGAATTGGTCTTCTTGGTCCCATTTTTTGAATACGTCACAGACTTCAATGTTAAAAAGCGCCTGCTGATCCAAACATGTGATTGGTCCTAGAGATGTTCAGATTAGATAGGTTTTACTGTAACTGTCATGCTAAACGTATCATTACCATCTTTATCCATGAATTGCTGTGGTCTATACGAGAAACCTAGCTCTTCAAGGGGATTCCCGCAACTTGAATGTTCCCCTGGTCTCTGAACGTTGATTATTGACTTTATTCCTTTTCTACAATATCAACAAGCATAGAATTGAAATACAGTATATGAAAAAGAGAAACAGTTAAAATAACCATTTCAACAACAGCTTGCTTTATGAAAAGTGCTACATAATTTGAATTGAAAACAACAAATCGCTACGATAAAAATTAATTGAATGGTGCTAGTGTTATTTTACAGTAAATCCTGAGTGAGAAGCACTTTACATGGACATTATCAAAATAACATCAAATTCCTGCTATTTGAAAAAATTTTACAGCCATCAAAATAAAAGGTTGCATATAATACATGTATGTATCAAAATGCTGAAAATGACATAATTTTACCTTAAAGGAAATTTGACATCATTCTATTGATTAGTGTTTATTTAGTGAAATTAACATGTTGGAAGAACATGTAGCATAAAACAAAATAAGAAATCTATAACTGTTAACTTACTCGTGGAACTGTTCAATAATGTTGTATTTCTCAATGAGCTCAGTGTTTGGTCGAGACATCGCTAGAATGTTGTCAGTAACCCTGAAAATATATGAAGCATATTATATGAAGGTCAATTGTTCAGTGGTTCGAAAGCAAATCTATAGTACTCGTTTCCGAATTTTATTGATTAAAATCGGTATACGGACTATTAAAGCAATGACAAAGAAGAATACTTTCGATGGTGTCATTGTTTTATTTAGCGTGCGGTATAAAAACAAATTTTCAGTCAAGCAAATAGCTACACAAAATGCATTATGGGAAAATACTGACCAATCAAATTTAGTCCTTTTTGAGTACATATTTGCTCCATATTTGCGAATGTTCCGATTCAAAGAGCGAAAGATGACATAAAAACCAGTGGGTTATTTTGTATACATTTTGTATGCTATATTGAAAATACCAAAACACCTGACATTGAATGCTGTAACATGGAAAAACAGAATTATGAAAAAATAGTTACTTTGATGACTCACCAGTTAGAATATAGTCCCTTTATGTCCATTTGTTCATCTGGCCACTTCCCATTTGGCTGGCAGTATTTACACTTCTTGCCCCCACAGAACATCGCACATGTCCTTTCTTCGGGAATAGTGTGACGAAGACGTTCAGAAACAGGACCATATTTGGCACCAGGCTTTTTACCTGATTAAAAATAAATCATTCAGAATACTATTTGATCTGATGCAATTTAGCACCGACTCAAGAAAGAAAATTAGTTGAAGAAGTAATATTATATGCAATTCCATGTGTGCAAGCCCGTAGCCAGGGGGGTCGGGGGTTCAAGCGAACACCCACCCCCCTTGGACAAAAACTCTTTCAAAATAATGCAGTTTTTGACCATTCTGAGCACTATTCAAGTGATTTATGCCAAAATTGTCAAATGTGAACCCCCCAGGAATTTTTTCAACAGTGACCCCCTCATTGACAAAAGCTGACTACGGGCCTGGTGTATCAGACTACATTTTGGATATCAGAGATGTGATAAAAACTACACAATATATCTTATATATCTTTAGTTTAGTTGTTTAGACTAAACTACTGTACCTTGTATGGACTTCTCAAGTTCCGTATCCCAAAGAATTGTCTCCTGGGATCTGTCCTCATCCATCTTCTTCACGCAAATATCACTGCCTAGAAAGAATCAATTGAAGACATTTGAATCAAAGGGCAAGCAGAGAGAACACAAATACATGTGTCAACTTTTGAGTTTCAGTTTCAAGCCCTCGTGACTCCCCCCCCCCATGCATATCTCTCCTCTACAAGGTCTTTAGAGGTGAAGTAGTTACATGAGAGGATCGTTTATTTCAGCCTGAAATGAAATTCAGGTCCATCGGATACGGGTCTATGTAAATAATCTGCAGAAGGCTAATAAGCCCATATAAAGCAGATATATAATTTAACAGGGGTGTCTTTTTTAGGGTAGTGTTCAGTGATCTTCTTTCAATAACATTGTACTCATACATTTCCAGAAATGGAAATTGCTGTTTATCCTGCAGTGATTGTTCGGTTATTTTTAAGGCACTTCAAAAACAAAATCTTTCAACTCTTCATCTGCCATATTGGTTTCATGAAAACAGTGTGCATGTTTCAACTCGCTCTCTTCACGGATGGGTGTTTTTATCCTAATTGCCATGATCACAGCATCATTTCGTGATATTTAAATCAGTTATTCATAGCCTGATTTATAGGAAACTCTAAAGATGAGCATGCGTCTGTGTAATCTTATCACAATTGATTTTTTCAGTATCAGTCATATCCTGGATTGAGATCTGCCAGGCAGTGGGATACTGAACCATATCCCAACGGTGATGTCATTTCCACTCTGTATCCCACGCTAAGTTGGGTTTATGTAAAAAACCGGGTGACCAGATAACCGGGTGACCGGGTACCTAACGTTCCTAGCAGGGTTACCAACTTACATAACTTACAGTATTGGTCAAATAACGTCCATATTTCGATATAACCTATTATCGTGGCCGTAAATCGAACAAAATAAGAGGAGGAGATTTCTACTAGAAAGGATTGGTATCGATATGGAGAACTGAATTCAACAATGTTTTTCTCTTAAACCAATTATTGAAAACATTCTGTAAAAAAACAGGGTCTTTTATGTAATGTTGACTGATTGACAACAATTTAATGCGAAAATAATTAATAGATATTTTATATAACTGTTTTTGTTAACATTTTTTGTTTTTTAGTGCAATTGTTTTTTGTTCCTTTTTACCATTTCTTGAGAATGAAATAAAATATCTTTCAGCCTACAACATTTTCTTAGACTTCCCAATATTATAGTTGTACAAAGGAAATTTTGGTTGATTTAACAAAAAGTATTCAAAAAATTAAAACAAAAACCCCCGAAATAGATAAAAACTAAGATAAACCTTTAATATCATTAACAAGATATTTTTTTAAATCAACCAAACTTTCCTTTGTGTAATTACAATATTGAGAGACATAAATTTTGTTCCAATGAGGTTCGGATAGATGTTTCATTTCATTCCGAACATATGGTACCAAGAACAAAAGAAGTGTCCAATGTGTTTTCTAAAACAAAATAGAGAAAAGTATATAATATCTATTTAAAATGATATTGTTACCATTCAAAAGATAACCATTAATTGACAATGACATGTGTAAAATTTTAAGAATGTTTTGATGGCTGGTTTAAGAGAAACGTGTGTTCAAAAAGTTCGCCATATCGATAACCATCCTAAACAAATGTGAGAGTATGCATACGCGTATATTGAAACATTAATTGCCGTTTATCTGTCATTTAACGTAAGATGACGTTAGTTGCTATGCTTTATTGCCTTTGAGTGAGTGATTGACAGGATGTTGATGACAGTTTCCTATGATGGCGATTTCTACTAGATATTAAACAAATCTGGAAGATATATGCACGTATCTTGGAATGTTAAATAGTTGAATGTTTTTTATCTGTCAATTAACGTACGATGTACGACGTTGGTTACTTGTTTTATTGTCTAAGTGATTGACAGGGTGATGATTATTTGTTTTGCTGGTTGGTTCATGGTTTATTGGTAGATTAGTTTGTTGCTTGGTTATTTGTTTTTTTTGCTTGATTGCTTGGATGGCTTGTCCGTTGAGTTGGAGGCTAGCTAAGTGGTTAGTTGCTTGGAATTTTCAGTGGCATGTTTTAGGCCATTCAATGAAAAAAATCAAATTCCCAACCCTGCTAGGATTGTTAGGTACCCGGTAGTGTTGTCGCGATTAATCGATACATCGCGATATACATCGCCAAAGCTGGTTCTGGCGATGCATCGATGTCTGAAACAAAACATCGATGTTTTTAAAAAATTTTAATTTGCTAAAAATCGCCCTTTCTTATCTCATTTTGACGCAAATTGCTTACCTTTTTTCATGTCTTATTTCATTTTCAAATGTTTTCTGATATTCTTTCGCTTTAAAACTGTTTTAGCTAGTCGAAATGAACCATGAATCTAAAATCTATGTTCCCGGATGTACCAGCGTTCTCTTATTAATTTGTTCTGTTCGATATTTTAGTGCATTAGCGTTCGGTATTTCAGTGCACTTTTCTCAAACTTTTTCTCGATGTACATCGCGATGTGCATCGATGTTTACTACTGAAAATTGCCGATGCATCGATGTACGATTATGGCACATCGCGACAACACTAGTACCCGGTCACCCGGCTACCCAGTTACCCAGTTTTTTACACAAACCCCGCTAAGTTGAGAGTGTGTGTAAATACAGAATATATATAAGTCACATGGACCAACCAGGTAGCAGGGAATTTCACCATCATCAAAGTCTAATCTTAATTTATTCTGCTTCAAATGAAATTCAAATTGAAGTTCAATTTTTTAGAAAATAATTTTTGAAAAATGAACTGATTCAATGATTGATTTTATTACCAAAATACAAAATTACCTTTAATATCTTACCTCATTTTAATTGATGAAATGTTTGGCTTCCCTTTATTGGTTACTATTCTGATATGAGACTTGCATAACAGGTAAATGTTCAATTTCGTCTCAACATTTCTTTCCAAACATTTTCATTTTGTTGCTAAGAGCTCTTCAATGAAGGAGATAAGAACATACCCATTACCCGGATGTGAAAATAAATCCCACCCCATTTCATGGATATGTACGTGTGTATTCAATCTTAGAAGTTATTGTTTGATGAATATAAAATACTTACACATTTTCATATACGATACAATGTTATTGATTTACAAAATGGTTTATTTCGTGGAAATCAAACTTACTTTCTTTCGCTATAGCTACTTCTGAATTATCAAGTGTTCTCGTGAAGAAACTTTTAGGAAGTCCGGTCAAAAGTTTAAAAGTTTTATATCTTTACCAATTTTCCCATAACTGCGCAAATTTAACGCAAATTCATACACAATGTCACATCTGAACACATGCATAAACAGTTTTGATCACAATGTAAGTGGATTTAATTGAATGGGTTGAAATATAAGCCAAGATTTCAGAAGTGTCGAACTGCAGAAAAGAAAATGAGTGGTTTTACTACTTTTTTCAAGGCCTGACTTCGTCGCTAACATGCTAAATATAAGAGTTAGCTGACGTTTGGGAGTCTGACTTACCTTCTAAAGGTTAGAACCCGAATCTTAATGAAACCATATCACCTTTGTTCCGTCAACCATGGAGCATTTGCCACAACATCCAAGAGGTAAATCATGGACCGAGAAAATGAATGATTTCCTTGTAAGTTCCGGAAGTTTCAATACGAAAAATTACCGAAAATATATGAAAACCGAATATTTGTTCGTTGTTCTCACGATTTACAGGTTTGTATGTTCTTCAATGTTTTGGTCTAAATTATAAAGCATCACCAACAGGTCTTACTCTATTAATCGACTAATACAGCAGACGGCTCATATTTCTACGTAGTATTTCGTTCAGACAAATAGTGGGACTGTAGATCACACAGTTTCGTTCGTTGCGTACTTCACTTGAAATTGGTAATTTTAAATATTGGCTACTTCACTTAGCTTGGCGGATGTAGAACATTGCTTAATATTCTTTTAATTTTCACACCAGACATGCTTGGTTGACACGTCAACAAAGTAAAGTTCAAGGGTCAATGCGTTATTTCGTGATAACTACAACGCCTTCCTGGAAGTCAACATTGATGAAAAATGAAAAAGTAGGAAAAGCATTTACACTAATTTCTATCAAATGCTATGTTTATGCATCATCATCGACGCAACAAAGGTGATATGGTTTCATTAAGATTCGGGTTCTTACCTTTAGAAGGTAAGTCAGACTCCCAAACGTCAGCTAACTCTTATATTTAGCATGTTAGCGACGAAGTCAGGCCTTGAAAAAAGTAGTAGTCACATGCTATCTGTTGCAAGACTTATGCCTGGCACAACCGTCACCATGTTATTAAGTGTTTTTATGTCACCACCAAAAGTGGTGACATATTGTTATGGTCTCCGTTTTTTTGCGACGGCGGTTGGTGGTTGGTGGTTGGAGGTTGGCGTCCGGCGTCCGGCGTCTGTAACAATTTCTTACAACTTCCTATAACTTAACAAATACTGTTTAGACTGACTTCAATTTTTTTCTAAATCATCTACATGTTCTCAGAAGTTCAAATCTGACTTTAGATTTGACATTTGACCTTCAATGACCTTCTCAAGGTCAAAAAGGTCTTTTTTCAACTTGCTTCACATTGACTAAATTTTTTTTCAAAATCATCTACATGTTCTCAGAAATTCAAATCTGACTTTAGATTTGACTTTAGATTTGACATTTGACCTTCAAATCTGACGTTAGATTTGACATTTGACCTTCAATGACCTTCTCAAGGTCAAAAAAGGTCAAAAAGGTCTGTTTTCAACTTGCTTCAAATTGACTAAATTTTTTTTCTTAAATCATCTACGTGTTCTCAGAAATTCAAATCTGACTTAAGATTTGACATTTGACCTTCAATGACCTTCTCAAGGTCAAAAAAGGTCAAAAAGGTCTGTTTTCAACTTGCTTCAAATTGACTAAAAAAAATTTTCAAAATCATCTACGTGTTCTCAGAAATTCAAATCTGACTTTAGATTTGACTTAAGATTTGACCTTCAATGACCTTCTCAAAGTCAAAAAAGGTCAAAAAGGTCTTTTTTCAACTTGCTTCAAATTGACTAAATTTTTTTTTCAAAATCATCTACATGTTCTCAGAAATTCAAATCTGACTTTAGATTTGACATTTGACTTTCAATGACCTTCTCAATGTCAAAAAAGGTCAAAAAGGTATTTTTTCATCTTGCTTCAAATTGACTAAATTTTTTTTCAAAATCTACATGTTCTCAGAAATTCAAATATGACTTTAGATTTGACTTTAGATTTGACATTTGACCTTCAATGACCTTCTCAAGGTCAAAAAAGGTCAAAAAGGTCTTTTTTCAACTTGCTTCAAATTGACTAATTTTTTTTTTCAAAATCATCTACATGTTCTCAGAAATTCAAATCTGACTTTAGATTTGACATTTGACCTTTGATGACCTTCTCAAGGTCAAAAAGGTCAAAAAGGTCTGTTTTCAACTTGCTTCAAATTGACCAAATTTTTTTTTCAAAATCATCTACATGTTCTCAGAATTTCAAATCTGACTTTACATTTGACATTTGACCTTCAATGACCTTCTCAATGTCAAAAAAAGTCAAAGAGGTATTTTTTCAACTTGCTGCAAATTGAAGAATTTTTTTTTCAAAATCATCTACATGTTCTAAGAAGTTCAAATTTGACTTTACAAGTTCTCAGAAGTTCAAATCTGACTTTAGATTTGACCTTTGACCTTCAATGACCTTCTCAAGGTCAAAAAGGTCTTTTTTAAACTTGCTTCAAATTGACTAATTTTTTTTTCAAAATCATCTACATGTTCTCAGAAGTTCAAATCTGACTTTAGATTTGACCTTTGACCTTCAATGACCTTCTCAAGGTCAAAAAGGTCTTTTTTCAACTTGCTTCAAATTGGCTAATTTTTTTTTCAAAATCATCTACATGTTCTCAGAAGTTCAAATCTGACTTTACATTTGACATTTGACCTTCAATGACCTTCTCAATGTCAAAAAAAGTCAAAGAGGTATTTTTTCAACTTGCTGCAAATTGAAGAATTTTTTTTCAAAATCATCTACATGTTCTAAGAAGTTCAAATCAAACCTTCTTAAGGTCAAAAGGTATTTTCCAACTTGCTTTAAATTGACCAAATTGTTTTAGGTGGTGACATTTTGTCATGATAATGCCTTGTAATCAATATTATTATGTCACCACCAAAAAGTGGTGACATATTGTTATGGTCTCCGTTTTTTTGCGACGGCGGTTGGTGGTTGGCGTCCGGCGTCTGGCGTCCGGCGTCTGGCGTCCGGCGTCCGGCGTCTGTAACAATTTCTTACAACTTCCTATAACTTAACAGATACTGTTTAGACTGACTTCAATTTTTTTCTAAATCATCTACATCTTCTCAGAAGTTCAAATCTGACTTTAGATTTGACATTTGACCTTCAATGACCTTCTCAAGGTCAAAAAGGTCTTTTTTCAACTTGCTTCACATTGACTAAATTTTTTTTCAAAAACATCTACATGTTCTCAGAAATTCAAATCTGACTTTAGATTTGACATTTGACCTTCAAATCTGACTTTAAATTTGACATGTGACCTTCAATGACCTTCTCAAGGTCAAAAAGGTCTTTTTTCAACTTGCTTCACATTGACTAAATTTTTTTTCAAAATCATCTACATGTTCTCAGAAATTCAAATCTGACTTTAGATTTGACATTTGACCTTCAAATCAGACTTTAGATTTGACATTTGACCTTCAATGACCTTCTCAAGGTCAAAAAAGGTCTGTTTTCAACTTGCTTCAAATTGACTAAATTTTTTTTTCAAAACCATGTACGTGTTCTCAGAAATTCAAATCTGACTTAAGATTTGACATTTGACCTTCAATGACCTTCTCAAGGTAAAAAAAGGTCAAAAAGGTCTGTTTTCAACTTGCTTCAAATTGACTAAAAAATTTTTTCAAAATCATCTACGTGTTCTCAGAAATTCAAATCTGACTTTAGATTTGACTAAAGATTTGACATTTGACCTTCAGTGACCTTCTCAAAGTCAAAAAAGGTCAAATAGGTCTTTTTTCAACTTGCTTCAAATTGACTATTTTTTTTTCAAAATCATCTACATGTTCTCAGAAATTCAAATCTGACTTTAGATTTAACATTTGACCTTCAATGACCTTCTCAATGTCAAAAAAGGTCAAAAAGGTCTTTTTTCATCTTGCTTCAAATTGACTAATTTTTTTTTTCAAAATCATCTACGTGTTCTCAGAAATTCAAATCTGACTTTAGATTTGACTAAAGATTTGACATTTGACCTTCAATGACCTTCTCAAAGTCAAAAAAGGTCAAAAAGGTCTTTTTTCAACTTGCTTCAAATTGACTAAATTTTTTTTTCAAAATCATCTACATGTTCTCAGAAATTCAAATCTGACTTTAGATTTGACATTTGACCTTCAATGACCTTCTCAATGTCAAAAAAGGTCAAAAGGTATTTTTTCATCTTGCTTCAAATTGACTAAATTTTTTTTTCAAAATCATCTACATGTTCTCAGAAATTTGAATATGTCTTTAGATTTGACATTTGACCTTCTCAAGGTCAAAAAAGGTCAAAAAGGTCTTTTTTCAACTTGCTTCAAATTGACTAATTTTTTTTTTCAAAATCATCTACATTTTCTCAGAAATTCAAATCTGACTTTAGATTTGACATTTGACCTTTAATGACCTTCTCAAGGTCAAAAAAGGTCAAAAAGGTCTGTTTTCAACTTGCTTCAAATTGACCAAATTTTTCAAAATCATCTACATCTTTTCAGAAGTTCAAATTTGACTTTACAAGTTCTCAGAAGTTCAAATCTGACTTTAGATTTGACCTTTGACCTTCAATGACCTTCTCAAGGTCAAAAAGGTCTTTTTTAAACTTGCTTCAAATTGACTAATTTTTTTTTCAAAATCATCTACATGTTCTCAGAAGTTCTTCTTAAGGTCAAAAGGTATTTTCCAACTTGCTTTAAATTGACCAAATTGTTTTAGGTGGTGACATTTTGTCATGTTAATGCCTTGTTTATGTTTTGCCAGGATCCTGCCATGACCGTGGTGGTAGTGTTTCGTGAAAGCCTGGTATAATCGTGACAATGCTATATTATATTGCAAGGCCTGTCATGAGCGTGGTAATCTTAAAGCCTGATATGACAGTGACAATGCTCTATTTTATATTGCAAGGCCAGTCATGTCATGACCATGGTTATGTTATTTAAAGCCTGATATGACCGTGGCAGTCATCATTGCAAGGCCTGTCATGACCATGGTAATGTTAAAGCCTGATATGACCGTGACAATGCTATATAATATTGCAAGGGCTGTCATGACCATGGTAATGTTACAGCCTGACATGACCGTGACGATGCTGTATTATATTGCAAGGCCTGTCATGACCATGGTTATGTTAATTAAAGCCTGATATGACAGTGGCAGTCATTGCAAGGCCTGTCATGACCATGGTACATGTAATGTTAAAGCCTGATATGACCGTGACAATGCTATATTATATTGCAAGGGCTGTCATGACCGTGGTAATGTTAAGGTACAGCTGGAAAATAATATTTTGGTAAAAAATTGCTATTCCTGCACATGTTATTTTCTGGTACAAAATAAAGCAAGAAGGCATGTATCAATTTCCTTGTTTTTTTCAGGAAAGTATCATTACATTGTCTTCTTTTAGAATATCTGGTAGGCGTTCAATGGGAACTCCAGGAAATTCTGATATTTCACACTTTCTTTTTTTCCAAATTTTCTTTCAAAGTTTCCAGACTTTAATAATGGTAATGGTAATGTTAAACCCTGATATGACCATGACAATGGTTATATTAAAAGACATTTAGTAGAATAATGTAATAAAAAATTTCATAATTTGACCATCTTAGCTTATGTAAATCTAGACTACTATACATGTGCGTGGTACTCACATACTTTGATACATAAAATTATAGATTCATTTTTTACTCATAATTTATTTCACAAACTATAATTCTAATCTCATTCATGAACGTTCGATTCGATAACAAATACTTTCTTTGACGACCAATTACCAAGGTTTATCCATAAAAATATACTAATAATAGCAAGGGGCGAAAAATAAAGTAAGTCATAAATGTCATATAAAGGCTATAAAGGCCAGGCTTCACGATAACACTACCATGGTCAATGGCAGGATCCTTACGCAACTTAAAGACACTTAATAACATGGTGACGGTTGTGCCAGGCATAAGTCTTGCAACAGATAGGGTTTCGTTTTAGTTGAATAAAAAATTATATCAAGTGCTGAACTTTTTATCAACTCTTTAAATTTGGCTGAAAATCAAAGCTTCATTTTCATAGCAATACATGTTATTTTAGTTGGATTGTTTCAACCATGGGCCAAGGGAAAAGTAGTTTTACATGTATGTTTAGCTCAAGCTAGAAAGTCTTTCTAGATTAAGCTTAAATTACTACCTTTCCCTTTGCCTATGTGTACAAATGACTCAAACCAATCAGATACATGGATTTTGGATACCTGGTGAGAATGAGTGTTCAAAATTAATGGGTTTTGAAATTATGGATTGACCAACGATTCAATACAAACTTGGACCATACTGCCTAACAAGTTATATGTATCATTTTCTTCAGAGATGCACATGTAGAATATAGCTATGGATTCCAATATACATGTAGGCATAACAGCAGCTGTTGATGATGCTAAGACAGGCAGCATAGTTACTATGGTTACCGACAGTAATACTGGGACTAGCAATCCTGATACCATAGTTAATGGTCTAACTAGCACCATGAATGTTGGTACTAGTGCCATGGTCACTGATATTGAAACCATGGTAAATGACACTAGCACAATAACTACAACTGCTGGAACCTTTGATGATGCGTTAGCTACAAATACTCAAACCCTGGAAAAAAATGTAGGCACCATGGTAACACAAACTCCCATAGTGGACATAGATACTGGGAAAACAGAAGCTAATACTGACACCATAAACAAAGAAACTGGTACCTTGGAAATGCAACCTGCTACCATAGTAACAATAACAAATACCAATACAAAAGAAATCAAATCTGGGACCTTTGATAGTGCAGTTTCTGATACCATGGTAGCAAATACTAGCAACACAACAAGTGAGAGTGCTATAGTTCTCAACACTGAGACCAAAAGTACACCAAACAACTTTGAACAACCTTCGGAAGTTGCAATTGCTAGTAATGCAAATGGACCACATGACATGGTCACATCACAGCATAAGGAATATGAAATGAAATTCGAAAGATTAAAACAGTTATTAGCTGATTTGGAACTCGCATGTAAAGAAAAGGGTAAGAACGTTTTTTTCATATTTGGCTAACAACCTAAGAATCATGATTCCTTGTGTTTAAGCATGGTTTAAGTAAGAGAAAATATTATTATTTCAATCTTGCTTAGTCATTCCCTCTTTACAACAAACTTTGAAAAAGTTTGTGATTTCAAATATAATTTGCTATATGTTATAGATTAATTCTAAATTCCTGTATGCTCAACTTGAAATTTTTGCAGATGCAAAAGTAGGCTAACACCAAGATTTGATTGGGCATACTTGGTAAACTACTTGGTAGTGTTGTCGCAATTAATCGATACATCGCGATATACATCGCCAAAGCTGATTCTGGCCATGCATCGATGTCTGAAACAAAACATCGATGTTTTTAAAAAAAAGATTTGCTAAAAATCACCCTTTCTTATCTTATTTTGACGCAAATCGCTTACCTTTCTCATGTCTTATTTCATTTTCCAATGTTTTCTGATATTCTTTCGCTTTAAAACTGTTTTAGCTAGTCGAAATGAACCATTAATCTAAAAAAATTACTTTACTTTCATTTCACCGTTACTAGAAGTTCCCGGATGTACCGGATGTTCGGTATTTTAATGCATTAGCGTTCGGTATTTCAGTGCACTTTTCTCGGACTTTTTCTCGATGTACATCGCGATGTGCATCGATGTTTACTCCTGAAAATTGCCAATGCATTGATGTACGATTATGGCACATCGCGACAACACTACTACTTGGTGGCTCAGGATGCTTAACTTGCAGTCAAAACTTTAGCCAAAAAAGATATCATACTACTATGTGTCATAATCTTCTGTCTAATAAAGTATAGCAAAGGGATATCATTTAAAACAACAGCATATTTAGAGGAATTTTTACCCAACAATCTAAAGTACACCTGTACTTATTGATATAATTTATTTATCGTTGTTATCAAACTTAATAATTTCAAATTTTTATGCACTTAATAAAAATCCAGGAATGGGCGGAAAATTAGAAAAAGGCAATCAAATATTAAATATTTAATTGTTTGTAGCCACAACAGATGGGGTAAAATTGCTCTTCGAGGGTAAAGTCAATATTTATGAATATCAAAATAATCTCTCAAATATAGTTAATATTGACCCTTTTAAGCTCACATAATAAATATTATATATTCACTGATAACAGTCCTTGTGCAAACCAATCGATTGTTAGGATATGATTTATTTTGAAATAACTCTTCCTGTAATACCCAGAGGAAAAGAATGGAAGAAAGGAAATTAAATGAAAAAAAGTAGTATTGAATTTAATTCTAATCAAAATTTTAGAAGGACAGACATTTTGTATTAACGAGTTAAATGAAATGAATTTGAAGGGAATTCCAGATGAGATATAAGCCTGCACCCATTTGAAAATACTGCAAGCCTTTTTCCTACATTTTATTTCTGATGAATCTGTTTTATGATTCCATGGTTCCAGATGATGTATGGAGTTACATGTATGTGGACATCTACAAAATGGCAAAAGAAGAACGCATTGGAAAAGACAATGAGCATAATGAAAAGGTATTTAATTTTTTTTATAAAATTATTCTGCTATGTATTTCTTGTTTGTGTGTGAAATTCTGCTCAAAATCAAAATTCAAATTTTTGTGAATCTAAAAAAAAATACAACAGAAAATTAAGAGTGGAAATGTATTTCCCTGAAGATGATATGGCATTTATCTCCCCAGTTTTTTCCCAACAGGTGGTCAAAATACAATCACGTGAATCAAGATCAAATCAGAAAAATCAAAATATGATATTTTATATTGATATTTCATATTTTGATATCAAAATACATGACATATCATTCTTTTAATAGGGTTCCAAGTTGCTTAATGCTAATTTTGCCTGTTTTGGTTAAAATATATCAATATTTCGTTTTTTTGATAAGGTGCAAACAAATTTTCAAAACTTTGGCATATATTTAAAATTTCATCAAGGTGCAGCATTCATCTTAAGTGCTGGGTATCACGATGACTATTTAGATTTTAATGGAAATAGAAATGGCAAGAAATGATATGACTCAGGATCTAGCACTGTCACATTGACCTTCCATGACCATTTAATTATTAAATGATATTTATTTATTTTATTATTAAATGATAACCTTCAATGAATAATTACTTTAATCAATTGATTATAAAAAGCATGGAATGGAGGGCAGGTTGAATATTGTGATGGATGTTTCTACATATGAAAATTTACAACTGATTAGTTTTTGAGCATTCTGGGTAAATTTTAAGGTTGCCATTTTGAATTTTCTGTCCCAAAGGGTTTCCAACCCAACTGCTTCATGGAGTCATCTGAAAGGTCCATGTGCATTATCGGAAGTGATTTTAGACAGTCATATATTTAATCATGAATACTTTCGGGGCATAAATACAGTGGTTTTTACTAAAACAATATGTTTTCTTTCAAGTAAAGTTCCCCTTATGATAAAAATATCAATCGAACAATTTGAAAATTTATGAATTAAGGGACCCCATGTGAACATTTTTTTCAAAATTGACCCTATTTACTCAAAAGAGGATCTCCTTTTTCTGGTTTTTATTGCATGAAAAGATTATTCAACAAGGGGTCTAAAACGTCTTCAAAAGTAGAATGGTATTGGAAGTCTAGTTTTGAAGATATCAATTTTCGATGACCAAAATTATGCTGAAAACAATGGATAGCACCAGTTTTTACTATTGGAAAACAACATGGGATATGTGGTTTTTAACTTGAACGGATTTCAATGCGCATCCCCTTTTCAGAAATCGTTAATAGAGTGTAGAAGAAACTTTTGATATGTTTATAGGAAAAAGGACAAAATATTATTTGAGACATCTCACTCACACAGTCAATCAAATATGATGAAAACTTTAATTTGGAATAATACTGAAGTGAAAAAAAAATTACTCGCATAGAAAACAGCATTTGAAGTTCAGAGATTGAAAAAAGTGAATTACCACTTTTCACAAAGTGTATGTTTTGAATAACTTTTGGATTAAAAGATGGCGTATGCTTAAAAATCCTGTCAAAACTGAATGGATAATTAATGCAAACAACAATGCCATCTTTCTATGGCATTGCTAAAAACTTGACATATAGAAATTGATAGATTAAAAATATTTTTTCATGAGCTAGTGTCAACTCTGATGAGGTCTGTTTAAGCTTTTTTTGGTGTCATATGAAAGATGAGGTGTTTATTAATCCATTGGAAATACTATGAAGATCAAAAATGAGACTTCATTTACACACTTTATCCCTTTAAATTGACAAAATCATGATCCTCTTTTTAGAAAATGAGCCTAACATTTTTAAAAAAGTGCAAAGGTAGGGTGCTAATCCATAATTTTTCAGTGAGTTAGAGTGATATTTTACTATCATGGGGACTTTACTTGTAAGAAAACATATTGTTTAAATAAAAACCACTGTATTGATGGTTAGAAAGTACCTATGGTGAAAGTTATGACCGTCTAAAATCACTTGCCATACTGCACATGGACCTTTTATGGGATGTTTCAAGGATTGGCAGACATTACTCAAACTCAATACTCTGTAGCCTGCAGTGGAACAATTTAGTAAAAATATTTCTATAAGGTTCTCTTTGGACCAAGTGTTTGGTTAAAAGATGATCATTACGAATATTTTGGTACGCCGGGCAACAGAGTATCAAGTTTAAATAACGGCTTCCAAATATCCTTGGGGATGTTTATATGTATCAATGTTTAGAACTGATCAGTTTTTGGGCATTCTGGGTAAATGTAAAGTTGGCCATTTTGGATTTTCCGTCCTAAAATCTTGGCTGTCGAGGGAGGCATTGTCTACAGATTTTCTGTCAAACCATTTCATGGATTGATCTGAAAATTTTTAGGGATGTTTCTACGTATGAAAATTTAGAACTGAGTAGTTTTTGGGCATTCTGCGTAAATGTTAAGGCGACCATTTTTGATTGTCCACCCTAAAATCTTGTCTGTTGAGCCTGTCTACAGATTTTCTTCCAAACCGTTTCATGGATCTAAAATTTTAAGGTATGTTTCTACGTATTAAAGTTTTTAATTGATTAGTTTTTCCGCAAGGTGGCCATTTTGGATTTGCATCCTATAATCTTGTCTGTCGAGGCTCGTTATGGATTAATCTGAAATCTTAAGGGGTGTATTTCTTGGTATGAAAGTCTACAACTGATTAGTTTCGGGATTGGCCCTTTAAAGTGTCTAGTGGAGCACATGCCTTAACCTTATATCTTAGTTTGATAATCATAATCACAGATAAACATAATAGTATTACAGGTTTTTATCAGCAATAACAGTCGAACTGTTGTTCTATAAAACCACAAACATCTCAGGTTCATGGTCACAACAATCATGCCACAGTTGTATAATGTTTAAACTGTATCAATATTCAACATGCTAAATCCGTTTGATATATCTTAAACATTGACCTCTGTCTTGCAAAGGACATGACAGGCCCGTTGCCAGGATTTGCCAAGGGGGGTTCACTTTTCCAAAATTTCCAGGGGGGTTCACATTTGACAATTTGGCCCGAATATTGCTAAAATCACCTGAGAAGTGCTCAAACTTGTGAAAAACTGCATGATTTTGAAAGATTTTTTGGCCAGGGGGGGGGTTCACCCGAACCCTGTGAATTCTATTCTAGTTGGCAGATTTTTGTTGGCAGAGTTAATTCTATCATGTCTATGTTTGTTATGATTTACACATAGCTATAGGCAAGGTGTGTCCAATTCCAGCCAATCAGAACAAGCTATTTCATGTAACTGCATTTGTTGCATGGTTGCCAAAGTGGGGAGATTGAAATTGATGCTTTGCCAACTTGATCCTTGCAAAATGTTTCCTTGAAAATATGTTCTTTTAGTGATTTTGTATCTTTTATGTGATTTTGTAGGAAATATTTTGCAATGTGTGAAAAGAATTTAAGCCCAAGACTCAATGCATTGTAGATACTTCATTCCACTCAGGAATTGTTTCCTAAACTTTGCATCCCCGCTGCGTGGTCATGCAAAGATTCTAACGCCCTCTTGCAGAATTTCCTAGGGTAGTCATTGACACGTTGTTTGGCAGATGTTTTCATCGCATCAAAGGCCCTATCTTTAGGAGCTAGTCTAATCGTAAATCTTGTCACTAATTGTTGCGATCCAGCATTTTTAATAGGTTTAAAATGTGGATCGCCTGCAGATTGAAGCAATAACAAATTCACCTTGGGATCGAAGGATTTGAAAAATACCCCACTCACTAACAATGGCGTTGTCTGTATACAATATTTTTTAACTATTTCTTACGGAAATACTTACTAGTATGTGAAAGAATCAAGCTCAATTTTATTGAAACTAATACAGATTGATGTCCGATATCTCTCTGGAGTGAATAGCATTCAGAGGAAGGTAATGAACCATTGGTCAACCCCAGTAAAAAACTTCAGATTTCTTGCATTTTGCATTTTTCACACAAGATTGGGAAGATTTTGAGAAATCACATTGCGATTGCCGAAATGCAAATTTCTAAGGGGACAGATAATATTACCTCTTGCCAGATCAAAGAATTATAACAGTATGGATGAGTTTATGGCTTTATGAGGATTTTAGTTACAATCGTAAGACTTTATTTATATCTACTTAATATTTAGACTTTATTTATCTTGTTTGTGCAGACTCAGGTGAAAGTCCTCATCTTTGTAGTGTAAGCTATTCAGATAGTTAATTGTGCAGGTAGCTATGCAGAGTTAGCTATGGAGAGAGTAAGCTATGCAGAGAGTTCAAGTTAGCCCTGAAGATCCCATTGTAATTGTCTTTCCATCATTCCATAAGATTAAATTAAACAGAAATCACAATTTCAGTTCCATATTATAGACCAATAAGCAGGACTAAATTGAGTTCAATCAATTCCTATATGTATTCTAAAAATAGATTTGGATCATGATTATTCATCTTTTCCTCCAGGATAAACGTGATACCAGCATCCATTTGAAAGCTATTCCAGGTCAAGATCATGAAGGAAAACAAACTGTTAATCCTGTAACAGATACTATGATAAAGTAAGTTAGTAGCACATACATGTACTTAGCATAATTTGCCATAACAGTTGATATTGATATTATTTTATAGTTTACATTTACATTTCGGTCAATCAAAATTAAAGGATGGTACAAAGAAAAATATAGGAATATCTCAGCTGTAAAAATGAACAAAATGGGGGGATTGTAAACTCTGTGTGGTTAGCATATTTCCAAAATGAAACAATAAGCTAGTAAAACCTAAGAATTTTCTCAAATATAAAGAGTGAATAACAGAGTCAAGCTTTGGTGAAGGGTTAAATGTGTTATTATGGACATTTTACAGGTTCACTCTTGATATGATGGACGAATACCCTGAGGACAAAGTTATAGTGTCCACAGTGATAAAAACACTAGGATATATGGCAGCATCAGGTATGAAATACAATTAAGGTAGTTCCGCACCAAAAAGTTGAAAAATAAATATTTTCAGTTTCAACAATTAATTCAATTCATGTCAAATTATAACATGACATAACAATATCTTGTACCTCTTCAATATATTTTTACTTTATTTGAATAAAATAAATATTAAAAAGTGTGAGATTTTTGCGGTCAGATTATACTCAAAATTTACTCATTGAACTAAGCCAACCTTAGGCTTTTAGCATGTCAGTTAATGATAAAACTTAGTATAAAAAAATAAAGGCTGGTTTCTTTTAAATTAAACTTGATATTTTATTTAATTTTAGTTAAGTCAAAGAGGAAGATCTGTTCAGTGAAGTTTGATGTCGTAGAGGATATTCTACAGGCCATGCGAAGATTTCCGTCATCTTCTAGTATCCAAGGCAACAGTTGCTTCACTCTCAGATTTTTTCTTTTTGGAGGTAAGTTATATCAGGGTGGCCACACCTCTGGAATTTACTAGGAAAGTAAATAAATTCCGGTTTCTGGAAAACACTGGAATTTTGCATGTTAATGCCTTGTTATACTTTGAATTCATATTAGCATTAATTTAAATAAATGATATGATTTATTTTACACATCCATGATATTTTAACATACATTTCCTACAACATGATATTTTTCTGTCTTAAACATTTGTAATGGAGTTTTAGCTAAATAATGTACCCTATTCATTAAGCCTTGACCAATTCATATTCCCGTTTTCAAAATGACTGCTTTATTTCATGGAAATCAAGTTTATCCCCCGGCCCGGCGCCAGTTTTATCTTCAGTTTCCCACATAATAGTTTGAGATCTTGAGGACAAACCTTGATATAATCGCATTTTGATTCACTTCTTTTCCATAGATTCAGAGAGGCAGGAGGATTTGATGTCCAACATTGCAGATGTTGAAACAATCGTAGATGTTCTGACATCACATACACATAAACCAATCACAGTCATGTTGGCTTGTGACATCATTGGATTTCTTTCAAAAACAGGTATAACATTAGAGTGATTATCACAAATTTGCATAATTATACTGCTACATGTATGCCTTAACATGTAACTGACATTATATCTTTTTCACGTTTCATCAAAATCACTCCAATGCCTCACATCAGGTTCAACTCATTTGGCATATGATTTATGATTATATTGATTGTTTCACACTTTTTTCTCATGATAGCATCCCGCTCATTTTTTTCTTGTATCAATTTCTGAAATATTTTTCTTACTACCCATGTCAAAATAGACGAGAATTACCATATGCAGAATATTTTCTTGTCACCCATAGCCGAAAATAGTTTTTCTAACCATCCTTTTTTCATATATTCTGATCTACATTGCAACTCAAAATTTTTTTTCCTTATTGAAATTTTTGTTAGGTGTTAAGATTTTATCAAATTTTATTGCCATTAATTTAAAGTATAAGTTATGTTTATACACAGGGAAAAATCACAAGTGGCATTATTAGTGTCAAAGTGTTATAGATTGGGTCCATAATTATGTGAGAAAATTGAACACAAAATATTACTTCTCCAAAAGTAAAATTTGAAAAAACTTTCCAATTATGAATCCCAGCAATTTTTAAAAAAGATAAGTTTTAAAATCAGGTGAGTAAAAATGGATACTATGTATTTTGCTATTTGTTGTTTCAGAGGTTAACAGGCAGGTGTTTATTGACCTCGGAGTGCATAATGCCATATGCCAGTTTGTGAAAACTGTTAAATTAGACTCCAGAGTTTTAATGTCCATTGGCGCTGTACTCTATAACCTTTCACAAGTTGGTAAGTAGATTGTTTATCCTCAAGAGATGGTTAAAACATATATGCAATTACCCGGTATTTTGTTTATTTTGTTTACATTGTTACTTTTTGAACATTCTGTATTTTGCACAGCATGCTTGCATTTAACTATGACCACTGAACTCTGGAACACTATGTAGATTTTGTAGGTTTTTGGCTTAGAATCATTTTTTGACTCCCTTTATATTTAATATTATGATCTATTAAAAATTTATCTATTTCAGACATTTCAGTCATAATTATGTCAGACAGATGAATATTCATTCATTTGGTGTTATACTTGCAGCATGTGTCCAAGAAGATTTACTAAATGGAAACTTACACCCATTCCTGCTGACCCATCTGATCAAGTTTAACAGGATTCCCCACATTCAGATGCTGCTCTTAGCTATCTATGAACAAATGAGTAAGTTTAACAGGATTCCCCACATTCAGATGCTGCTTCTAGCTATCTATGAACAAATGAGTAAGTTTAACAGGATTTCCCACATTCAGATCCTGCTTCTAGCTATCTATGAACAAATGAGTAAGTTTAGTAAATCCCCCACATTCAGATGCTGCTTTCAGCTATGTATGACCAAATAAGTAAGTTTTACAGGATTCCCCACATTCAGATGCTGCTTTCAGCTATGTATGCCCAAATGAGTAAGTTTGACAGGATTCCACACATTCAGATGCTGCTCTTAGCTATCTATGAACAAATGAGTTTATAACTACTGTAGTTTATAACTAGACTCTGCGAGCAGGGTAGCCTATGGCAAAATTCAAAAAATTGATATCTTATATAATATGTTACAAAAATTGTTTTTTCATCAATTCAATTTTTGAGTGACTATGATCCCAATATGATTTTTCTAAGGTGAATACGATCCCAATACATTTTTTTTCCTGTGTGAATACTATTTTAATAGGGACAAAACAATTTTATATCCCAAAGAAAACAGCAGAATTATGGAATAAATTGAAATATAAATCTAATTATAAAAAACTTTATGCGCAGTATCCTAATGTGATTGGAGGTTTTCTTGCATGTAATTATTTGCTGAAATAAATATATATTGTATAACACATACTGCGCATGTCTATTACAGTAAGCCACCTAGGTGTCGATGATGAGATTGACATTGGGGAGGCCGTTTGGTTGAATCAAATCTTTGTTGCGATGACTAAAGACAGAGAAACTCCTGGTCTACAGGTACATCATTTGAAATTTTTTTCATTAATATTTATTCCTTAGTCTTGCTTCAAGACCCTGGACCCCCCCCCTCTTCTTATCTACTTTACAATCCGTAAAATTATCAATTAATTAATTCTTGAAAAATATGCATGTTGTGATCAATTTCGTTCAGAATTTTGAAAAGAAGAAAATTGCACTTAATTGAATAATAGATAAATCTGAGAGAGATCACTGTATACCTTTGAGGCAGTAACAGGTCTCAGCTTTTTTATCTTCCTCAGGTGGCTGCGTGCAAAGTACTCAAGAGGCTTCTGGAGATAAGGCCTCATCTACAGGGACAAATCGGGGAGAACACAGAACTAAAACAGTTAGTAAACAGATATTGTTTGATCACCTAAAGGCTTTTGATACAACAAAACTACATAATATACATTAAAAAGTTAAAATATTTAGATTAAAGATAGAATGTACAATGTACACTTGTATTTGAGGAAATAACAAAGTTTCTGTTTGACATGAATGCAAAAATATTAAAATCCCCATCTCCAATTATTAATGATTTTATTTCACTTATTGAAAACAATATAAACAATTACATATCAGGGCCGTAGGGAGAGGGGGTTCGTAGGGCTCGTGCGAACCCCCCCCCAAATCTTGCCGAAAAAAATTCGAACCCACCCTTTCTGGCAATTATGCAAACCTCCAAACTTTGAGTAAAATTTTTGCAGTCTTTCAATAATTTATCGTTTTTGGTTCCAAAGACAATTGAGTTATATGTCAAGATGGAAATATGTGAGATTTATAGCTTCATTTTGAGTAAAAAAGATTTAAAAAAAACAGAAAAACAAAAAACTTCTAGTCTTATCAATAATGGGCGATAATACATGTAGGTATGCTCTTATTGCACTTTAGGCCTGAAATACTGAAGTAATATCTTCAAAATGAATTCAAATGCACAAATAAAGCAGACCTACCAAGTTGAAATTATCTGATTGTTGTACATAACGTCAAAATGATCTAATTTTTGATATAAATCAGCAGAGAATTTTGAACATGTGAATGTTTAGTGACACTGGGCCGTGATGCACCAAAATTGTGAACGCTAGAAAATTCTTACTTACAACGTTTTTATTTTTTCATGCTGTAGTTAGATCAGAGAGCAAGTATAAAGATCACTCACACAGAGTTGTTTACTGATTTTTGGCTCCTATTTATTTATAAAGCTCGTTGTACAAGCGATTGAAAATTGGGGGGAGGGGGTTCTATGTCTGCTAATTTCTGTGAATTTGTGGTATGTTGGGTCCAAATTTAAAAAAATCTGCCCAAATAAATGAACTTGGTTTTGGGATATTTTACCTATTTTTTGCTTTTGCAATTGTTTGAGATTTAAGTAAACTTAAGAAAATTTGGTAAAATTTTAAATTTTAGCGAATGGGCAAAAATTATGAAAATTTGGCAACAATGAAACTTTGGCAAAATTGATCCATTATTGGCATTTAAGTAAAATTGGCAAAATTTAAGTAAAATTTTAGAAACTTGTCAAAAATTAATTAAATTAGACCAAAATTAAGAAAACTTTGCAAAATTTAAGCAAAATTGAGGTAAATTGGCAAACATACAGCAAATTTGGCAGAATTTCAGCAAATTGGCCAAATTTAAGCAAATTTGGCAAAATTTCATCAAATTTGGCAAAATTTAAGCAAATTTGGCAAGATTTTAAGCAAATTTGGTAAAATTGAAACAAATTTGACAAAATTTAAGCAAATTTGGCAAAATTTAAGCAAATTTGGCAAAACTTAAGCAAATTTGGCAAAATTTAAGCACATTTGGCAAATTTGACCGAAAATATTAGAACCCCCCCTGACAAATCCTGGCTACGTCACTGCATATAAAAGCATACCAATCGCCATGTGGCATTACAGGTTGCTTTAAGTAAATTAAACATAGTTTTCATGTGGCTTTAGATATCACAAATCAGAAAGTAAGTAAAATATTGTAAATAAAATAGATAAACAATATAAGTTTTTATTTTATTTTATTTGGGTCCAGGAGGTTGAGAGATGCTATATGAGTCAAAGTTTTAACTTTAAATTCTAGTTGGGTGTATATAACACGTTCCAACAAAGTCAGTTACTATGTCAATGAGGGTATTTTGAGAATCTCGACAGAGGGTGTTTTCAAAAATAAGATATTCTAATTGGTCATTTTGATTTGTACATGTGTTTGTATCATAAAGTAGGTTATTTTGTCTCAGTGCAGCCATCATATCAATTCTTTCATTTATATGGCGTGGGCAAGATAGGAGAAAGTGTTTTGTGCTTTCAGGGGATCCACAAAGACATTTGTTATCATTAACTCCTGTAAAATTGTGAGAGAAAAAGTGATATTTTAACATGAAATCAACCCTTAGTCTATTGATGATTTTCTCCTTATTCCTTGAAAGTTTGAGCTTGGTTGTTGGGATAAAATTCATATTAGGAAGTATTAATGAACGAACAGCATTTTTGAAACTAGAAATGGTTGGTAAATCTCTTACAGGTTGGCTTAGGTTGTTCCATTGCTTTATAAGGTTTAGGACTGGTGCATTGAGAAATCTAGTTGTAACTTGAGTGGGTATTTTAAATGGTAAAGAGTGTCTTGTTGTCCTAGTGGTGGGGTTTTTATATATATCAAAAATATCAGAAATGTATTTAGCTACCATTTTTCTATTTATTTTGAACATTATTCGAAGATTTTTTTCTTTTCTTCTTTCACTCAGGGTCTTCCAGTTTAGGCACTGGAAAACTTTGGATGTGTTAGACCCATGGAGGACTCCAGCACATATAACACCTGCTTGATAGTGTAGTTTATCAAGTTTAGCTAGCAAAGCTAACGAGGCTGACCCATAAATTGCACTGCAATAGTCAAAGTTTGACGCTACATAGGAGTTATACATTGTTTCGAGGTGATTTGATTTAACACTGTTTGATAAGTACTTTAGTGGATTGAGCAGTTTTTGAACTTTTTTTGATAATTGATGTGGTCTTCAAAGGTCAAATTTTCATCTAAAATAAATCCCAGATGTTTATTGGAGGTTTTACATGGAATAACTACCCCGTCAAAATAGAGCGGTGTTTTTTGAAGATTTTTGATCCGGTTTGAATGGAATATCACTTGTGCACTTTTGGACGGTTTAAATTTTAGAAACCATTTCTTTGACCATGAGCTAATTGTATTTAGATCATTTTGGATTTGCCCAACTTGGTCGTTAATGCATCTCCAATGCATCCCTCTTAGTGGGTCAAACTTGTTCCTACCTCATGGTAATGCTGTTCATTTCTTACATAGGCCTGGGAACATGTATAAAGAATTACAGTACTTGTACTTGGTGCATTCCACTCTATATTATTATACATGTACCCAGGCCTGTGATCTCTTATGTTAAAATTTCATACATGCTCAATCAGATTGAAGAAACAATTCAGTTCTGAGATTTTGTCTGGGGGGTTTGTAAAATAGGACAAATATTATATTTTGACATTGTATCTGACTTCATACTTTGATATTTGTAGAGATCCATTGCATACTTTATGCCTCGGTGCACTTTTGATACATGGACGCAACATTGACGTCTTCACAGCTGCCTGTGATGCCCTCTACTGGCTGTCAGCAGACAATGGTATGTTTTTATGTCACCACCAGAAGTGATGACATATTGTCATAGTCTCGCACTTTTTCATGGTTGGTGTTCAGTGGTTAGTGTATGGCAGTTGGTGTCTGTAAAAAATGGCAGGTGGTGAAATTTTGCATGTTAATGCCTTTTATAACCTTGTGATATAGTGTCTACATTGTACAGGTATCCTATATTCCTATAATATGCATATTTATCATACCGAATGAAGTTTGGTAGAGATATAGAAAAGATATAGATATAGAAATTTTCTGAATATAAAATGACATACATGCTAACACTTGACACATTAATGATTATTGTGGTTCCATTGCTTCCCCTAGTTTCAAGGCCCTATTCAACCTCATGTTAATAGGAACCTTTTTAATGGTCACAACATAACTAGTACTAAGTATATGATACCTAAAAGTATAAGATGTATCCATACTTAGGCAATTTCTTTCTTGATCATACATATTTCACTAACCAATGAGAGGACAAGCGAATTGGAGTCTGTGATTGCTATTGTTATGTTAACCTGAATAATGTCTTTTCGTTAAAGCATCCATTCATTCGAGGTCATTTGATACACCTATAAATAGGGAAATATATTTAATGTAATTTTCAAGGATTAGAAATAAACGTTTAACATCAAAAAGCTTTTAAAAAACTTTAAAATGATGCTCTAAACAGGTCTTCCAATGCAATTGTGTATATTTTGCACTTTCAAATAATTCCTATTGATTGGTTTTCAGAGAGGTTACAGGGTTTACTAATGCAGAAGAATACTCACCTAGCAATCCTAGAGGGGATGCGTCTCCATAGAAACAGTGCGGTTGCCCAGTGCTGTGGTTGTCGAGCAACCAGGGGACTGACAATATTCCTGTAAGTTCTATTTCTAGTATATAAAATTAACAATCAAAGGTTTTAGGAGGCTGACTGTGTTATTGTGACATCTGTTGTACAGTAAAACCTGTAAAAGTGAACATGTATCTCTTATAAGCACCTGTACATAGTGAACAGATCTCTCTAGTTAACTCCCATATTAAATAATTTTTGTATATTCTGGGGGCAGTGGACTGGGGGCAGTACTGTTAATGATCACTGTCACAGGTTCTACTGTACATGTATAATTGTTGGTTGCCACATTATGAGTGTATTTAATTAACCTGCATGAAACCAGATTATTTTGCATTTTTGCCAGTTTTTGACACTCTAATATTATACATATTTTGCACATAACTTGATGCTGAGATTGTATAGAAATTATCAAAACGGAGCAAGTTTTTGAAATTCTTGGACACATATCCGCTACTTGGTTCAAAGGTTTTTTGTTGCAGAACTTTCTGGGTAAGAGGTTATAACATGGGTCCTTAGAGAACAAACTTATTTTTCATATATTTCAATTAAGCATCGTTAATTTCAAGTTATGATCCAAAAATGAAGTTTAAGATTAACCTTAACAATGGATTGATCCTCTTTGAATCTCTGTATAGTTATTCAAATTCATACAAAATATTTCATATTTTTCTCACTCATTAATTAAATTGAATATAATATTGTGAAATTGAATGCTTTGCGAGCAGTATTTTAGTAGTTCTTACTTACATTTACTATATATTACATACTTCATTATTATTTTTCTGTTTAAAACATGTGAGTTACAAAGGAGCACGTGGGTTATCGCAAACAATTTCAGAAGGTTATAGCTTGGATTATGACTATTTTCTGACAATGAAGACAAGTTTATCTTTTAGATCAATTCATTATCTCAAAGAAAATTATGCACAGTAATAATAAATTCAAACAAACTCTGAGATATTTAACTAGCAATTAACCCATCAACACACTTTTTGACCCCATTTTGAAGATGTTGACCCCATTTTCACCAAAAATGCAATCATTTTTTACAATGTTTAATGCATTACTATTCTTTATTTTGATGTATCAAATAGTTCTTGAAAGAAAAACTTAATTGCATTAAGATAAGTGTTCCCCATGTTATTTCTCCATTGAAAAATCTCATGCTATCCATTGGTTTCAGATCATTTTGGTCATCCAAATTGAATACCTTTAAAGTCCCTGGAGCAATCAAATTTTCCTTTTAGGAAATTGAACATGTCCCAAAGCACATTCTAATTATGCATTCAACAATATAATAATAGGTTGCATTTTTGGTGAAAATTAGGTCAACAGTTTTCAAAAAGTATGTTGATTGGTCCATTGCCCCTTCAATATCACTTAGGTCTGATTAACTAAATTATCATTATATATACTTTTCTTGAAGATAATGAATGGATCTAAAAGATACACCCATGTTCATGATCAGAAAATATTCATAATTCAAGTTAGAATTGTTTGAAATTGTTTGCGATAACCTACGTGCTCCTTTAAGCAATTATTTACATTTACACTATTATGCTGAAAATTGTAAAGTCTATACACTTGCTTAAATTTAAAACACCATATCTATGTGGTAAAAGATAACAAGGATATAATCGAAATTTAATATCTTCTCTATAACGAAACTAGGTCTGTTCCACTTGCACATTATTTTTCCTTTGACTCCACTCTACAGATGTAATTTCAACACTGAGTAACATTTCTTATCACTTGTCATATAGCTAGTTGCCAACTCTTGAGTGTTATACTAATTAACGAGGAAGTTTTTTCTGATTCCTCAGAAGAAATTAGAATTAGCTATAATTCGAACATGACTGTATTCAGACCTTCTATAAACTGTATAAATTATTTGACACTGCACCTGGTAACACAAGTAATGTGTGACGTCAGAACGGTGGGCTGTAGTAATGGCGGTCTATAATGAATATTCAAAAAATTTTGGTGAGGTTTCGAATCGTTGGACCAGGTGTTATATTGAGGAATACATACCTTAGGCACAAAACTTAGGCACAGTGTGGTATTTTCTTGGAATATGTGTTTGGTAATCATAACGTCACTATTTCATGCATACCCCAAAAGTGGTAACATTTTGCTTAATTAGAAATTCTTTATTGACCTGTTATGTGTTTGCTTGTACCATGTAGACATTAATTTTAAGTATTCATTTTAACTTCCTAACTTCCATTACATTATATGCTTAGACCATTATACTAACTACAGTCTAGTACTTTTATATAATTTTGCCTTATTTTGCTTTGATTTTTTGTTTTAATATTCTTACTTAGGCCATTTTAAGCTAATTGTATGTTGCAGTCCTTTTATTAATGCTTTACCACCTTCATTTATTAACACCAGATAATTTATTTTTTGTTGTCGAATAATACCGTCATTTCAGTCATCCGGTGAAAGAAAAAATAGTACAAAGTGGTGCATTGTGGGATATGATATATGCATTGACGAGTTTTCCGCAGGACGTGAATGTACAACAGGAAGCTATAGGAGCAATTGCATGTTTGTGTGACGTGGGTAAGGGATTATATACTAACACTCAGTGTTTTCCCCCTGTTCTGTTTAACCAGAGAGGCCCTTTGTCTAACACTAGAGAAATGTAGTTGATGTTATGAAAACAAGTTGGTTTTGCCTCAAGTTGTGAATCTTAGAAATTTCATCCACCCAGCTGAAAAAATATTGTCATTCAGTTGAAAACACCCATGTGAGGTTTTGTGAGTTGCATCTTGACCTGTTACTGTCATTTTTAGTAAGAATATGCAAAATTTGCACCTTAAAAACCATGGGGAGAACACTGGTGTCATATTCTAATAAGGGGCAATAGTCACAGGCGTTCTGAAAAACCTGGATTTGTGGAACAGAAAATGTAACTGTTTCTGTAAATTAAGGGAAGGGTCCTTTTGTCCAGGTTTCTCAAACAGCCTTATTAACAGAGCAGATCATGGCTAAAAACATACTTAGCACATTCGCATCCTTTGGGATGTTCTTGAAATATCACAATGATATGTTACAGAAGATTACAGAGCTGTAGGTTGTACACCATATGGCAGGTAGAGTGTATGGACTTTTGGGACACCCTTTAATATGCAAATGGGTGTGCTAAAATGTGTTTTTAGTTATGAGCTGCACTGGTGCATGCTGCATGTTGTAAAAACTTATATTGAATATTAGTTTAACTCTCTGTATAATTAACAACACAAATATCAGCATTCAAGTCAATCTTTGGATGCTCCATTTTATCCTTGGGGCTTGGGCAATGTCTTTATGGCATGGTAGTGGGCAAGGCTGAAGCTAAACAAAGTCTGATCAACATCTACGGAAAATATTCATACTCAGACTATTTTTAAAATGTGAAAATTATGTCTTAATTTAATCATATCTTCCGAAACTTTTTACTAAGCTTATCTTCAGATCCTTGCGTTGCCCCTGTCATGGGCATGATATTTTAGGGAAACTATTAAGCCCGTAGTAAACACATGTTCATGTATTTATCATGTAATAAGACCCCCTTGCTAATACAGCTTTTATTTATTGACAAGTACCATAAAATTTATTTATTCATATTTCAGTTTTTCAGTTTTTCATGCATTTTGTTCTGTTGCATTTTATTAGATATTCCCCTCCCATACATAAGTTGAATTTCATCTTTGGTTGTTCATGGTATTACAAAACCATTAATATGCTTTCCTATTAGTACATCACAACCTTGACATCATAATTTACATATATCAAGCTTAATATGTATTTTCAGAACTGTAGTGTTACATTCATATTTGCATTATTGTAGAGATAGTTCGTCACCAGTGTATTGTAGAACAGGTCCATCAGAAGATTCTGTCTGCCATGAGGATACATGCTTCATCAGAATTGTTGCAGGAGTTTGCACTGGAGGCTTTAACTGTACTATGTGGGGCAGGTATGTAACATTGGAGGCTTTAACTGTACTATGATTGGCAGGTACAGTATGCAACATTGGAGGCTTTAACTGTACTATGATTGGCAGGTACAGTATGCAACATTGGAGGCTTTAACTGTACTATGCAGTTCCGGTTATAGCTATATGATCTTATTGACATGTGGATTGTGATTTCACATTAAAATTGTGATCCTTGTAAGAGTAAATGAACTTTTAAAGGTTTTTCAGCATTGTGTCAATGGGGATTTAGCCCAACTTTTTTAGACAACTAGAAAGTCATTAGAATATGCCATCAAATGGAAGAAACGTTTAGTCTTTAATGGTTAAAAATGCAGATCTTCTAAAATCGCATTAAAAACGAGACTTTAATGAGATTTCAAAGCTAAATGGAAAAAGGACCATTGTAAGAACACATGTAAACTCAAATTTTACGGCCAGGTCCCCATCTCTTATCTTTTACATCCCTAGCATAATATAAAATGATGAAGCATACTTTAACCCATAAATTGTTTATTTTCAGAGGGTGCCCCTGATATGCTGTATGAGGCTGGGGGATTAGAGAGAGTCATGGCCATCATGCAAGAATTCGACAGCAACTCTGGTAAAAACATTAAATACAACCAAAATAATACCTCATGTGGCCTCAATCTCCCATGGGTTTGGATTGTGATAATCGCACTAAAATATATTTCTTATACTAGGGGGTGGTCCATTTAACATTGTTTATTTCTGCATTTTTTTCATTGGCTGGGATATTGGGATTTGTTCATGTCACCTCCAGAATTGGTGATACAGTAAAACCTGTCTAATCCGAACACCCATGGGACCAGCCAGAAGTGTTCAAATTGGCAGGTGTTCAAATTTCGAGGATTTTGTTGGTCGGGGGGGGGGGGATTTTCATTGTTCAGTCCACTATATTGAACACTTAATACTAAGTCAGAAAACAATAAATGTTGTTGATGAGTTAATTCTACAATAGTCATATAGCCTATATGCTATGTTTTATTTATATTTTGAACAATATCATCGTTTTAGTAAAAATAACTCTTATGTTTTGGCAAAAACTTTGTAATACACTGTAAAAGTATATGATAGTCTCGTATGAAATCTTATGCTTATCAAATGACTTATATTTTTTTATTTATTTATTTATTTGCCAAACACTTTTTAATCAGTGGCACAATGGAAAATTCCAGTGCGGCAGTACATAGAACAAATACATATTCATAAAATACAATACAATACAGATAGATAAAATAAATATGTTAAATTGTACATATGTTATGAGTTTAAAATATCGTTATTAATAGTCACTAAAAATTGTTTGACACACTTGTCAAACAATAATCCTTGGTCTTTGCCCCAAATACTAAAAACAACATCTCCTAGGCACCACTTTAATTTTTCATTTAAAGGAAGCGTTAAGAACATATTAAATACATCAGGGGAGCATGAGGTTTTAATTCTGTTGTAAAAATCAATCCTTTCACATTGGTTGTGACTACATGTAAAAAATCTGTGTGTTAAATCATCAATTGGATGAAGGGAACAAAGTTTGCAAAAACCATCATTGCGTTTTCTTCTTTTGAGGTCAGTTCCAATACCTAAACACCCAGTTCTGGCTTTGAACTTCAATCTCTGTCCAACAAAATCATTACTTGAAGTAAGGTAATTCTCCAGAAATGGGGTTTGTTTGATTGATTCATAAAATTCTAGTGAAGATTTCGAGGAACATTCAGATAGAAAATTACTTTTGTGTTGTTGGGAGGATATGGTCAAAAAAGAATCATACCATTCATTGTCATCTCTAAACACAACATCATCAAGGCCATGTTCAATTAAAATGTCTTGTATGTTTTCAAAATATGGCCAACATGTTTTTACTCTTCCCTTGAAATTTTCAAACAGTTTATCAAAAATTGCCTTATGTAGGCCGTTCCTCATGGAGAACTTAAGATATAAAAAATAATCAATTTGTCTTTTCTGAATAATGTTAATAATGCTTCTCCAGCCAAGGTCACCTAACATTGCTGCTTTGGCAGGGTTACATTTAAGTTGAAAAATTGATTTGGCCAATTTATATTGCATTGAAGAAAGGGTCTTTTCAGAGGTCTTGTCAAGAATTAGAACACCACATTATATTATGGTAATATAGCACTGCTTTACTTTTGTTTGAAAAAGTCCTTCATTGTTGTTTGTTTCTTGGCACTTTTAGCATTAGCAATATTTGAGTAGATATCCTCTTCAAGTAAAAAGAATTTTCATGAGTGTTCATTCGAGATGATGTATAATCCTTCAAAATATCAAGGGCATTCAGGATGTCAGATATATGCCTTTTAGGAGACATTTTAGTGACTAAGGATATTACAAAGTTGAATTTTTTTCTCTTTCTTGTGATATAATCTTGTCTGCAAATGTCGTCTGTGTTGTCCTTGTGATTATAAAACATTTGCTGATTGAATCTTAGCTATCATAACAGACCCATGGGATATAAAACAGTCAAGACCTGTTCATAATCCCAATCAAAAACATCCAGTTAATTTACAATAAGGATAAACCAATTAACTCCTGTATTCACACCTTTCCAAAACATCCTGTTGTTTTCCACAAATTAGGGATGTCACTGAGACTAAATAAGTTAGTTAGGACAATATTGGTTCTTTGATTACATTTTATATGTAAAGATAAATAACAACTATAACATTGACTCAATATTTGGCTATAATTGAAATGTCCAGACATTTGATTTCTGATAAAAATGTTCAGATTCGACAGGTCACTTTTTCAAATCTGGTTATTCACTGTTCAAATTAGGAGGTGTTCAGATTTCAAGGTTTTTTTAACATGGGAGTCAATGGGAGGAAAAAATGGGACCGAAAAAAAGTGTTCAAATTGGAAGGTGTTCGGATTAGCCAGGTGTTCAGATATACAGGTTTTACTGTATATTGTTATAGTCTCCAATTTTTTTGTTCGTGGTGTTTGGCAGTTGGTGTTTGGTGTCTGCAACAAATGATAGTCAGCCTCTGTAACAAATGCCAGGTGTTTTTTGTATTCCATTATTACTGCTTTTTGAGTTATCACTCTTTTGCCATTTCACTTACATACGTATTCATTTTTGATTCCTCAGCTATACAGCAGAAGGGTCTGGTTGTCTTTCAACTACTGGCCAATGAGAGGATTCTACAGTATGAGGGCCTATGCAAGAACCTAGCTACTCTCATTATTGCCACCATGAACAATTTCCCCAATACTCTGGCTATACAGAAAGAGGTAAGTACAGCCTTAATTATGTGAAAGAAAAAATAAAGTTGTATTATTAGAAAAACTCAGTGGAGCTTGAATGACTAAACCTTGTAACTCATTTCTTTAAAATTTATATCTTTTTTTAGTCTATACAAAGCTACATATTATACAAATATGATTTGGATATACTGTAATAACTATTCGTTAATGAATTTGAATATCGCATTGTCTGCTGATGAGTAATCCTATTTAAGAATTACATGTTATAGAAAAGTGGCAAAATCCAGTGAAATAGTTCAGAAAGCTAAATGTTAACATCATTAAGTATCATATCATGATTAGTTCTATCTAGAGGCTTATTACTAGACTCTGGGCCTCAGTGTAGTAATGTATTGGACCCATGTTTTACATTTTTGTTTAAGGGTTGTGTGGCAGTCCAAGTCCTGTCTGAAATGGGCGAGGAAATGGGGAGGACCATGGTCCATGTAGGAGCCCATGAGACATTATTCAACATACTTGAACTTTTCCCAGATGATCAAGGTATGTGATGACAACATATTTGTTGTTCGGAGTTTGGCATCTGTAACATGCATCTTGCATGTTACTCTTATGTGGCATCTTTTGGGGTCATGGGAATTTGGATCTTATATTTTAGACCTCATATACCTCATGATATTTGGACTGTATCTTATCAGATCTAAGTTTGTACGAGTATAAAGTACCAACTAAAAAGAGGAGCCATTATCCCATACTTTATGCCTTTGGGCCTATAATTTATAGAAGACATTCATACTTTATCACAGTAACAGTAACTTGTACCCCCCCCCCTTGCCCCTCCCTCCATATTTGTTTAATAAGTGGTATTTAATCTTAAATTATCTCATGTTTATTAACTTAGGAACCCATGATCTGGCGAGTGAATGTCTTTATGTCCTCAGCTGCTTCAGGAATCTCAAGTCTCAGATGCTCCTCTCTGCATGCAGTAAAGGCCTCATCAGGGTAAAGATGTCCATATATGCTCATATCATCCAATTAAAAAAGTGAAATTCAATAAACAAAAACAGTAAAACCTGTGTATGTTGAATATTTTTTGCCAGGAAAAAATTTAGTGTTGACTAAGACAGGTTTTACTGTAAATAGATAAAATAAATAAATATATTGAACATCTAGCAAGTAATTCTGGACTTTTTTGACTATATGAAGTTTGCCCCATTCAAATGTTCAAAGGACCTCCTGTTATGAGATGAGAAGATGTGATGCCTCATGTTATTTAGGGTGCTGAGTGTCTTGTTGAGCTTGGTGCTGATCTCAACATTGGTCAGGGCACAGATACTCCACTTTGCCAAGCTGTACTGAGAACAGATGAGGACATGGTCAAGTTCCTTATAGAAAGGGTCAGTATTTTGCTTTCAATATTTTTTGGTTATTATCTATGTGTTCATTTCCTTAGAAACTGAAAACTCCGAAAATATCTGCTACCAATCACTTATTGGCATCCAAGGTAGTTTTAAGGTAAGATAAAAGGTACAATGAAAATAACAAGTGAATATTATGGCTATTTGAGTTTGGGAGGAGGATCATTGTCATTTTCGAGGAAAAGAATATATGACTCATGTACTGAAGTGTACATGTATTATTATTCAAGATGTACAATTCTTACTATATAAAAGATTATTTGTCCTTATACCAGAATGATTGATGTTTTATTACAATTGGGATACTAATCCATTGCATATCATGATTGAAATTGGATATTTTGCCATTGCAGGCCCGTAGCCAGGATTTGCCATGGGGGTTCACTCTTTAAAAAAATCCAAGGGGGTTCACTTTTGACAATTTTGGCCCAAAAATGGCCTGAATCACTTGAAACTGATCTGTACATGTATTATTATTCAAGATGTACAATTCTTACTATATAAAAGATTATTTGTCCTTATACCAGAATGATTGATGTTTTATTACAATTGGGATACTAATCCATTGCATATCATGATTGAAATTGGATATTTTGCCATTGCAGGCCCGTAGCCAGGATTTGCCATGGGGGTTCACTCTTTAAAAAAATCCAAGGGGGTTCACTTTTGACAATTTTGGCCCAAAAATGGCCTGAATCACTTGAAACTGATCTGTACATGTATTATTATTCAAGATGTACAATTCTTACTATATAAAAGATTATTTGTCCTTATACCAGAATGATTGATGTTTTATTACAATTGGGATACTAATCCATTGCATATCATGATTGAAATTGGATATTTTGCCATTGCAGGCCCGTAGCCAGGATTTGCCATGGGGGTTCACTCTTTAAAAAAATCCAGGGGGTTCACTTTTGACAATTTTGGCCCAAAAATGGCCTGAATCACTTGAAAGGTGCTTAGAATGGTGAAAAACTGCATGATTTTGAAAGAATATTTGGTTAGCCCGAACCCCCCCCCCTTGGCTACAGGCCTGCATTGTATACTAGTATCAAAATTGTCACTGAATATCACAACAATGTATATTCATTCACAATAATACATTAATATTGTTAGGGTGCGAGTGATACACACACTGCATTGAGACTAAGTCTGGGACTAGAGGCACATAACATCACTGGACTCATTCTTAAACAACTGGGCTATGACAAGGATGGTGTGTATATTCACCTGCTTATATTAATTTTAGTAAAATCCATCTTATCTGAACATCACTCCACATTTTCACATTTTAAGGTTCCTTAATATGTGAATCAATGAGAAATAAGGTTTGGTTGGAATTTGTAAAAATTCCACGAGTATGTGTCAGATTGAGAAAGGTCAGTTGGTTTACATCACAGCTTTCTATCAGTCCTCTCTTACATCCTTCGCAAAGCAGCGATTGTCTGAGTATCAAAATGGGTACTTTATGATTTAATGAAAATAATGAGCCTAGATTGGGTCTGGCGATCCCAACAAAAAATGAAAATAAGAAATTCTTGAGTAAAATGGATTGCTTATATTTGGAATACAGATGTAGACTTTAGAATATAGAATTGAGAATGGCAGTTTAAAAAATAACTTTTGCATTCGCAAAGCTATATCTGAAAAGAAATGAGAGATCCCAAAAATCAAAGAAATAATTAATTTGTTATTTTGCAGCTGGAATTGTATCATGGAGTGGTCTAAATCTGAAGGGAATGCCTCCAGCATGGTTCTGTCCCACATTATATGGAGACACTGCTGAATCCTCCATATCAGGTAAAGGGGGAAATGAATCTTTTTGATCATGGGTAATATCAATGTTATTTTTGGTATGAATGATTGTAAAATGGGAATTCATATCAGTTCACCACAATTAGCTACAATGGGAGATGGTAGCACTTTTACAGATGTGTATTTATGTCACCATCACAAGTAGTGACATATTGTTATTCTGTAGTCTCCAACTTTTTTTTTTGTTTGGTGGTTGGCATTCTGTGGATGGCATTTGGAGTTTGGCACATGTAAAAAATGGCAGGTTGTGGCATTTTACATGTTAATGCTTTGTTTTACTTTGTTTCCAATTTATTGGCATTTTGCTTTACACAGTGATAAAAAATTGAGGTTCTTTTTCTTTACTTCAGTTTGAGTGAATCTCTTATAATAAGATATTTCAGAGTTGAGTAAGGCTCTTGTTCTATACTTCAGTTTTGAGTGAATTTATTGTAAAATATTTCAGAGTTGAGTAAGGCTCTTGTTCTTTACTTCAGTTTGAGTGAATCTATTGTAAAATATTTCAGAATTGAGTAAGGCTCTTGCATCAAGAATAAAGAAAAGTGAATACAAAAGACAGAAGCGTATAATGATGCGAAACAGTATGCCCGAGTTCCCTTCATCTGATGTCTTAGCACCAAGCACCAGACTGCCCTTGAGGTTTGGCTTGCGGAAAAGTTTATCAGCCGTCAATCTTAGTAACATTAGTTCAGGTATATTCATTTTTATCTTTTATACATACATCAGGCCCGTAGCCAGGATTTGCCAAGGGGGGGTTCAATTTTCAAGAATTTCCAGGGGGGGTTCACATTTGACAATTTTGGCTCAAATTAGGCTAAAATCACTTGAGAAGTGCTCAAAATGGTCAAAAACTGCATGATTTTGAAAGAATTTTTGGCCAGGGGACCCTGGCTACGGGCCTGTACATCAGGCTACATGTATTTGTTTTGTTTTAGTCAGGGATAACATTTCCATACCTTCAGATGTGGTACAGAAAATTCAGACTCGATACCTAGTCCCTGTTGTCCATCTTAGTCAAATGCTAAAATAATCCTTGTCTGCAAACAGTTAGTTTAAAATTTTTACATTTTTTTAACTCACTTCATTACTGGGGTATTTACTCTGGTATTAGTTTTGATAGAACTTTCCTACCTCCAATGTTTCTAATAACTTACATTATTTCAGATGCCATGGAGGATCTGCAGAACAGTTACACAAAGCCAGTCATTAAGCAGCCCATTAGTCGAAAGACTTCTTTCTCCGCTGCTTTGTCAAAGTTTCGTAGATTATCTAGTCGCAAACACAGCAGTATTGGTGCTATGGGGTCTCCTGATGATGTCAGACCCCTTAGTGTAGAAACAATTGTTGAACATGGGTCATCATCTCCAGAAGGTAAATACATGTCATCTCACCCACAAATTATTCCAAATCATTTTTTCCCAAAAATGTCATCAATAATAGTTGAAAAATTGAGTAAGACAAAAGAATTACATTTACAGGGACCATAATGTACCATATACATAGTTTTGGAAAACCTTAATCAGGGTTATGATACAAATCAATCCATTATTCTCTGTCATGTAAAAATAAATACAAGAATTTTTATATTTTTAACTTCAGAAAACGACATTCTCTCAGAGTTTGTGCAATATCCCAAAGAACTTGAAGATTGGCATAGGATAACGTTGACTGGGTCAAATGTGCCATTCAGTCCCCTTGACCCAAGACGAAGTGTGGAAAAAGTAACATACAGAAAACCTAGACTCTCACCAGGTTAGCTTTGGAATTGTTTTGCATAGAGAAAACCTTTATCACTTGTTTGTCATGAATGTTACTTCTGCACAGGATATAACTGTTGCTCAAATATTATATAATACATACTAGTAACTTGGACAACAACAATGTTGCTCAGTGCAACCTTTGGTTATAACACTATCTGTGTCTTTTTCTCAAATATATGAAAGAATCAATAACTTGAAGAATTCTGTACATGTAAGTCTGCAGAAGAAAAGAAGCATGGGTGTAAGAATTGAAATTATGATTTTGACAACTTTTGAATTAAATCTATAGACATTTAACATGTTTTTAATTCAGGAACCTGGCAGAGAAAATCCCCGGTGATATTTGACAGTACTCAGACTCCTCCAAGTTCTCCATCATTTCAAGACTCTGCGTTCTTCTCAACAAGTTCTCGCTTTTCAAGTGTAAGTGAATCTTTAATCAATTATTTAAGTGAATCTTCAAACTTTATTGTGTATTATGTGAATTTTCAATCATTTTTGTAAATTAATCTTCATTCTTCATTTACATGTAAGTGAATCTTTACACATTATTTATGCATTACGATTTGTAACAAATGGCAGGTGGTGACATTTTGCACATTAATGCCTTGTTTATATTTTAGCCTAGACGCAGTATGCCACTGAGCCCTACTCAATTGAAACCTAAATTTCTAATGGGGGCAGGGTCATTCAATAGTCCTACAGTGGAGTCCAACAGGCACACTAGATCAGCATCCATGAAAGGTAACAAAACAAAACCTTTTATTTTCATTTTATTTTTTATTAAATACTTTATTTAGGAAAACATGTAGGATACACATGAGCTGCTTGTACGTGGAGTAGTAAATCACTTTTGGGTACAATGGCTTAGATATATACAAGTATTATGTACTGGTACAATAATAATACAAGGATAGGAAAAATGGTCTTGTTTATATTCACTGGGTTGGTTGCAGAAATTTTATAACATTAAGAACTATCTGTACTAAAGTTAAATTATCAAAAGGACAATATTTATCATAAATCAAATGTTGTATTGTTAGAATCTCCATTGAATATGGTAATTCAGTGTCATATATATAGTTACTGTGATATTTCTGCTAACAGATAACTCTGAGGATGCCTTGGGATTCTTGACCCCACAACCAGGTGGCACTGGGAGAGAAGCGCCCCTAGACAGTGCTCAAGACAATGCTCCAGAGACACGTAAAGGTGAGCATATATTCATAGTAACTACTAGCTACTACTACCTCAGGTTACCCAATCATGGGTCATCAAGGGGCACAACAGCCAGAAGGGGCCTTTAAATGCAAAATACCTAGATATTGACCTTTGACCTCGGAATGACCTTGACCCATAAATGTTGACTTTGGGTCATTTAATCTTGGGTTGCTAGACACACAGGGAGACAGACTATCCTGCCTTAAAGATGGAGATGCACTCTAACAAGACCTCCATTCATTTACATGGATTACTGTCTAATACCATAATATTTTTCTGTTGCTTTTCCGCGGACTGTTTAAATACATGTATGGATTTAAATGCACTGCAACAAGGAAAGATTTGACCACTGATTTTATTTACATGGGAGTAGATATGTTTCAAAGATTCCTAATGAGCATAAGCTTTCAGGTATGCCTACTCATATATGTACATGTAGGTTCGTAATAAGCATGATTTACTTTCATTTGTGTTTAATCATTATATTCTGTAGGTTTCTAATAAGCATGATTAACTTTCATTTGTGTTTAATCATTATATTTCGTAGGTTCCTAATAAGCATGATTAACTTTCATTTGTGTTTAATCATTTTATTTCGTAGGTTCCTAATAAGGATGATAAACTTTCATTTGCGCATAATCATTATATTTCGACGGTTCCTAATAAGCATGATAAACTTTCATTTGTGCATAATCATTATATTTCATAGGTTTCTCTTCATTCAAACAGTCAATAGGGGTAACAAGGGCATCATTGTCAGGGCTTCCAAAGAAGACAAGTGAGCGTCTTCCAGCTCCAATATTAATGTTGTCTTTGTCAGCTATCGCTACTCTGTGTTCCTGTATCAAAACAACATATGAAATTGGCCTTTTGATTTTAAGGGGCATTAGGTTTTAGGAAGAAATTATTTTTGGCTTGAATGATTTAGGAAAACAAGGTTGAGATTTGGTTGTGTTAACTGTTGAAGGTTTTGTCTTCTGAAACACTCTTGATAAGAAAACTAGGTAATGTACGTGTCTGACCATGAATACAAATACAATTCAAGAGCACATTACATTAAATTGATTACGAGTAAAAAATTAATGGGTTACACTTTTGTTTCACACTTAATCAACACAAGAAAAATGTGTTGTAATTCATACATAAAAAATCAAATCAGGTCATGATCATATTGACTTACAGTAGCTTTGAATTTATTGTTTGTCCATCCCTGCATCGCATCACTCTATCACCAATATTGCTCCTGGTAGAGGAGTGGCAGCCACAAACTCACCATCAACAGTCTTGACCTAAAAAAGCAATATTACTCCTTGTAAAGGGGTGACAACTCACTATGAACAGTCTTAACCTGGATGACAATCAAACCAATATTACCAATAATACAAAAGATTGACAGTCAATTTCTGAATAAATTGTATGCATGAGATTCTCTTAGAATGTCATATATTGTATGCATGAGATTCTCTTAGAATGGCATATATTGTATGCATGAGATTCTCTTTGAATGGCATATATTGTATGCATGAGATTCTCCTAGAGTGGCATATATTGTATGTATGAGATTCTCTTAGAATGGCATATATTGTATGCATGAGATTCTCTTAGAATGGCATAAATTGTATGCATGAGATTCTCTTAGAATGGCATATATTGTATGCATGAGATTTTCTTAGAATGGCATAAATTGTATGCATGAGATTCTCTTAGAATGGCATATATTGTATGCATGAGATTCTCTTAGAATGGCATAAATTGTATGCATGTGATTCTCTTAGAATGGCATATATTGTATGCATGAGATTCTCTTAGAATGGCATAAATTGTATGCTTGAGATTCCCTTAGAATGGCATAAATTGTATGCATGAGATTCTCTTAGAATGGCAAATACACTGAAACCTGCTTATCCAACCACCTTCCAATCCAAACACGTTTTTCCATTCCCATTTTTCCTCCCATAGACTCCCATGTTAAAAACCTTGAGATCTGAACACCTATTAATTCGAACTTGATGCAATTCAAAATATTGATATTCCTCAGAAACCCATACCATAACCTATAATACTAGTATTAAGTATATACTAGCAATCTATTTTAATCATAATTTCAATTACCTCCAAGCCGCCAACGTCATCTTGGAATAAGAGACTAAATGATCCAAAGTCTGTATGTTTGCCACACCTAGTTTGTCCCGGGAATAGTGTAAAGTTTTCTGGCACTGGGTAGTAATGTAGTGTACGCACACTGTTGTGATTTGGCTTCCCGATGTTGTGATACTTTTGAAAAGTATCTCTCGGCTGTTAAAAGTAAATTAAAGAAAAGTGGTTTGTTCATGATATAAAAATGTTGGGGGAAAGGGGGTATTAGACATTGTTTCTTTTCAAGTTAGATCATGTTTTTGGGATATATGGGGTTTGTTTTTCTTGACTGATAAGCACTTAGAGTTTGCTTTTTCTTGCTAAGTTCCATTACAATTTTTAGTCCTTTCACCTTGGCACTTGTGCTTAGATATTCATAAGTTTAATGCAAAGTAGTCAGAGGAGTGTAACGACCTGAGGACACACTTCTCTGGGGAGCTGTAGTGTAACGAGCCAGATACTGGCCATGAAAGGAAGTTGGTCAAATTCAATGCACTGTGCACTGTGCAGGAATCAAAACTCAGGACCTTCCACTCCACAGACTGACAATCTACCCCTGAGCCATAAGGGCTAGCTACTTGCTATCGAGGGTCATTTCACCATCCCCCCTGAAGGACAACGTCACCCGTGAAGCAGTAGTGTAACAAGCCAGATACTGGCCATAAAAGGGAGTGTGCTAAATTCAATGCTCCATACTGGAATCAAACCCAGGACCCTCTTCTCAAGCTTGGCGCTCTACCCCTGAGCCATAAGAGCTAGCCTCTACAACTGTGACTGAAATCACAACTTTCTATCGAAGGTCATTACAGAAATATTTCGTTCTTTGTATTATTTTATAAGGATAATGATTGGAATAATGTGAGTGATTTTATAAGAGAGATAAAAAGTGAACTATTTTACCCATCTCAATCCAAGGGCTGTTATCTCTAATAAACGACTGTGGAGCTCCATGCAGGGTTTGATTATATTCAGAGATTTTTCTTTAAACCCTGGTACATATTCATCAGGCCATTCCTACAATAAACATTACAGTTTTTTATCACACCATCGGTGGGATATAGTCATCATAATTATGGCGTGATCGTCATCGTGATCATGAGCTTTTGCCATCACGATTTCAGGAAAGCCGCTCATCAGACTTATATCAAGTTCTATAACTGATTAACATTTGGACATCCATCTTGTTTTCCTGTGGCCATTTTGAAGGTTTTTCGATAAATCTTGTCATTGTCATTTCAGGGAAAACCACTCATCAAATTATCTCCAAATTGGCACACAATATCAAGTTCTAGAGCTGATTAACTTTTGTGCAGCCATCTTGTTTTCTGGTGGCCATTTTGAAGGTTTTTCCAGAAATCTTGTCATTGCCATACCAGGAAAACCACTCATCGGAATTTTCCCCGAAGTCACACACATGATAGAGGATATCAATATCTAGAGCTGATTTACTTTTGGGTGGCCATCTTGTTTTCTGGGCCATTTTGAAGGTTTTTCGATATATCTTGTCATCGCCATATGAGGAAAATTGCTCATCGGATTTTCTCCAAATTCGCACACATGATAGAGGATATCATGTTCTAGAGCTGATTAACTTTTGGGTGGCACTCTTGTCTGGTGGCCATTTTGAAGAAAAATCTTGCTATTGCCATTTAAAGAAAACGGCTCATCAGAATTTCTCCAAATTCCCACACTTGATAGAGGATATCAAGTTCTAGAGCTGATTAACTTTTGGGTGGCCATCTTGTTTTCTGGTTGCCATTTTGAAGGTTTTTCGATGGTGTAATCTCATTCACAACACAAGCCTTGTTGTTGAATGTATATTGTGCATTAATACTCTGGATCCGACTCCTCTATCTGTCTATTGATATGTGTAATTGAGAACCACAAAAGCATCATGTAGATGCGCAAACTTGTATAGAAAGACTGTAAGTCTGTGGTAAATTGGAGTTGGTTGGTTAAATAAGATTTTCAGAAGGATGATCTTATGTGGGATAATAAAGGTATTGTAAATATAAAACCAATGCGTGTATCTTACCCCTTCCCAGGTTGGATAGGCATTGAAGGCTTCCTTCAGATCATCAGCTGACCCTTCGTGGTCACAACTACAATAAGGTGTTATAATTTGAGCGTATTTGTCATACTTAAACCCATTAGATTAAAGAAGGATCCTGCCATTTTATTCTTACTGGACTTATTAAAACTCCAAGAATAAAGTTCTTTAATATACAGTAGACCATCACAGTAGACCGTCACCACTTTTCAGTGAAGTAATTTTCTTTTCAAATGCATCTTGGCATATTCTGATTCTCGCCAAGTCTTTGTTGCAGCTTTAAAAATGTCTGATATGGAAGAATGTTTGCTAACAATCACCCTTGACTTACTGTTCATAAACATGTAGGTGGACTTACTGTTCATGTAAGTGGACTTACTGTTCATGTAAGTGGACTTACTGTTCATGTAAGTGAACTTACTGTTCATAAACATGTAGGTGGACTTACTGTTCATTAAAGTGGACTTACTGTTCATGTAAGTGGACTTACTGTTCATGTAAGTGGACTTACTGTTCACGGAAGTGAACTTACTGTTCATGTAAGTGGACTTACTGTTCATGTAAGTGAACTTACTGTTCATGTAAGTGGACTTACTGTTCATGTAAGTGGACTTACTGTTCACGTAAGTGAACTTACTGTTCACGTAAGTGGACTTACTGTTCATGTAAGTGAACTTACTGTTCATGTAAATGAACTTACTGTTCATGTAAGTGGACTTACTGTTCATGTAAGTGGACTTACTGTTCACGTGAGTGAACTTACTGTTCACGTAAGTGGACTTACTGTTCACGTAAGTGGACTTACTGTTCATGTAAGTGGACTTACTGTTCATGTAAGTGGGCTTACTGTTCACCTAAGTAGACTTACTGTTCATGTAAGTGGACTTACTGTTCATGTAAGTGGACTTACTGTTCATGTAAGTAAACTTACTGTTCATGTAAGTGGACTTACTGTTCATGTAAGTGGACTTACTGTTCACGTAATTAAGTAGACTTACTGTTCATGTAAGTGGACTTACTGTTCATGTAAGTGGACTTACTGTTCATGTAAGTGGACTTACTGTTCATGTAAGTAAACTTACTGTTCATGTAAGTGGACTTACTGTTCATGTAAGTGGACTAACTGTTCATGTAAGTGGACTTACTGTTCATGTAAGTGGTACCCCTGGTACATATAGCTGGTTCCTTGTTCAAGTTCATACTTCTTTTTAATATCAAGTGGAAGGTCAAAGAATCTCTTAGCCATCTCCATATATTCTTCAACCTTTTGAAAGAAAAACAAATTTTGTGTTGATGAGGTTGCCCAAAGTTGGAGACTCTCATAATATGAATATGCTTGTCTGGTTACACTTGAATCTTTAACCTTTTTACCTTCCAAATAATCCATAGGCTTAGTGTGATTGAAAAAAATGTTTGTATAAAGATGGAAGTGAAGTCTAAGAGAATAATATACTATGAACTACAGAAAAGTAACTTTTATATTGACCTAGAACCAAAATGTTTCCTGTTAAGGCTAAAACCACAGAGCTAAAATCCTTACAGAATTGGACCAAAATATAGACAGAGATGTATATAGACTGAAGACCAAAGAGAGGGATTCAAAAGCTTTTGTTCCTAGCCCTAAGGTATTTATTTCTCAATATAATACCTGATCTGAGGTCTATATTACGATTCAAACATGCAAACTCACCAAAATTTGCAAAAGCATCACTCCATTTCCATTTCCACTGCACTGAAGGAAACACTTAATACAGACCAGGTATTGTATCGAAAAATAAATACCAGGTGAAATATTGACTTTGTTCACAGTTTATAAGGCGTGAATACAGTCATGTTCGAATTTATTACACTAACCTGTGAAATATCAAGTCCATGATTTTTCATGTAAAATAATCCAACTTGTATGAATGCTTTGTGGATCTCATCTGCTAATGGGGCCAGTTCAGCTTCACTAGGTGTTGGATGACCACCCTTTAATGAATAGCCACTGAAATCAACCACTGGGATCATAATTCCTATTACGTGCTCAAAAGATTCTTCCTCGGGCTTTCGTTTGTGCCACACGTTTTTTTCCTAGTGTTTTCTGTATGAATTGATCAGGAAATATCCCCAAAAATTAAATCTATGTAAATTCTTAGCACCTTTATACAAACTTGTGTTATATGATTGAATTCTTGAGGAAGTGCATGTAGTTATGTTAATGCTATTTGCAATGTTTGTCAGTAAACATGTTTGCATTTTGTCTGCATTACTTGAGCATGGATTGTAAGCTGTCATTACGACCTTTAAAGTAGACCCACATGATAAGATTAGTAAATATTAATGAAATGGGTAATATCTTTTCACGTTTTTATCTGGATATTTACATTAGTTATTTAGTTATTAGTTAATTATGGTGCAAATTATTGTTTAATATCAAAATATTACGATCAATTGTTAAATGATTTTCTACAATTTTTTATCTATCAGCTATTTGGTGAAAATGCAGAACTTCCTTAATGATGTATTTAATAAATTACTCAGCTGAAATAAACAGGTCACTTATTCTATGAAATATATTGCAGTTGTTTACAGGCCAGGGAACCTGAACTAAATAATGCGTACACTTCAACTTAAAGCATGGATATTCTGTAATTTAGATATACTGTCTTACATATTCCTAGGTTAGAGTAAGAAATGAATACAAAATTAATGGTGCGGTGTATGCTATATTGAACATCCCCCTCTATCACCAATAATCGATACATACTTCCATGTGTTATATATCATAGGAAAGCTTATTCATTATGTCTTATGTATCATATGAAAGCTTGTTCAATTGTTGATTCATTGAAATACATCTAATTAAGCTCAACAACTAACAGCTTTACAACTTCCAATATATGATGCTCATTATGTTATGTAATCATTATTTATCATCCTTAACTATGTAATTTAAATCAATACAAAATTGAGCCCATGAGATTTTAAAATATACGTTCATTTTCATAATGCTTAGCATCAAAATCTATTTTTGCTTTGTATAAAATTTAGTCTAATGTTTTATTCTTCTGCTTTTTTCAGCATCACGAAGCGGATCTTTGAGTAATCTGCAATTGTTATATAATCATCCAATCACAGAGTTGACGTCACATCGAAACAAGATGCTCATCATTGACATCTCAGCTAACGATATTCAGTCAATGTCTCCCCTAGCAACAGCCAAAAGAAATATACTGACTGGCTTTGAGTTTGTTGAACGATTAGACGTCAGTCAGAATAAATTGACGGAATTCCCGGGTGAACTATTGAGGGTGAGTTAAGTATTTTTTCTTCGACATTATTGTGTTAATTACTGAACAGTTACAAGCCGATGCCATAAGAAAACTACTTCTAAAACGATATGAAAAGGGCAATTAACTCTCATCTCCCTCATAATTATTGAAATAATGAAATATTAAGAAACATACCACTTCAGGCTTGAGATTTTTCTAGTGTTCTGTATCTGACAAAAATTATGAATTCAATATTTCACTGAAGATTATTATCCAATGGTACACCATTTGCTGTAACTCAAATACCGGTTCTCTGATTCATTCCTTTAAAAGCCTGATGCCTCATGGACACAAAATGGCCTCTACATATATCTTTCATTGACTCTTAATCATGTCTGTCTCTCTTACAACTTTCTACAACTCTGCCAAGTTTGTTGCTTTCCTGAAAAAGATGAACTACGAAAGGGACATCTGACTGGGCTATCTGGCATTTTGTAAAAGTGTCTCCTATTGTTGGATTTGCATTTTAGTGTAGTTGCTGTTTTTTTAGTTTTATCCAAGCAAGTGCATTTTAGAATTCAAATTGTGTAATTTTATATTTCCCTTCTCTCAAACATATATGTATAAATCACTACAGGTTTTTACATGTGTTTTTATTACAGTTTATAAACATATATGATGTACACATCAGTTATATATAAAAGTTTAAAAAAAGTTTTTGACACTAAATCCAAAATCACCAAACTGACAATGGTTGCTTTGGAAGTAGATTCCTATCATATTTGCCAGGAATGATAACTTTATGGAGAACCATACCATTGAGAGCCAACACCTCCAGAGAACCTTGTCTATGAGGATAGCGATAAACTATGGGATAGCACTTAGTAATACTGGCACAGTCATATTTTGTTTCTTTCTGCGGTAGCTCAAAATCGTGGTCCCATATTCCAATCATGCACCAAAATTCTGGTAGCAATGTTCTCAAATAATACAAGGTGTCCCTGGGAGTAGGAAACCATTCCGAATTAAGCGGTCTGAATTTGGTCGGAAAAATCTTCTCCTTTAGATATATCTTCTTATCAGCGATTTGCCATAAGTGGGTTTTGTTGCTCTGGAATATGCTGATATCAGCGAATGGAAATTTCCATATGTATCTTCCAGCATAATTATCTCGACACCTGAATATTTTAAACAAAATTAGCTTTGTCGTGTCACTTAAGACACGTGTGAGTTCTTCACCTCTATGGGATATATCTGTTCTGTTGTCACATGACCAACGAAATAGGCTAATTTCACTATGTTCGTACTCATGCACATATAATCCATTATCAGTGGTCTTAATCATATGAATGAGGAACTTAACAACTTTTGGAATGTCGGTGTCAAGTATATTCAAATCGACATCATCATCCCAAGGGAGGTAGTCATGGAATAGATAACTTCCTATGGCGGCTCCACCGACTATAACAATGCTTACATTCCCAGCTGTGAAACTCCTATTAACATATGAGATGAGATTCGTGTAGCTTTTGGCTTGATTTCTGTCCAGGCCAATGGAGCGATCAAGTGGTGGTTTGCAGTTTGTCCATACAGATGTATTCAGTTTTTGTCCAGTGTAATGCAGCGGGGAAACATCTGAAATAGTGTTCAAGGTCTATTGTTCATAAGTTGCATAAAGGTTGCTCGCAAAGGAAGAGACTCTCAGCTACCGCAATCACTCCAAAGAGTGCACAGTGGCTTATTGAAAAATAGCAATATTAACCCCAAAACAAATTTTTATGGGTGATAATACATTGATTTTCATTAACTTTTCGCTGAATTTACTGCATATTTGAACTGTGCATAGTTCCTCACTGGAAGTGAAAATTTTCAGGACTCAGGACTTTTCATTTTTCTCCCATCTTAGGAATGATTTATGGCACTTTTGAAGTTATATGTGCGCTCATTAGGGCCTGTGCGCTCTTTGGCATGATTACAGTATGTGTACCTAATGAGGATTTAGGGGTTATTCGAGGTATTTTATGAGATATTAGGGATGTTAAGCTACACAATTTTCAGTGAATTTGGGCATGAACATGTATGATTTTGGTCCTCCAGGAATATGTACCCCTTTTGTAGTATTTGCTTGTAAATAGGTCCCTGAAAAAACAGTTAAAGGGTGATGCATACATTGTAGCATTTAGCAAATCGAACGCTTGTTTCTGGTATTGCTCTCTGTTTAGTATAAAAGGCCTGATCCCAGAATAAAACTCAAGGGTTCACAGGCTCGAGGTCGTTGTGTCAAGACCTCTAAACGTATAGCATTAGTATATTATGCATCGTCACACATTTATAAAAGGGAGATTTTTATTTTGACAAATCAATGTCACATTTATGGGTGAAGTTTCGGGATCTTATATGACTGTGTAAGGAATAAGGAAAAATTGACATCTAAATTTCCCAATAATGTATTCATACACAGCTTGGCATCTGAAATATCCATATGAAGCAAAGCAGATCTAATACAATTTTTATTAGCTGTTGTATATGCATTCTTTGAACAATCACTCTCTCAATAATGTTTTCAAAATCATTATAAATGGATTACTTTATCTCCAAGACAATTTCAATTAACTGGATTTTACAAAACTCCCCATTTTTCTTAAAAATGGACTGATCCAGTTGACTCACTTGGAGCCGCCATATTTTTTTGCTAAAGTTAATCAAAAGTACAAAAAATGGCAGCCATGTTTTTTTGGTAAAGTTACAAAATTTTGTATCGGTTTTCCTTATATGTGAATGCGCTTCCTGACTAAAGAGATATGTCAAAAAAAACTTCACATTTAAACGCATTTTTCATAACTATTAATTGGAGGTGCACGGGTCCCCAAAGCTGGCATGAAGACCATGAAATGAGGCTAACTTTTGAAAGTTTCAAGGAGTAGGATTGCAACAGTTACACATTTGCAATAATCCAAAATTTCCACAAATCATCTTACCTTACCAAGGAACATCGAAGGAGCATGAAAATACGCACTTCTTGCTTTTTTAGAGTCTCTTCAGTCAGGTAATGCATTCTCATATAAGGAAAACAGATACACAAAATCTTGTGACTTTATCAAAAATATTTGGCTGCCATTTTTTGTACTTTTGATCAACTTTAGCATTACCTTAAGAAGACAGTGATCCCTGGGGGTCATTGTAATTCATGTTCCTGTTCTGTGAAGGTTTTTATTATAAACATCTGTAGCTTTACCTCCCTACTGTTTGTTAACTTATACTTAAATGTTTTTGTGTTATATTATTATCTCCTACTTTGCTTGTTGATTGTCATTTATGTGTCTTTTATGTAGTTTTATGAATAAAGAAATTCTAAATGTCATTTATGTGTCTTTTATGCAGTTTTATGAATATAGAAATTCTAAAAGGACCATATACATGTAAGATATAAAATATAGCCCGATTTAGATCTAGATGTAGACTATATTTTATGTCTTATAAGATTCCTTTATCCCTCATTATATAATTTTGAATTAAATCGAATACATGTAGGAAGGAAAGATAATTCAGAATTACCATATTGCTTGTCTACATCCACAGATACATCAAGTTCTAGTTTTGGGTAATAAGTCATTCTGTGTATTTCCCTTCGCTGGTAGATGATAAAATATAATATGATGCCGCATAGGAGGAAAACAGCCAATAGTTTCAGCGTCCTTCCTTTAAATCTCATATTTGAAGTCTCTCTCTAAAGTACTTTAATGCTGCTATATTGTACTCACTGTGTTATTTTCAAGCACTCATAACTCATTCTGTATTTAGTCTACCTCTATAATTAGTTGAGGGTTGATCATTTTCAACAATGTTTGAAAATAAAGATTTCAGTGACCTACTAATAATTTAAAAGTACAAAAAACATTGAATTTGAATATGAAAGTACCTGCAACTATTCATATTTAGTTGATTTGGACCATGTGCTTTCAATTACCAGTTGAAAGCCCATTGTTAGACATGAAATATTGAATTTGTGAATGCCATTTAAGCTTGTAGGATGATCAAGCAAGGTTAAGGATGCCAATTACTCTAAATGAAAAATAAATGGATTATTAGCAGTATATGCAATAAGAATTCAACCTATTTGCAACTCGCACAATTTACATGCCTGAAATATAAATGGCTGAATGTCCTTTACATAAAATAAGATTATAAATGGTATAAAATTGATCTTCAATATGGTAGTGATAGTACCAGATAACAACATAACTCCATTTCTCTATTTCTTTAACCCCCCCCCCCCCTCCAAAATAACACCATAATCTTTGTAAATCCAGCACCTTGAAATCGGAACTCTTTTGACAGAACCAATAATAAAGTTAAACAGGTTATACACATCTTCGCACGCTCCGGTCTTCACTATGACGGGAGCCAAGTGAACGAAGATCATCTTAACCCAGGGTTATACAGGTTTTACTGTATACTATATTTTCCTTACAGTTTTTCATGTAATTATTAGTCTTAAAGGTAGGGAGTACTAATTTTGGACTTTATTTCTCAGTTTTAGTTGAAAAAAGTCTTATGAATATATTTTTGTAAAATTTGGTGAGGCAGGTGCCTCCCCTGCCTCATGGCTACTTTACGCCCATATATGGAATGATTTATCGCGATATATCACAAACAATGTAAATGTTTAAATGTGTTTCAGTTTATGCCGCATCTACAATCATTAGATCTACATGATAACAAACTTCATCTATTCCCCACTGAGATCTTTAGCTGCAATAAGCTGTGTACCCTAGATCTGTCACATAATGAAGTAAGTATAGATATTTTCATGGAAATGGCAGCAAAAGCAAATTTTTTCCTGACTACTACAATTTGCCTCATATTCATGGATAAAGATATAAATCATTTAAAATTCATTGTCAAAATCGTTTTGATTGTTCTAATACATTAATTTATAATATAAGCTTTTTAACTTTAGGCTAGATGCAGATATGTCTCCGAGTCATTATTGTCTCTTTAATTTTGTCTCATATGCGTAGTGAAGTACTGGCTTAGGCATTCTTATCCAACCAAACACTTGTAGTTTGAGTAAAGATACAGAGAAATCTGCAATGTGCAATTTGGTTCAAATTTCACAATCAAATGCCTAATATGGGCATATGACCTCTCCCTGAGAATAAGTATCCAGTATGGCCACTGAGCGTTGAAATCATTTTAATACTTTTCAGATAACAGATTCCAGTGATATTCCTGACACTAGTTTGTTTAGTTTGAAAACCTTCTACATGGCACACAACCAGCTGTCCTCGTTTCCCCAGTGGGTTAGTTCATCTCTACCTGGGCTGGAACAACTTAACTTAGCCAGGTAATTCCCTAGTATAGTTTAAGATAAATGTGCATTATAAAAAATGTATGTAATTTTCATGATTTTAATTAAAGAATATATGTGAGTAATATTGTTCACATGTGAATATATACACATTTTGGCAAAATACATAGTACACTTGTATATGCTACTCTATTGCTCTGATGGGATTCTCGTAATTTTTTAAAAGTGTTTCCTTGCCTATAAGAATTTAATGGGCATCCAATAAAGCTATAATGATAATATAATAAGGTAACTCTAACCCATGCTTCCTGTGGATCAGTGCCTCTGTGAATTGAAATATATATCCCAGTGTCTCATGATAGTAAACTATAAGCTAAACCATGGGCTTTCAACTAGATTAAAGCCCATGGCTAAACCAATCTGTACTTCTTTTGGTTTTCTCATTGAGATACTCTGCATTAACACATCATGAGATACAACAACCTCCTATCAGTTTTCTTTCTATTCTTTGCAAGGCTGAGATGGTCTGAGTATCAGAATGGCAGTAGTACAATTTTGTCACTCTACAAGCCAAAAATGCTGTCTTTGATCTAGCATATTTTCAATTAGAATATATAGACAAAGAAACACCTGGATTCTGAAATAAGAGTGTATTTTCAGCAACAAGATACAGGTCCTACCAAGCAAGCCCCTGCTGTTGAGGAGACTACTATCCCTCAATCTATCCTACAACTACATCAAATGTATTCCCGACGATTTCCTCAAAGAACTTAATATGTTAGGGACACTCACAATGGCCCATAATGAACTCGGTATGTCCAATTTTATTTTTTCCTTGTATATAATATGTTAAGCCTGTGAGTCAAATTTTAAAGATTAAATTACATCTTACTGATCTTACATCTGTGGAAAAAATTGAATTTAATTATAATTTAACCCCCTTCTCCTATTTTAACTTCCAGCCTAAAACTTTTCTGGCAACCATCCGATTCTGCAATTAGACCGAGTGACAACATACTTAAAATCCGATGAACATACCCTGTACATGTAAATGCAAATAAAAACCCAATTTTCTAATGTTATGCTGTTTGACATCGCATTTGGTTGTAGATGGTTTACCACCTGAGGAGACAGCCAGATTGTTGACGAGACTTGCCACCGTAAACCTTTCTAACAATCAACTTGGTGAAAAGGAACCTCAATTCATTCCTCGATTCCTCATGCAGTTAAACAGGTATTAGTGCAAACAAAACAAATAGTAAATACTCATACTGAATATTCAGCTAGTTGATCCCCAGGCGGCCCCCAATATTCACTAAGTAAATGGGAATTGAAGTAACAAGTAAAGCTGTTATAATGGGGAAGATATGGCAAGTTTGAACCACTTTAAACAAAGTATAGAATGTGGTATGGACATGCTCTTTCACTTATCTTCAGCAAGATTCAAGGACATCATCCAATCTGAAAGAAAGAACAGAGTGGATGCTCCTGTATAATGCTGAAGCGATTGAGGAGCTTCTCATGTAATACATTATATTGATATAAATAAATATGAGTAAATAAGAAAAACAAAAAAACAGAGTGGATGACATCTGGATCCCTGCATTTGGAGTATGTTTTTAATGTACCTCTTCATTGCTGTATGTACTTTCAGCTTGAAGTGTTTGGATCTGAGCAGTAATGGGCTGACAGGATTTCCTGGTCCTTCCTCCTTTGCTGCCCAGGGAATGAGAGAGCTCTTCCTGCAGAGGAACAGTATTGTCAAGGTAAGATATTGTATGTTTTATTACATCACCACCAAGAGGTTGTGACATTGGAACAGTGAGCATTTTTAACATATTGTCACACTTTTTCGATAATTACTAGTGCAGTATTATTTTATGAAAGTACCTGATGACCTTGATGACTGTATGGATGACATATCACATCTAGTATGAGTCAGTTCTTATAATGTCAAAATATTTGTGACTGGTATTTGATGTCTGTAACAATTGTTACACATTTGTAATCATTTGTACATGTAGGTAGTGACATTTTGCCATGTTTTGTAATCAAAGTAAATCATTGTATTCTTCCACAAAGAATTAGTTCGTTCAACCAAAATGGTCGCATTGCTAATTGTATTGAAGTTGTTCTTTAGCTGCACTAGATTTTAAATATGCATATGCAAGTGTTGCAGAATTATTGGAAGATAAATAAATGAAAAAAATATTGAAAAAACCATTTCAGCTGAACCTGGAGAACAATGCTAAACAATGGCTGACAATGGAAAGGCTCAATCTAAGCCACAATAAACTAACTGAGGTCAGTATCCCATCTCTTATTGAACACCCTGTAAATTGAAATTCCAAATCAAAAAGTGCTTGAAATGTGTAAAACAGCAATTAGAATTGGAAGACCTAAAAGAGTGATTCCTTACAATGTTACTTATTGACTTTTTTAATTTTATTTATGTATTGCTTATGACGGTATCTGACATATAAATACATCTTATGTAAGCCAATAAAATCCACCATCTCATGAATTATACATGTATAATACATGCCATCTATTTTTATGGATTGCCATGTACCTCATAATATGTTTTTCAAACTACTGGCTACTATGAGACCAAAGATTTGAACTACACCAATAAACACTGTATACTATGTTATTTTAGCTTCCTAAAGAACTTGGGTACTGGGTGTCACTAACTTCCCTGGACATAAGCCATAACTCCGGCCTTACCAATCTACCTGACCAGCTGGGGAAACTCTCCAAGCTGTGGGAAGTATGTATTAATACATGTGATAAATATGCACAAAGTTGAGTAAAGAACATGTCCAAATATCAATGTTAATGTAAATGTTAATGCAAATATTGTAATGTTTTTCTGATCAGAAAATCAAAAATGTCCTTTTAAAATGTGTCAATACACCTACTGGCTTTAAAAAGACTTGAAACCCCATGATACCCCACAGGATACAACATAACATTTTCTACTGTTTTGAATTTTCGATCAACTGACTTTAAATCTGATATATTAGAGTGCATCAGTTTGGGGATTTTAATCTCCACTGTTAATTCAGTCTACCATTGAGTAAGCTCATTAAACTGGCATTTCCCTTGTGTCTGCTGTCAAGTATACTCATTCAAAACGCAAGTAATTGAATAATAGCAGAACACAGGTGCAAAGCAAGTGAAATGGTCCAAACTGATAAGAATTAATGTTCATTGTCTACATTGTCTACATTTTAAATCAAATATCACATAAAGAGTGAAAGAAATGTCACAGTATATTTGTATACATGTCACATCATGTCACCTATTTGTATACATGTCACATCATGTCACAGTATATTTGTATACATGTCACATCATGTCACAGTATATTTGTATACATGTCACATCATGTCACAGTATATTTGTATACATGTCACATCATATCACAGTATATTTGTATACATGTCACATCATGTCACGGTATATTTGTATACATGTCACATCATGTCACAGTATATTTGTATACATGTCACATCATGTCACGGTATATTTGTATACATGTCACATCATGTCACAGTATATTTGTATACATGTCACATCATGTCACAGTATATTTGTATACATGTCACATCATGTCACAGTATATTTGTATACATGTCACATCATGTTACAGTATATTTGTATACATGTCACATCATGTCACAGTATATTTGTATACATGTCACATCATGTCACAGTATATTTGTATACATGTCACATCATGTTACAGTATATTTGTATACATGTCACATCATGTCACAGTATATTTGTATACATGTCACAGTATATTTGTATACATGTCACAGTATATTTGTATACATGTCACATCATGTTACAGTATATTTTCAAACAGGGATAATGATTGTTAATTTAATTAATTTTCCAGTTTCCCCTCGATGGCTTAAACCTCAATTTGGATGAAAGTATAAGAAAAGGAAGAACTAAAGATTTGATTGTCTATCTCCATGAGAAGTTGAAAAAGGTTTGTTTATTTTTCACCTTCTTTAATGTTATATTGCATTGTGTAATCTGACCTTTTATGTTTTAGTTAATTTTTCAATTATGCTGTTCATGTTACATAATATTTATCTTGTATGTGTAGTCAAATGTTAAATGTTGAATAAATGTTTTTGTTGAAAGTTGAATCAGATATTACATCTGGATCAATATACTGAAACAATTTAAATTGGTGAATATCATGAGATAAAAGCTTAATAATTCACATTCACATTTTAATGATTTTTTCATTATTTCATTAAGTTAATATGATTTTTTATCACACCATCGGTGGGATATAGTGGTCATACTGGTCGTGGTCGTGATCGTGATCGTCCCGCTTTTTGTCATCGCCGTTTAAGGAAAACTGCTCGTTAGATTTTCTATAAATTTGCAGAGATGATAGAGCATATGAAGTACTAGGGCTGATTAACTTTTGGGTGGCCATCTTGTTTTCTGGCGGCTATTTTGATGGTTTTTCGAAAAATCTTGTCATCGCCATTTCAGGAAAACTGCTCATTGGATTTCCTTCAAATTTACACAAATGATAGAGGATATCAAGTACTAGAGCTGATTAACTTTCAGGTGGCCATCTTGTTTTCTGGCAGCCATTTTGAAGATTTTTCGAAAAATTTTGTTTCTTGTTCTTGAAATTTGTTAACATAATAGGAGAACAGTTTTCCTGGTTCATAGTGTCTGCCTATTTGATGATGGTGTGATCTCGTTCACGTCCTGTGCCTTGTTTCCCTGGCCATTACAATTCATCATAAAATATCATACTATATTAAGTTATTGAATGATTTGAAGTGCAATTACAGGATATATTCTGCTTGAGAAATTCCCTATTGAATCGAGACGAAGTCGAGTGCAAATACAGAATATCGAGTGCAGAATATATACTGCATTGCACTTCAAATCATTCTATAACATTTTTATTGTGTGATCCTCTGTATTGCTATTGAGAATGTCCCCTCGATAACAATATTTTCTCTATTGCGACGGAGATGATCAATGGGGACAATCTCAGTAGCAATACAGATTGGTACAGCACAAGAACTGACCAATCAGACGGCTTAATTTTACAGATCATACGATAATAGTCTATATTATCCCCAGCAAGTAAAAACTGAACTCCACTAGGACTGACCAAAAGTGTTCAGATTAGCAAGTGTTCAGATTAGCAAGTGTTCACATGTCAAGGTTTTTGTCTTAATATGGGAGTCTTTGGGAGATAAATTATAGACCGAGAAAAAGTGTTCACATGGAGAGACGTTCAAATTAGAGAGGTGTTCAGATATACAGGTGCCAATGTATAGTGTTGTTTTCTTCCAAATTTTGGAAGGGAAATAAATAGTAATTACCAATGTCTTCTGACTGTAAAATTATGTATACATTAGCTTTCTATAGAAGAAAATATAAAAATGGAAGAGAAAGTTATATAATAAACTATTTGCATAACTTAAAGAATGGAGAGCTATATCAATATTTAATTGTCCTACAATGGTACACTAAAATGGTAATAAATTTATTAAATTATTGAGTTGTCATTTAAATATAAGCTGGAAAGACCTCTCAAATACTGAACATAGGTTTTCTTGAAATTCAATTTTGAAAATTAAACAGAAAAATGACATTGCTTTTAATTTTACTATGTTTACAATACAATATGTTTTAAAAACAGAACTAGAATATAAAATATCTCTTTAGACGTAACAATCGAATGTTCTTATAAAGGAAATAGATCCCGAACGCAGCAACGAAACCATTTAGTATTATAAATAACTGAACAGTTTGCTTGGAGGTTGTTTTGCTTAAATTTTGCATATCCTCAACTGCTCTACTTAAGTTATAAACATGGTTCCATTCAGTGTTTTCATATGGTGTAAGGTTTTCAGTTAATGTAGGGTCAATCTTTTCACTTTTTCTTGTCACTATATCACTGCTCATTTCAGTCTTTTTTTCAAGCATATCTCTTATGTGCCTTTGCAACTTCTCGTCATTTGCTGCATTTGTATGTTCAGGAGGTGTATTCTGCTGAAGGATCTTATCTAAATCAAATGATGGGTCATATTGGTTGGTAAACACCACTTTATCAGCTGGATCATGTAAATGCACGACGCATCCACGATTTGAGCCATCAGTGCCATGTGATATTGATATCAGGGTATTGTCATCATTTACCTTAAGTTTAATCTCAGTTTTTGAATCTGAGTGTGGCATTATTTGGACATCTTTTAAAGTGATGCTTGGAGAATGGAGTATGTAGAAGACATCTGTTGTCCTGCCCTGGAGATTGCTCGATATGTTGAGGTTGCTCAATGACCTTTTTATGTTAACTCCTTGAGAGGTCACTACTTCAGTTATGTTCACATCTGGTTGGTTCTCTGAATCTGCCACTTTAACAATGATTCGATACTCTTCATCATCGATGACCATTTTGGCTCCTTTGTGACTAAAGTCATTGAATGGTTGGAATTTATTTTGATAGTTATTGAAGTATGTACTCCAATGGGTCAAAGAGCTGTCAGTGGCAACTTCTACACGATCGGATATCAGAAGAAGCTGACTGTTTAGTAACAACAGATGCCTAGCAACAGATTTGAGCTTTAGAGATTTAGGGTATGCTTTTGCAGCCTCTCCTACGATGTACAGCATACCCTGCATTTGGCTCACAAATACTATTTTAGCATCCATCCATTCTGTCACTCCTTTGACTGGTCGATATTCCAACCATTTAGCACAGTCCTGAATCTGACCTGCCCATGGCTTGCTACATTTGCTGGCTGTTGATGGACTGAACATCATCACATTATTTGTATAGGTCCACTTCATAGAGTACAATCCATCAGTGACAAGTAGTTTTCCATTAGGGGCAAACACAAATGAGTTCTGGTCTGGGTGTTCGTGCCCTGGGTTGAAATTAGCCCAGGATAAACCTTTATGTTGTTTTTCAACAAGGGCTGAAACGACTCTACCATGAAGCTTACTGGATTTGAATGAAAGAAATGTTGCTCCATCTTTGAGGTCCTGTCCCCCTCCATAAGTGACCACCCCCCAATCTGGGAATATGCGAAGAGAGGGGATGTCATTTTTGATGGGAGGGGTGGCATTTATGGATGGATCATACCATAGAAATTCCGTATGGTGGGTAGTCCAGCGCTGATTGACTCCAGGTGATACACCATGTTTCCTCGCTGCCCGGATTTTTCCTGCCAACCAATTACCCCAGCCATTTCTCAACACAAAACTATCTAGATATGTCAATTGACTCTCTGGCCCATACCACCAGTTTATATTACAGTCTGCTATAGCTACATTTTCTTTGAATCCAGGTAATAAGGTTGAGAAGTAAAACCAGAAGTGTTCTCTGAGCCATGAATTATTGCTATGGTCAATATCAAAATGTCTCTTCACCAAGAACAGGTATTGGGTCAATGTCCGAGTTGTGTATGCCCCGTATGATACTCCTTCATTGAGAGAGCCATCTCTTATCAAATCCAGTAAGTACATGTTGCCCTCAAGGAGTGTCAATGTTTCCTTTATCCATTGATTAGCTTCTTGTGTATGTACTGATGCGATTATAGCCCCAGTTAGGAGGCCAACCATGTTGGATGCTACATGATTCTGAATGTAAGACTTGCCCCAAAAGCGTCGATGTGATTTCTGATACATATCTCTTGTCGTATTGATGATCTTATTTAAATACATTTGCTGACGCTGGGCATCGAATCTGTCATAAAGAAAATCAAATACTGTAGCATAGCCAATAAGAGAGTGCGATATCGGGACCTCATCCGCAGACATAGCCTGTACCAACCAATCAGGGTATTTGGTCAGTTGGTCCATTGAGTCCTGGATGAATGTGAAGGCCTTGTCATCATCTGGATAGATTAAAAGATACATGGCCAAAGGAGGCAAAACATTCCCATAAATCTCATTCCAGGATCCGGCGAATTTAGAGTATTTCCCAGGAGGCATGGTTCTTTCTTTCCATTTGAGGATGTCATATCTAGCTTTCTGTAGGTCTTTGGCAATATGTTCATGTGTTGTCTCTGCTTTATGTTTAAATCCAGAGATGGCATGATTGTCAAAGTATAACATAGGGTGACGGTTTGCTGTTCTCTCGATATCAACTAGTTTTGTGACATTAAAATGTTTGTTGTATATCCGTGTTAACAATGTCCCATGAGCCATCCAAAATATGCTGAATAGAATTATCAGTTTAGTAACATGTTTATTCATTTCCATTTTGAGTTTCTGTATGATCTGTATATTCATATTTTACTCTCTTTATTGGATATATTCAGTTTAGTCTAAGCCATATGACAAAGCTACTACCAAGAATTTTCCATAGATTTCTTTACTTTAACTTCAATGGATTTAAATTGATTCTTAATGTGGTATTGTCCTTGGTTTTAGTGATTCTTGTTGTATATGGTGAAATTACTTAACTATAATTTCTGCTCTGGTGGTTGCAAGATCAATAGTGTGAAAATAGTTATCTTATTAATAATTTATATTGTATGTATTTTATGCTATATTTGAAATAGTAGAATTTATATATGTTTTTTGTTAAGCTTCTGCTCTGGATTTTGAGAATTGAAAAAGCAATATGTGCTTTATTGATTGAAAAGCTATTTAGTGTAGCTGGTTCCATGACTTCATTGTTTTAGATTAAACTAATTATATTTTGTCATACAATTCCTAAATCATTAAGGTAGACATCATTCTTGCTCATTTTTAAAGGTGAATAGAGCCATTATGTAAGAAATCAAAAATATATTTTTAAAGAACCCCTTTTCTTATCTCTTGGAACTCTTTTTGAACTTTTCATCAAATTGAATTGACTTGAGATACTGAAAAAGACTAGTATTGGTTTGGAGAACGAGTTCATCAGTCTACTGCACGATATGCCTTTTTGGACAATTTTGATATTTTTACATATGTAGATTTAAATGTCCTCTTTTGAATACACATAATTTAATTTGGGTGATATTTTTGTAACAAATTCTTAAAACCTCCAATGTCTTAGCAAATACTGTTTAGACTGACTTCAGTTTTTTTCAAAATTATCTTTAAGTTTTTGGAAGTTCAAATCAGACTTTATATATAAGATTTGCCCTTCAGTGACCTTTTCGAGGTCAAAAAAGGTCAAAAAGGTATTTTTAAACTTGCTTTAAATTGACCAAATTTTGTTTCAAAAGCGTCTTCAAGTTATCAGAAGTTAAAATCTGACCTTATATATATATTTTTTTTTAAATCATCCACAAGTTATCAGAAGTTCACATCTGACTTTAGATTGGAGATTTGACCTTCAATGACCTTCTCAAGGTCAAAAAAGGTCAAAAAGGTATTTTTTCAACTTGCTTCAAATTGACCAATTTTGTTTTTTCAAAATCATTACAAGTTCTCAACAGTTTAAATCTGACAATAGATTTGACTTTCAATGACAATCTCAAGGAGGCTCAAGGTCAAAAAAAGATTTCACCTTCAGTACCTGCTATTACAGTTTTATATATTTTACCTGAATTACTGTAAAATATGCACCAAAATGGCCACCATTTTTAAATTAGCAGTCATTTTGGAAATTTGCTTTCGAGCAGAACTTCGTTTGATGGGATTATAAGCTATTGTTAAATGTACTATGAATGCATAGTATTAATTATATTATTATTTTTTTGTATTAACAGATCATCCTATAGTCTCTTCACAATATTGACATTATGCATTTATTGGTCAATATAATATATCTGCCCTTAGGATCATCCTAATATTGTGAACCTCATAAAGGATACTCTCTATATTTATGTACTGTATGTACATGTACATGAACATAACTCACAGGTATTTTTATTTAGTCTGTGGAGTACTACCGATGCAAACTGATGCTAGTAGGCTATGGGGCTAGAGGGAAGTCAACACTTCTATGTGCTCTTGTCAAGGAAAAACACCCCGATAAAAGCTATGCTACTGTAGGCATTTTAGTGAAAGATTGGAAGTAAGTATATAGTTCATATGCAGGCATGGTTATATGACATATTTTACCAAAAACATGTATTCTTTACTGGTTTCTTTTTAGCTCACATGGTTTGCCCCACTCATCATCTGTTAATTCATCCATATGTTTGTCAATCAATCTGTTTGTTCATTCTTTCTGTTTGTCCATCTGTCCATCCATCCGTCAATCAGTCCATCAATCCTTCTGTCTTTCCATACTTTCCTCACACTCACACCCTTTACCATGTCTTTGGTGTTGAAGCCCTTTCTTTTTCTCTTCCTCTTTTCTATAATACTGTGATTTGTGAATCTATTTTTAATATTTTGTGGACAAATCCCATGCAGTGTTTTTCTAGTGCTTTATGGATATCTGGATTTTAATGACACCTATATGTGCCTTTCATTGACTCTGAAGCCTGACAATGTATCACATCTAACCTGTATTTTTGGTTCCAATATTTGTTTGTGGTAAAGCTTCAAAATCTAAGAGAAAATATCTCTACATTTATTGCAGGTTTAGCAGACGTAAGAAGGATCGTGTTGTAACTTATAACCTAAGCACCTGGGACTTTGCAGGCCAGGAAGATTTCTACAGCACCCACCAGTGCTTTATGTCGCATAGGTAACTAGCATAGGTTGTCAAATATTGGGAAATAAAATATGGAGTTCATTTATTTAGCACATTTATGTAATTATTTGATTCACAAATGATTGTTACTGTTGTACTATTGACTATACATTTTCATTTCCAGTACCCATTTTATTGCCTATTAATGTAATATTTTTCAATGCATTTCAAAATGGTATCTTTCATTATATTGTCTAAAAATAATTAAATCTGTATATTATTTCTCATTGTGTCTTAGGTCCCTCTACCTTGTAGTGTATAACCTCGAGAATGGGCAGTCGGAGATTGCAACATTACGTCCCTGGCTGTTGAACATCCAGGCTAGGGCCCCACATTGCCCTGTCATCATAGTTGGGACACATCTTGACCTGCTTCCTAAAGGTAAACCCTTTTCACGATTTAACATCTTTGTCCCACACTCTTTAAAGAGATCGAGTCATCCAGATTTCTATTCTGGACAATCAGTAATGTCCCAATATAATTGCTCATAAAACATCATATATACCTTAGATATATCTTGAGACCAAATCATAAGCACGATATCGACAATATATTGAGGATATCAACAGGACAACCAAAAGAACAACCAACTATCAGAATTGAACGCAATAAGTCGAAAACAGTATACATGTACAATGTTTTTGGGGGGATTTATCTATATTGTAACCCCTTAGAAGTAATAAATATGGCTTCTCTTAGCCAAAATAATCTGAAGGAAAAAGCCAATCAGACTTGAACAAATTTGAGCGGGCTTTTTATTAAATTTAATTTGAATTTCTATTGATGTAAGTGGAAATTCATGGCTAGGAACAATCATAGAATTGATACTGTTAACGAATTAATTCAAGCCTCAGAATTGATAAGTTGATAAACAAACTTGCTTTACATCAAATAACATGAAAAAATCAGGGGGTTACTCTAATTGTGTTTTTAGGAGACCCGATCTCTTTAAATAAGTGATAACCCTCTAGCTGACCTGGCAATGCATAGCCTGCCATTCTGAAGAGCCACAATTTCAATGAACATGCAAATTTAGATACAACTGTAATTAGATAGTTATTTCTCTGATTGGTTGAAAATGAGATTCAATAATTCTATTTCATAAACCGGAACTTCCGGGTTTATATGAGATGTGCAGTGCTCATGCGCTAATCAGTATTCAAAAAGCAGTAATAAAAAAAAATTTGAAATGAAATTTTCTCCACACTTGGGAGGAGGGTATATTAATAACTTTTCATCACATTGTACTACCCATAGGGAGGGCATATTAAACCTTCAGTTCCTAGTGTTTATTCATAGAGTCTCACTCCCACTTCAACCTTCCATGCAGGTCTCGAGGAAGTGGGGAATCATCGACTTAGTCATACAGTAGGCCAGTCACTTATGGAAATATTTGGGAAAATTAAGGCTGTAAAATACATAAGTTTGATAATTCATGAACATGTATATTATCACAGCAGGCTATGGAGGCCATATTTCCACCAATATTTCAAGCTTTTAAAAAGGTGCAATTGATTGAAACATACTGTACCATATATGATATTTATGTGCTATTCATTTTTGTGTTTTCTCAATTGTTGCAAATAAAAAATAATTTATGGGTCAAGTCTTCATTTAATTTTCAGAGGATCGTGAAGAGCAGGCAAAAGAAATGAGGAGTAAAATTGGAGAATTGTGTCGCAAGCCAGGATTTCCAGATGTCATTGGTTTTGCAGAGGTATGCTGTACGCGGGAAAACATTGGTGTTGAGAAACTAAGAGATCTCATCAAGTCGACTCTTGACAAGTAGGTATATCTATAATGTAATGGTGTGTATTGTATTATATTTTGTTTCGTGTCTATATCTATGGTGTGTAAAGCAATTGTGTATTGTATTATATTTTGTTTCATGTCTATATCTATGGTGTGTAAAGCAATTGTGTATTGTATTGTATTTTGTTTATTTACTGTTAACATCTATGGTGTGTAATGCAATGGTGTGTATTGGGTTGTATTTTGTTTACAACCTTTGGAGGTGAGCACTAACTCTTGGATACATATCCCTTATTTTACAGTTACACAATTTATGTATGATCTTTTAAAGTTGAAGAATTGGTATCTTTAATTTAGCAAGGACTATTGAGACCATTGAGTGCCAGTCTTTTATCAAGTATGCACTTGAGTAATTGTTTAGACAGTACATTAGTACAAACACAATCAATCATGCATCCACATGTGTCTGATGCAATGTTGAGTAACATATAATAAATGTCATGCAAAAAATTCATTATGAATGTCACATAATTTATAATTTTTTATCATGACATAATTTTTGTGTACAGCAATATAAAACAACTTCTGCATACATGTAGGTATTCCATTATCAATTCAAAATGGCTACCATACACTGTACATAAAGAGTGTTTGCCATGTTCAGTTCAAATTTATCAGGCTGATGCCTTATGGCTTTAGGATCTCTGCTTGACATTTCAAATTGATTTAAAATAGCATTTAAAAAAGCATTTTTTGCTTTTGTAATGTAATTTTGGCCAAAAACTTGCATGTGTATGTTTACATTCCCTGTTTTAGACTATTTATCCCATCGAATGGAGGGATCGGAGGGATATAGGGAACGCCTCCGTCCGTCCGTCCGTCTGGGCAATAACTCAAATACTGTTGGCCTGATTTTGTTCATATTTTGTATACATATACCCTATGGGGATAGAAGTTCTGTTCGAAAGGCGATTTTCAAAATGGCCACTCATTTAAAAATGGCGGCCATTTTAGTGCCGATTTTACAGTTATTTAGGTGCAATATGTAAAACTGTAATAGCAATATGTTTTAAATGGAAAAAAATTATATGGGACATTGTTAAAGCTAGAAATGTAGATATTTAAGAAGCACATGGCAGCCATCTTGAAAAATGGCGGCCTTTACTCGTTATTTTACGATTTTGCTGTAACTCGAAAAGTAGTAGAGCGATTTTTTCATATTTGGTATGTGAATACTATAAGCATGGCACACTGTCTAATGACACTTTTGGTAGAATGCGGCCATTTTGAAAAATGGCCACCATTTTAACATATTTTTCTATAACTGGAAAAGTAGTGGAGCGATTTTGTTAATATTTGGTATGTGAATACTATAAGCATATAGTATTCACTTTCTTTTGGTAGAAAGTGGCCATTTTGAAAAATGGCTGCCATTTTTGCTATATTTTTGTTTGTAAAAATACCAGCCATGGCTGTTCGATGGGATTTGCTACGCTTTGGTGTTGCTGTTGTCTAGTTAATAAGAGGTAATTTCTGAAATGACCACCATTTTTGTCAAAAATCTCATATTCAGAATGATCACTTATTACATTAGGCTATAACTTGAATATTACATGCTCTATTTGATTGTATATATAAAATAGTCGTTTTAGCAAGGAAGACTACTATTCCCTTATTATGCTGACATATAGCTTGACATTTAAAAAAATTAGTGGTTTGATAAAATTTGTTTTGTTTGTATGGAGATTTCTCACTCCATGGATTTATGTGTAAATCTGTATGTCAGAAATTAAGATATTAACAATCAATTTTCATGTACTGCAGTGATTTTGAATAATATTTTCTACAACATAGACAGAGGTTCTATGACAATAACAAATAAATGACCTAAGATTTTATACTGTGCATTGCGCTTTGCAGCTTCCTGGTCATCTCAACCAGGGTTGAGTTTTACAGGGTTGAGTTGACTTGGGGTTGAGTTTTACTTGGGTTGACTTGACTTGGGGTTGAGTTGGACTGGGGTTGAGATGACTTGGGGTTGAGATGAACTGTCACCGTGCATTGCTTAAGACCTCAATGACCGCATAGTTTTGGTCAATGAACAGAATAAAATCTTCTGTCATATCTTATACCATGAATCATAGAATCTCAATCTCGATTCCTTAATAAAAACTAAACTTATTTCAGCTTTAAAGTGAAAGGCCAGAATGTTATGGGACAGAAGGTACCTGCAAGTTATGTTGTAAGTACATATAAATTAACCTAATGGTAATCATTAGACTCCTATATATGGCATTTAACTCTTGAATCCCAGGCTCTAAAATTGGTTGAAACTAGAGATTTTTTTCATTTTTGCCACCTTTTGACATTTACTACATACCTATACAACTAATGATGCTCAACTTATTAAAATTAGATAGCAGAGATCATTTCTACACGTTTTAAAACAATTATTGTGTAAATTGGATGAAAATTTTTCAAATAAGAGCAATTTTTGTGAAAAATTTTGTGACGGATTTTCTCGTCCCTCTGGGTTTCAAGGTCATTTCTGATGTGACGAGAAATCTCGTCATTCTGGGTAGTCAAAAGGTTAACTAATTTTTCTTCTGTGAGTTGTTCTTCACACATGTCCCATTGGATTATGTGTTAATATTGTAGTCTTAAAACTTCAAAAACACTTTATAAATCAAATTGATATAACATTTTCTCTTCATAGTTATGGACGAACATGTTTGAGGTTTCAGTGTCATAAGATTTGGGAGATTTTCATTGAAATTTATTTTGGGAGATTTTGTTTTTTAAAGTATACAATTAAACCGACTGAATTGTTTGGCGATATTGATAGTCTTTTAAAGGCCATGTGTTGTTTAAAGGGGAGGCTTGAAATGTTTCAATCCGGATTAATATATAGATATTATATTGCACCCTCCCCCCCCCCCCCTTATTCTCATCATTAATTGTACAATTACACAACATGTTCAAATATTTTGTAGAAACTGGAGGAACTGTTATCCCGGGAGGCAAAGAATCTTGGATATCCAGTAATACGACACAAACGTCTCGTAAAAATTGTTAAAGATGCACAGCTTGACCTAGATGAAGATGAACTCTTGCAAGTATGTTTACTTCATATATTAACCTTTATAAATATCTACAGGTCATTTTTGTTTGAGTAGAAATGATTTTATTTTAGTTGTTTCTTTAACTCTGTAATTTATGTACTTTTATCATGCTTGTTGCATAAGCATCAATGAGGTAATAAATAAATTGATGTTTTTTGGCACTAAACACTTCACTTAAAGACATGATATTTAAGAAAGAGTATCAAATTAAAACATTTCAAATTAAAAATCAGAGTAACCATTTACTGGAGCAATCCTGTTTAGGCCTTGTCCTATGGGTAGATTGTGACTTCTGAAGTTATTCCTTTAGAATTCTATTTTTAACATTTTCAAAGTGTTATAAAATCTTTGCATAATGAAGTTATAAATTTCATAATCGGGTTTAAAAATATGTCTCACAAATTCTAATGTTTTTTCATTAGGCTGAATCACTACATTTCTATTTCTGTTGACTTCGGGTATTTCCTCGCTCAAAGACTGAAACCCCGGTAAAATTTTCTGAAATGCTTTTACCGTCAAATCCATCTGTTCAGTTAGTCCAATAAACATGTAATATTTTACAATATTTTCCTTTGCAAGTTGAATGCTTTGCTGGCGTCCATAGCCGCAGAACCATTTTACATATAACGTTTCAATGTTACAGTGATATATAATATTAGGATCATGCCTCCACATTTCTATGCACAAGTCTATGGGGTCTTCCCTATTGTAGTAATACCAGGAGATCCATCTTGAAATAGGATCCCTTATAAGATTAATAAAAATGGGCTGTTCTATTTCATAACTTGCAAAATCAATAAAATAAAAATGGCGAATATATATCCATGATTTAGGAAGATTTTTTACTTCATTAATAATTGATTTGGTTCCATTTTCATCCATCCGCCACATTCCTTTCGCATGTTTAAATGTGATATCATTTCTTGAGGCGTATTGTTTTATTAGTTCTGATAGAGATGAACTAGCACATTTTGGTATATTGTTGTAAACAATGGAACTGAATAGTTGATTCTTTTGATTGTTGTTTATTTTGTTTATTTGTTCTATCATATTTTCACCATCGTTTTGTTCATTGTTACTGTAATTTCTGTTTATATTACCATTGTTTTTACCTACGTGTTCACTATATGGGGTTGTTTGCTCATTGTTTCTGGTTGTTTGAATTTTGTTTTTGGTTGTTTGCTCATAGTCTGTGGTTCCTTGCCCATTGGTTGTGCCTTGCTTATAAGGATATCTCCTTAATTTTAAATTATTCATAAATGTCATGGCCTTCTTCAGATTCTCATTGCTATTGCTGAAGTAACTAGTTCTTTTCAGTAAACTAAATCCAATAATAATACATAAAAGTGCAACAGATACTCTTTTGTATTTGAAGCTCATTGTGATTGCATATTTATTCCACAGCTAAATAGAGTATACTTAATGGACATTAAACCTAATTGCTAGAGGGGAAGTTTCACACATTACATATTGTGATTATTCTCTTAAACAATTCAAACTTGAAAGTCTGAATTCAAATGGTTTTATTACCATTGGTGTATCAAGCTTCAACCTTTTAGATTAGATCAAAGGAAAAACCTTTGTGCAATCATCATTTCAACCGATCTATTCAACCATTCTTACACCTTTGTAAACAATTTAAGCCCAGGATTCAATAAATTGTAATCATTTGAAGAATGTATGTCATTTGAATGAGTGACATTAACTTACTATATAATATGCTCTTAAGAAGGGTTAACTGATTTGTTGATGATGGAATATAGATAATTGTTGATTGATCTATTTGATCATGGAAAATAGTCATTATGTCACAACCACAAGTGATGACATATTGTGATGGTCTCCAACTTTTTTGTGGAATTTGTTTTGTGTTTGAGGGAGTCGGCGTTTTGCATCTGTAACAAATGGCAGGCTGTGACATTTTGAATTTTAATGCCTTGTTTAAATATTTTATCATAACCTTTTCCAGGCTGTTCGTTTCTTACATGAGTCAGGTTCTCTATTGCACTATGAAGATGAGGCTCTGCAGTTAAAGGATTTGTATTTCATTGACCCAGAATGGCTTTGTCGTATGATGGCCCAAGTTGTTACTGTTAGAGAAATCAACCCATTCATCAGTGACATTGGGGTAAGTGTGACAACAGTGTATGTGTGATATAAATGTAAGTGTGACATCGCTGTCTGTCTAATGTAAGTAAGTGACATTTATATCTGTCTCATGTGGCATACATGTAAGTCTGACATCATTTCGGAGAATTTAGTGTCAGTACATTTTTGGGGTATTATCCCTCCAAAGTACAATTCAGAGTATTGAGAAACCACCAAAAGATATCTATATTTCCCAATGGATAAATCCTTTATCCAAATTTGACTATGATATACAATAGATTATAAGTATATTTCTTATGAGAATGAAAGTCACACATCTATGATAACTACTAAAAATGATATTTTTCCACTAGTTCCAAGAACAGAGTTTATTCTGGCACGGTAGATGGATCCTATCAATATCACAGTAACTATACAATAAAAATGTTGTAGGAGGTTTTGCTTAATGGATTTATCTTGAAGGAAATATATTATTCAATCTTTACCCAGAATTTCTTTATAATGTCTTATTTCCACACAGATCTTAAGGAAGGAAGACGTACGCATGTTATTCACTGGAAAGAGGGTCGGAGATGCAACCAAATATTCATTCCCATCTGTACTAATACCACAGTACCTCAGGATGCTTGAAAAGTTAGTACATATTCCACAAAGCATTGCCATTTCATTTAGTTAATTCTTTTAACTAATGTCAATCCCCTTTGACCCCCCCCCCATTCTGAATGGAGGCATCCAAAAATTACCAACTACGAGTGACATACATGACAATCTACAATTGACATAACGACAAGCCACAATTGACATAAATGACAAACCATACTTCATTGACATGAATGAATGACCAACCACAAGTTACATAATGACCAACCACAAGTGACATAAATGACAAACCACCAGTGACATAAATGAACAAACACGTAAATGCAACCATGTTGTGACATTTTGTCATGTTTATATCTTGTAAGGTTTGAAATTGCCCTACCCCAGAATGAAGAAGAACTTCTAATACCATGTCGACTGCCAACACAACATCCAGATATCAAACTGCCAACTAAACGTGGGTCTGGTAAGTTATTTAGATCATTAGATTTATTTAATTTTATTGTTTATTTCAGAGATTAGATTTTTGATGCTCTTTACAAATTACATGTACATTGAACTTGAAATATACAAAGCATAATATTCAAAAGACAGAGATATGTATGTGTTAAAATGAAGTCAAACAATTCGTTAAACTTATTTTTAATGGTGATCTGTTCATTGCTGTTGTGGGTGTAACTATAATGATGGGGAGTGTCTCGCCAGAATTTGACAGATTTTTATAAATTGTGAAAATTATTGTTACATTGTAGACCAGTACTTATATCTTAATTTGCTTATTTTAATTATCATCCCCCATTTTTGGATCCTGGCTACTCCACCGACTGTTATAGATTAATTATTGTTTTGCATGTTAATGAATGCTTTGTGAATGATTTATTTACAAGTACAGACAATATTAACTGATTAAAGTGGAAGCAAAGACTAGAGAGTGTAAAATGTTGAAAGCAATCTTTTGAAGCATGGCGATATTCCCTTTACAATTTTAATTTTATTCTCTAAAAATGTCTAATGAAATATTAAAGTTGATGATTTAGATGCAGAAATATGTCAAACGATTATGAGTGAAAAAGGAGATCACTTTTTGAAAGTCCTCCAAACTCACCTCTCTTTGTTGCATCTTTAAGTATATTTAAATAACTTGTCAATCATTTCTGCCCAGGTGTTGTCCATAGACATTACAGAATGCCTTACATCCCTCTTGGATTCTGGTCACGCCTCATAACACGTCTCTTGGCTTTCGTCAACAATGCAGATAAGGTCAGTACTTGAATATATTCTTAGGATAGTACCATTACAATAGTTAGATTTATGTACTCTCTATAATTAGAGATGATTATATGATTTCGTCTATCGAATGGTATATTTTTAATAAATGATTTTTATTTTGATAAATGCAATCTGCAATAGTAATATCTGTACAGGGAGGATTATGTGTTCTATGTAAGATCTACCTGACATTACTAGTAACATTGAATTGCAAAACCATTTTAGACTTGATATAAATAAACATCTTAATTTCCTGAGGAAAATATTGATTTTTGACAGTATTATGTACTTGGTGTACTCATGTACAAACATACAAACAGCAAGTTCTTCAAAAACAAATCCTTAGTTTACTCAACCCTTGGTCATCTCAACCCCAAGTCAGCTCAACCCTTACATGTAGTTAACTCAACCCTTACATGTAGTCAGCTCAACCCTAAATGATTTTGAATGTTAATTAAACTTTATCCTCCTTTTCTGATTATGGTTTTAAATATATTAGAATATTAGAAAGAAAAGTACATTTTGCCCATATAGATTTTAAAGAAACACACAAAGGATTTAATGATGAACTGTTTTGAAAACAACTCCTGCGATTTTTATGAAAAGAATTTATAAATAGCACTAAAAGCGTATTTATCTGCTGACCTTAATATTTTATACATTAACACAGGGAGTATGTGACCTGCCTTGTTCAATATTTAACCAGTGCTATATCTATAAATAACAGTCAAACATTTCTAAAGTTCATATACATGTACAGTGCAAGGTTTGATAAATATGGATGTTCCTAAACTGACTAGAGTCGAAACTGAGTCTTTCCTGACTGATGTTCTACAAATAAAAAACTGGAATGAACAGCTGCAGAAAGACAGAGAAGAATTCTTAAATATCTTAATGGTTGTATATCAGCAAAATGAACCATTTCAGACACTTTCATTCATGAGTGAGGATTTTGAAATTCGGAGGATTCCAAATTGGACAGAGATAAAAACTGCCATTTTTACAAAAGAAGGAGGTCTGTGTCACACGTTGAATACATTTTTGTGGACATTACTGAAATCTCTGGGATATGATGTATATCTGGTTATGGCGAATGTAGTCATCGGTGAAAAGCACTTAAAGAAAACTCTCAACCATACAGTGGTGATAGTCCGTGATCTTGCGACAAAGGGAAGCTTACATGTTGTGGATTGCGGATTTGGACAGCCAATGTTTAAGGCTGCTTTGATAAAAGACAACACCAAAGATCAAGATAACATTAACGATTTCAACCACCAGGGCTCTGGTGAAATCTACAAATATGTAAGAAAAGATGAAGATACATATGTGCGATACCATATGTCTTGTAACAAAAAAGAGAAAATAGATGCATCAGCTGATGACTGGAGACTGTCCTATTGGTTCAATATCCAACCAAATGATTTCACCGATTTCTATGGAAACTCTGTTATGAATGTCTACTTTGGAGACCGCAGCCCCTTGGAGAAAATCAGTTCCTTTCATTACACTATTCTCCTCATGAGGTTAGATGGAGAACGAGACATCATGATCAAAAACCAGAAATTCTCCAATGAGAATGATGAACACATTATGGAGGCTATTGACATACCTGTAGATGAGCTGAGTGACAACATCATAAAGCATTTCCCATACTTTAAAGATAAGGAGGATATGATGAAGAAAGCATTTGAAAATATGGAGAAAATTAAGAAAAAACTTTCGGTCAAAAGTTTTTAAGTATTTTTGGAAGAGATTTTGGAAAAAACTAAGAGACATTATAACAGTTAAAAGTAAATGATTATAATTGTGAATATAATTTACAAAATACATTAATGTTTGCCTACTGGTTTGTGCTCCATGGCTATGGAAGATATAAATACAGTAAAACCTGTCCGATGGAATACCTCTCTGTAGGGAAAACCTATGAACAAGGAATGCTTTTCAAAAGAACCAAATATTTTTCCATTGACTTACATGTTAACGGACCCTCTCTGTAGGGAAAACCTGTGAACAGGGAACAAGGAACACTATTTTGGGGCAAATTATAAAAATTCACCTGTGAACAAGGAATATGGAATATTGGTGACACTGTATATTCCATTATTTTTCAGAGGTGTGAAAGTCTTAAGCCAATATCTGAATATAAAAAGCTTGGATTAATATGATTGAGATTAAGATAAGCCAATTGCTTACATGATGTAGCATCCCACCCACTGTTAATTACCCTGATTTATTTTAAAACTAATACTAATCTGTCTGTTACTTATTATCATGAGCTAATTCTTCCTTTCAAAAACCTAATTACATCAAATCAGTTGTGATAATCTAGGTACTGACACAATTGTTTTATGGAGATAACAGAAAGTAAGTACATGTGGTACATTTGGTCATGTTGAGCCAAATCTCTTTAAATCTTTTACTGATCCAACTTCTAGATTATCAATGATATAAAATGGGGTTGATGAAACTTGAAATTCAGTTCTTAGCACTATATCTCTACACATCATATCAATAATTACATCAACTGGACATCATCAGACACTAGCAGCAGCTAAAATAAACATGGGGAAAACATAAACAAGTATGGAGTCGGCATTTGTACAATCAATCAATATATATATACAAATATGCTTATTCGGCAAGTTTGAGTTTGCTGAAAGTGTGGCCCCTCTCTATAGGGAAAACCTCTGAACAAGGAAAGTTTCCTCCAGTCCCAAGAGCATTCCCTGTTCGCAGGTTTTACTGTATAGATTACATGTATGGAAAACAATCATGACTTCTGTGAAAATGTCTCATTGCACCTTGCTCCACAGTATTTGCATGTTCAAAAGCGAAACAACAATTTGCGAGTATCATATGTCTGAAATGCATCAATTTAATTAGTATAAAGGTAACTGTTGAGATAAAGGAAATAATTCTGGTGATTGAGAATGAACAAATTATTGAAATAGTCAGACATTTTATATGTCAAGCTCTAGATATTTTAGATAACCAAACCATAAGACCAGAGTAATCCCCCCTTGTTGAAGGCAAATAATATTTCCCACTTCCCCACCATTTATATTGTTTACTTTATCTTGTATTTTTGTATAACATGTCATTCATATTGCTACCAATGTTGAAAATTGTATTGTATTGTATTTGAATGTTTTATTTAATAAATGAGATCTGAAAAAAATATATTATGAGCTAAATCATGTATATTATTAAATAGATACGAGTATAAAGATTCCCATTGCCACCAATATGTAAATTCAAATTTCCTGTTCTAATTTTAAACTGAATGAGTTTCTTAAGTAGACTAAAGTGCATATAAAAGCATGCACACTTGACACATTCCTATATTGATTCATGTACTTTCTGTTCACGATTACGTTGTGAAAAAAATTGCAAGCTTAAACTCTCTATTTTTCAAATAAAACAACCATGATTTTTGACTATTTCATTACATTTTCTAACTTACATAATCCCAACCATAATATTTGAAAATGTCATTACATTTTCTTGACTTTATACAATACATGTAATTCTGACTATGATATATTACTATTTCATAACATTGTCTTGACTTTAATACTGACTTGATATATGACCATTTCATTGCAATATAACTTTATCTTGACTTATACAGCTGGAAAATAACATTTTGGGGAAAAATTGCTCTACCTGCACATGTTATTTTATGGTACAAAATAAAGTATGAAGGCATGTGTTAATTTCTTTGCTTTTTTCAGGAAAGTATCATTACATTGTCTACTTTTTGTAAAACTTGAAACAGGTCGATGGTAGCTCCTGTGTTGTCTTGAAACTTTAAAAGACAATTTGGAAAAATAGAGAGAGTGAAATATCAGAATTTCCTTTCCCAAAATGTTATTTTCCATCTGTACCTTAATCCTGACTTGACATATTACTATTTCATTACATTATCTTGACTTTAATCCTTACTTGATATATGACCATTTCATTGCAATATCAAGATCGTGATTTTAGTCCTGACTTAATGTAAGACCATTTCATCGCAATGTCTTGACTATATCATCTTGTCTGTGTTTATAGAGAGGAGAACCTACCCCAGTGAAGCAACAATACTGGAGGGACGGGATATACTTCTACTGGAAACAAGATGCATTTGTCTTAATAAACACCAAAACCAATGATTCAGAAATTGTTGACATTCAGGTAGCTGTTTAGACATGCCTAATACAAATGATGTTAGTATTTAAAAGTAATGTCACACTGAAAAAACTAGTGGTGACATTTTGTAAGTGTCATTGTTTCTAACTTGTTATGGATGTTTTCACCAGTCGGCATTTGGCGCCTGTAACTGATAATGCCTTGTTTAAGGAATAAGATGAGAGACTTGATTTGGTGATACAACAATTTAAGACTGATTTTATTCTGCACACTACCAGGTCCCTGGTACTTATGAGGGTGGTGTGTTACTGGGTGAGATTGTGGACCACATTGATGAGTTAATTGATGAATGGTACCCTGGTTTGGCTGATATGGATCCTCTTGGAGAAGAACTTGTCAAAAGAGAGGTGCCATGTATAGCATGTAAAGGTAGGCAACTTACTATGCAACCTCCTCATGGTGTGGTATACTTGTCAAAAGAGGGGTGCCATTGCATAGCATATAAAGTTAGGAAACTTATTATCCAACTTCATTGACAGTGGGATATATAAGAGTGACCTTGAGGTCAAATTTGCAAAAAATTCAAATTCTGTATCTTACATGTATATATACAGTATATACATGTAGCTGCCGGTATATTGGATTTTGCACACCCTGGATGATATTATTAAGACTTGTGCAATTTAATAAAGCTTAAGCATATTGAAATATGATTAATTAATATTATATGATTCACCATGACCTCATTTCTCTATCAGGGAATTGTTGTTTTAGGGACAAGAATGTAAGTGACCCAGTTTCAAATTAATCATATACAGGCATTCCTTGTGCCATATAAGGAGTTTTGTGGACATGGGTCGAACGGTTGTATATGTGCATTATCTTTTATTGACACCTCAGCGGGTAATTTGAAGGGAAGGCATTTAACTTTTAGCTTTAACTGCTGCCTATATACTGTACTCCAGGAATTGTCTGCATGCGATTTAATTTCGCTTTGTTAGCGAATGTAGAAAAATCACGAACATTTAATAGCGTCAAAATTTACCAGGAGTACAGTAGAACACATATTCTAAAAAACAGGTTATTTGAGAAGTTCTTACTGGTACACTTTCTAGCTTTATTCTTGCTGTTGTACCTTACAATAATTAGGAATTTTCGTTAACACTATAATGGCATAGATGTATATGTTCAGTTTGTATATGACAACTGGGATTCTACTCTTTGTTCAATGCAACTTCAAAGATCAACATTTTTAGTTGGCTATCACCATTTCATTGTCTCATGTATCAGACATTATTAAAAAGTTAATCCAATGTGGTTTTTCATTGAACTTTAATATTTCAAAATATTCAGTATTTAAACCCACAATTTATATCAAATTAAATGTTGAACAAGCTTTCAAATGTCTATGAGAAGACATCCTCCTAAATAGGTGTCCAGAATCCGTACCTCCTTCTTCCCCCTGCTATAAGCAGTTAGCATTTCCACGATTAAGAACTCGCAATTTGATTGGCTGTCGCAACACTGCGACAGCAATCATGTATACGTCATCGTTGCATAATTAGATCACGTGATTCAGTTTAATCAGGCGCGTCCAACTTGGTTATAGCAGGGGGTAAAAAGAAAGAAGATATTTTGGATTTTGAAGCCCTGTGATTGGAGGATGATGAGAAGATTGAAGGAAATGTAATAATATGATATGCGAAATAATACCTGTTGTACAGTAGTTGCAATGAAGACTTGTGGGTCAACTCAGACATGCAGGACAGGATATTAAGTCAATTTTTCTCTTGATTTTAACTTATCAATAATAAATAACAGATTTTTATTATTGCCTGGAACCTTAATGACGATTTCAATGCAAGAAATAGTTTTTGGTGGAGTGATGATAAAACTGATAATCCTGGACTAAATCTTCAAAACATGACATCTGACTTAAATATCATTCAACTTATAGATGAACCAACTAGAATTCAGAAGCGAGAGGAATTATTAACCAAATCATGTATTGACCTTGTTTTTACTGATGAAATCAATGTTACCTCTCATTTTAAAGTGATGGCTCCTATTGGAAATTCAGATCACTGTTCAATTTTGACAAACTTAAGGGTAAATATTCTAAAGGAACCGCCTGCTAAGAAAACTATTTGGAAGTATGATCATATGGACTCTAATAATGACTTAAATGATAGAATTAGCAGCTTCAATTGGGATGAAATCCTTCTTTTGGATGATGTTGACATTGCTACTGAAAGATTCTCAAATAGCCTTTTTGATATTTTCAAAAATTGCATACCCAATTTTGAGATTAATCACAAATCTACAGATCAACCATGGTTCTCCCCTAACATCAAAAAAGAGATCAACATTCGTGACAGATTGTATCATAAATTCAAACATTCAAATAATCCTGACTTTTTTAATAAATTTAAGTCACAGAGTGATAAAGTAGTCAAATTAATTAAAGAAGCTAAACAATCTTATATTGAAGATACTTGTGATAATATATCTGTTCTTAATTCAAACTCATCTGATTATTGGGTACTTCTTAAGAAATTGCTAGGTAAATGTAAATCCTTGGACACATCACTGCCTTTTTACATTTAGAAAATCCTAAATTATCAGCTGGTACTTCTATTGAAAAGGCTGAACTTTTTCTCAAATTTTTTACTCAGAAGAATCATATTAATATTGTCCACCCAGAAGTGTTACCAGAGTTTCCTATTCAATGCAACAATAATTTATGTACAAACTTGTGAAGAAGAAGTTTTAAAATTATTGAAAGATTTAGATTTATCAAAGGGGGGTGGTAGTGATGGTATCACAAATAGGATGTTATTCTATTCTGCAAACAGTTTAGCCAGCTAGTCCTCTTTCACTATTGTTTAATAAGATATTAAATTCACATTCATTCCCAAAGGTTTGGAAAGAGGGCATCATAATACCTCTCCATAAAAAGAAAGATAAATCAAACATCGAAAACTATAAACCAATAACAATTTTAAATTCAATGTCCAAAATCTTAGAAAAAGTACTTTACAATAGAATCTTTAATCACATGAGTCAAAATAATCTTTTCTATGACCTTCAATCTGGTTTTCTCCCTTTACATAATACCACATCTCAACTTGCCTATATAATTCATTGTATCCACGAGGAATTAAATAATGGTAACAATGTCCGTAAAATCTTTTTGGACCTTGCATCAGCTTTGCACGGCTCTAGCACTGAGAAGGTGTTAGATATTTTAAATTGGACAAAGCTACCAGATAGAAGAAAATCTCATTTATGTACTTTTCTTTTCAAAAGCAGACATAATTTAATAGCACCATATGTAAGTCAGGTTTTCAATGGTTGCAGAAATATTCCAACTCAAACTCTAAGAGCTTTCAGAGAATATAATATTCCTTTAGATATAAGTAAAAGGTTTGAGAAATCCACTTTCTACGCAGCAATTGAAACTTGGAACACTTTACCTGATGATATAAGAAATTGTGAGCGAATTTCAATTTTTAAACGTAGGATCAAGGCACATTTTGAAAATTTCAATGGTACTAATTTCATAACTTATAGTAATGTTTAAAGAAAAAATGAAGTCTCATTTAATAGACTCAGGGTAGATCTTTACTTGAAAAGCCAGCTTTTTGCACATAATTTTAACAATGTGCCTTCACCAGAATGTGCCTGTGCTCATCACTCTGAAACACCCAAACACTTTTTTCTACAGTGCCCTCTGTACATTAACCCAAGATGTAAACTCCTTAGAGATCTCCATATGGCGGATTGCTTAAGGATGTTCCCTGGACGAAGTTGAAAACGATGAACACCAACCCCTAATTTTTCTTTTCAAAATGTGAAGTACATAGCATAACTAAGTGTTTCTGTGAGTTTAAGAAAAAGTTAAATATTCAAAAGTGTGTTTTGGGGTGAAAACCTGATTTTTAACATGGGTTTCAATGAGAAAGTGCCACGCCCACTTTTGTCAAATATTGACACTTTAGAGGCCTCTTGCTCAGAAAAAAGCACACTAACATATGGTTTTTAAAGTTTTAATATTCTTTGTTGCCCGTGAGAATCCCAGAAAACCATTTTTGAGAAAAAGTTAAATACTATTGAATATTTTCCTATCTGACCAGGGAACATCCTTAAGTGCATTTTTAGATTGTAATTCTTCTGTTAAAATAGACATGCTTTTATTTGGTCACCCTGATTTTGATCATTATACTCATATTTTAATAATAAAAGCAAGTGTGTCATTTTTGCAATCCACCAAAGACCTACTGGACCCGTAACCAAACTCTACATATTAAGCACAAAACTTGACCATTTTAAATAAAATAATGAATCTTTCTTTGTAAAAAGTAAATATTATGATTGAAACTATGTTTAGGTTTTCAGTTTGACAATAATGTTACTTGTAACCTAGTCAAACTTTACCACTGTATTATTGTATGTATAGTACATATATGAAATAAATGATTATTAAAAAAAAAAATTATTATTATTCATATACTGAGTATATCCATATTGATCATCAATCCAAATTAAAATGATGCATAGACATCATCTTCCATAGAACGTTTCAATGGACCATCAGCAGATGCGTAGACATCGTCCTTCATAGAACGCTTCAGTGGACCATCAGCAGATGCGTAGACATCATCCTCCATAGAACGTTTGATTGGGCCATAGGCAGATGCATAGACATCCTCCATAGAACGCTTCAATGGACCATCAGCAGATGCGTAGACATCATCCTCCATAGAACGCTTTAATGGACCATCAGCAGATGCGTAGACATCATCCTCCATAGAACGCTTTAATGGACCATCAGCAGATGCGTAGACATCATCCTCCATAGAACGTTTGATTGGGCCATCGGCAGATGCGTAGACATCCTGCATAGAACGCTTCAATGGACCATCAGCAGATGCGTAGACATCATCCTCCATAGAACGTTTGATTGGGCCATCGGCAGATGCGTAGACATCATCCTCCATAGAACGTTTGATTGGGCCATCGGCAGATGCATAGACTTCCTCCATAGAACGCTTCAATGGACCATCAGCAGATACGTAGACATCATCCTCCATAGAACGTTTGATTGAACCATCGGCAGATGCGTAGACATCCTCCATAGAACGCTTCAATGGACCATCAGCAGATGAGTAGACATCATCCTCCATAGAACGCTTCAATGGACCATCAGCAGATGCGTAGACATCATCCATAGAACGTTTGATTGGGCCATCGGCAGATGCGTAGACATCCTCCATAGAACGCTTCAATGGACCATCGGCAGATGCGTAGACATCATCCTCCATAGAACGCTTCAATGGACCATCAGCAGATGCGTAGACATCATCCTCCATAGAACGTTTGATTGGGCCATCGGCAGATGCATAGACATCCTCCATAGAACGCTTCAATGGACCATCGGCAGATGCGTAAAAATCAATGGATCGAGCACATATCGATGCCATAAAGCCTCCATAAAGAAGGATGTTCAGAGATAGGTTCAACATTTTGTTTTATTATTCTGAAAAAAAATTAAAGTAATGAACTTTCATTTTGGAGGTTAACAGATGCACATGTAAGTACTTTACAATATCTAACAATATTTATGTTTTTGTGTACGCCTGACTTCATTAATGATATTAAATATCATTTTCAGCTTTGAGGTGTTACAAACAAAATAGTATGTGAGCTAAAAATGTGTTATCAAATAAACTAAAACAAATCTAAAACCTCAGCATAGAACTTTTGCGCCAACCTGTAAGCTAGTCCTAAAAACTCATAATTCAGTATTTCCTCATCTTTTTATAATTACAATACAGGGAAACATAATTAGCAAGATTTACAGACTGATTCTTTTAATTCAAAAATCATTTTTTAAGTAATTTTACGTTTGATACATGGGACTTGCACGACCAAAGAGAAAATTCTTACATGTGAAAAAAGACATCTCAATCCTTGATGTAATTTTTGAAAAGATGAAATCCATATTGCTAGTTTGAATCAGTTTTCAATTTAATCCTTCTCTATGTATATAAAAATATATAAAGGCCTATTTACGATAATTAATAAATAAAAAATCTGTTAGATATAATTGACATGTTATGTGTTCTCTTTTCTGACAACGCTACGGGGAGTTTAATACATTTTAAATGGCAGACAATGGAAATATCTGATTTAGTGGTGATATTTTTGTTTTGAATTAAAGTTGCCAAGATTATGCTGTCTAATATTTTGTATCCTCCAAACATAAAAATATCGGCTGTGGTAAAAATTGTTTTTAAATTATTATTTTGAGAAATGAACTTAAATGCTTGTTATATAAATTTTGAATGATATCAATTGTTTTAATAAAACTGTTTTAAGCATATGTCGGAGGATACAAAATGATTTTGAAAGTTAGTTCACTGCGTGAAAAATGGAATTCCAAAACTTGACACGTCTAGATACGGCTCTTGACACGCCGCGTGTATAGGCGTTCCTAGTTTTGACACCTCTTGGCACGCGACGAATTCAACTCTTGACACGCCTTTACACCTCTTGGTACACAGTGTATAGACGTGTAAAGACTGTAACAAAAGTCTTTGCACGCGCTGTGACTAATTATTGAAATCTCTTTGCACGCTCTTCGCACAACAGTACAATTTGCTATACACTATGTAGAAACTTAATACATAACCAATGTACAGGGTGTCAAAAAACAACGGCACCCCCCTCTACAGCAAAAAGTCCTGAATGTTCCATATCGTGTCATACCTCATTTGAAAGATAATTTAATGCTGGAGTTACTCATCAAATTCCATTTAATAAAACTTTATATTAAAAAAAGCTACATTGTTTCAAAGTTTGCTACTTCAGTACTTTGTTTGCTGCTCTGTTACTGGTTAAAGGTCAAATCTTAAGAAAGTGGAATATGAAAGAATTAGCCCAGATTTCAACTGCACTGAACATATGGGTTCAGTTCTGAAAAACAGGGTATAGGAACTGATGGACAAAAAGCCTCTTGAAAAAAGATACAGTTAGGATGTATTTCTGAAGAATGTGAGGAAAGTGCTTAGAGGATTATGCAATGCTTCACCTTTATCTGAATTTTTATTGAAATCTTATCCGTCCAGATAAGCTGCTGTTTGAGCAGCAACTGGTGGTCATACCAACTACTAAGAATCAGCTGTAAATCTGTAAAATTATATGATATAAAGCTGAAATTTCTCAGATAACTCCAGAATTAAATTGTCTTTAAAATGAGATATGACACACCATGTAACATTAAGTACTTTTTGCAGAAGAGGGGGGTGCCGTTGTTTTTTGACACCCTGTACATTTATATCTTAGTTAAAATCCGCCATGACAGACCAACATATTCATGAGTGTTTAATTGAAATACTTTAATAATTCCTCTGATTCGTATGAGCCCTTTTCTTATCACTTTAGAGAACATATACCTAATCCCGGATACCTAATACACTTTAAACAGATGCACATTTTAATTCATCAAGTAAGCAAATTCATTCATCAACAAGATAACCGGGAGACAACCGTGGTTGACAGACTTGTTGTTTTTATAATGCACGACATTGTTTTTGTACTTCAAATGTCACTGAGCTTTTGTGATTTAATTTCTAGATAACAAAACTAACTAGTATTACCATTGCTATTGTTAAATAGATTTCTCTCTCGGACAAACTTTAAAGGATTGATACTTGTATTTCGTCCCACTGGTATAAAACTATATTTAGCGAGTTAATTAAGTACCAACCCATCATCAAACCGGACTTTTCAAGGAAATTTCGATTTTCGAGCAAGCATTTACGAAGATAATGTCAGATTACCAGGTCCGATGTAGGCATGTGTAAGGGACCTATAAAAGTCGTACTTCTGGCGCACTGTGAGAAATGATAAGGTACATTTCAGATAAACAAAACTAACTTTAGATTTTAAATGAGACTCAGGGTGAAAATAAGAAGGGTTTTGTTGTTAAAAATAATGTATAATTGCAATAAGAACGTATTTGCAATAAAAACAAAATAAAATCTTCATCAGGTAGACTGTTTTTCATACATTAACACACATCACAATATACAGGTAAAGATAAAATCATAATTAATTCTTTTAATTCAAAGTTTACCCGTACAATGTACCTGTATATTGTGATGTCATAATTGTATGAAAAACAGTTTATTCTATATATAATATACCTACATGTATGTAATCTGGACAACTAAGAAAGGCAAGAACATAATGCAACATTACATCTGTAAATCATATTTATTGTATTTATCTGAATATTAAACATGTCAAATATAGATTTTCCTATGTATGTGACAATATTATTAGAATTATACATGATGTAACACAGTATAGTACATGTTATCCATATGAACTGTTAATAGTTAATTTTAGTTCATAATAATGCTTTGTATTTTCAAATGTAAAGAACATACAATAAAGGTCTTCAATCTGAAATCTGAAATCTATTTTCTGTTAGTAAAAGAACACATACTGTACTGGAATTAATATTTAACACTTATTTCACGTTTTGCGAATTTGATTTTGAAAACTATAATGAAAACTCATATATAGTGTTCTAAGCAAAAATTCACAACTACAAGGCGATATTCTCAAACCACAAGGCGGCACTTGCAAACTATAATGCAACTCAAATATAGTGTTCTAAGCATAAATTAAAACCTCAAGGCAGAGTTGTATAATCACAAGGCAGCATTCTCAAACTACAAGGCAGCATTCTCAAACTACAAGGCAGCATTCTCAAACTACAAGGCAGTATTCTCAAACCACAAGGCGGCACTTGCAAACTATAATGTAACTCATATATAGTGTTCTAAGCATAAATTGAAACCTCAAGGCAGAGTTGTATAACCACAAGGCAGCATTCTCAAACTACAAGGCAGCATTCTAAAACTACATGGCAGCATTTTCAAACCACAAGGCGGCACTTGCAAACTATAATGTAACTCATATATAGTGTTCTAAGCATGAATTGAAACCTCAAGGCAGCATTCTCAAACTACAAGGCAGCATTCTCAAACTACAAGGCGGCACTTACAAACTATAATATAACTCATAGGCAGAGTTGTATAACCACAAGGCAGCATTCTCAAACTACAAGGCAGCATTCTCAAACCACAAGGCGGCACTTGCAAACTATAATATAACTCATATATAGTGTTCCAAGCATAATTAAAACCACAAGGCAGAGTAGTATAACCACAAGGCAGCATTCTCAAACTACAAGGCAGCATTCTCAATCTACATGGCAGTATTCTCAAACCACAAGGCGGCACTTGCAAACTATAATGTAACTCATATATAGTGTTCTAAGCATAAATTAAAACCTCAAGGCAGAGTTGTATAACCACAAGGCAGCATTCTCAAACTACAAGGCAGCATTCTCAAACTACATGGCAGCATTTTCAAACCACAAGGCGGCACTTGCAAACTATAATGTAACTCATATATAGTGTTCTAAGCATGAATTGAAACCTCAAGGCAGCATTCTCAAACTACAAGGCAGCATTCCCAAACTACAAGGCAGCATTCTCAAACCACAAGGCAGTACTTGCAAACTATAATGTAACTCATATATAGTGTTCTAAGCATAAATTGAAACCTCAAGGCAGAGTTGTATAACCACAAGGCAGCATTCTCAAACTACAAGGCAGCATTCTCAAACTACATGGCAGCATTTTCAAACCACAAGGCGGCACTTGCAAACTATAATGTAACTCATATATAGTGTTCTAAGCATGAATTGAAACCTCAAGGCAGCATTCTCAAACTACAAGGCAGCATTCTCAAACTACAAGGCAGCATTCTCAAACCACAAGGCAGTACTTGCAAACTATAATGTAACTCATATATAGTGTTCTAAGCATAAATTGAAACCCCAAGGCAGAGTTGTATAACCACAAGGCATCATTCTCAAACTACAAGGCAGCATTCTCAAACTACATGGCAGCATTTTCAAACCACAAGGCGGCACTTGCAAACTATAATGTAACTCATATATAGTGTTCTAAGCATGAATTGAAACCTCAAGGCAGCATTCTCAAACTACAAGGCAGCATTCTCAAACTACAAGGCAGCATTCTCAAACCACAAGGCAGTACTTGCAAACTATAATGTAACTCATATATAGTGTTCTAAGCATAAATTGAAACCTCAAGGCAGAGTTGTATAACCACAAGGCATCATTCTCAAACAGCATTCTCAAACCACAAGGCGGCTCTTGCAAACTATAATGTAACTCATATATAGTGTTCTAAGCATAAATTGAAACCTCAAGGCAGAGTTGTATAACCACAAGGCAGCATTCTCAAACTACAAGGCAGCATTCTCAAACTACATGGCAGCATTTTCAAACCACAAGGCGGCACTTGCAAACTAGAATGTAACTCATATATAGTATTCTAAGCATGAATTGAAACTTCAAGGCAGAGTTGTATAACCACAAGGCAGCATTCTCAAACTACAAGGCAGTATTCTCAAACCACAAGGCGGCACTTGCAAACTATAATGTAACTCATATATAGTGTTCTAAGCATAAAATGAAACCTCAAGGCAGAGTTGTATAACCACAAGGCAGCATTCTCAAACTACAAGGCAGCATTCTTAAACTACATGGCAGCATTTTCAAACCAAACACCGGCACTTGCAAACTATAATGTAACTCATATATAGTG